AAGCCTCGTCACCACCCCATGATCAGCCATGATCAATCCGCTGCTGGATGCACGAGTAAGATCGGTAAATCTCATTGATTAGCGGATCGACCCCGTGAAGTAAACTAGAAAAGAATTGACGGCTGTTGACTGTGACGGCAGAGTGTGCGTCTTGCACGCGGGGGGCACGCGGGGGGCACGCGGGGCAGTGAACAGAACAACTGAACTGTATTGATACTCCTTCTGCCCTGCTATCTGTGCTCTACCCACTGCTGGATGAACGCTTCCCTCCCCGAGCAATCGCTGTACCTCGCGGACCCTGCGAGCGATCCGATTTTGTCGATCGCCACTCCATCTCCACGGTGGACGTCCCTCCCCCCCCCACCCCCCCCCCCCCCAGTCTTGACCACCGGCGTGTCGTGGCCAATCCCCGCTTTGTCTCAGCCGGTGACGGCGGTGTGACCAGCGTGTGTTCTGTAGGCCACATGCTAATTAGGAGTGAACCTATAGCGGAGTGAACCTATAGCGGAATGAACCTATAGCGGAGTGAACCTATAGCGGAGTGAACCTATAGCGGAGTGAACCTATAGCGGAGTGAACCTATAGCGGAGTGAATGAATATTTATTGGAGCGAATCTCTTCCAGTGAGACATCGTCATGTCAGAAACCCGTCTCGAGACTTTCGCTTGCCTTGAATGAATTCTGCTCGAGGTGGCCGCTCCCAGAAGGCCCGCACGGCTGCGTAGGAAATGCGTGATGTCTCGTGTCAACGGAACTCAGAAACTCGGAGGTGGAGGAGGCGGCGGCGGCTGGATGCTGGGGCCCCCGTAACAAACAACTTGCTCTTTGTTTGGTGCGAGCATTTAGGCCGCGATCCAGAGCTTCACCGCACCGGAATGATTTATCCATTCGGGACGCGCCAAGTGGTGTACAGTAGCAGCTCGCTGTGGAACGCGAGCGAGGGGCAGAGGAGAGAGAGAGCGGGGGGGTGGGGGTAGAGAGAGAGAGAGAGAGGTGGAGTGGGCAGGAAGACGCCATGCTTACTCGCGAACGCATTCATCCGATGTCAACGAAAATTAGGGGCGGGGGGGGCGGGGGGGGGGAGTAATACGATAACCCACAGTCTCGTGGCGCCGACAGCGGCGAACTTCGTTCCGAGTGGGCTCTTGATCCTCGTGCCGCCTGATTTTGTCACTCCGCTGCTGGATGACGCCACCCCCCCCCCCCCCACAATGAACCTGCCAGCGTAGGGTCAAAGTTGGCGGCGTGCGGCTGGAACCGTTGGGAGCGGCGTTGGGAGCGGCGTTGGGAGCGGTTTCGTGTGACCTCTGCAGCCGCTGGAGGCGCGAGGCTTGCCCGGTGCCCCCGGTCTCGCAGCACAGACCCCCGTCTGCCTCCGCGTTTGTCCGTGTGCGCAAGCTGCCGCACCGCTAGATATATCTGTTTGTAGTCGGACGAGCGAGCCCGCGCCTCCTTCGGTCGGTCGTGACCGTCCGTCCCTCTCTCAAGCCAGCCAGCAAAACTTTTTTTTCCAAATATGTGATGATCTTAAGGACAATTGTTGATGCTCGTTGGACTTTCACATTAAGCACTAATTACTTTGTACATCGATATGTACGTGACTACGACGTCCGACGTTTCGGTCCACGTGTTGGGAGCCTCCGCAACAAACTGAATTCAGTTTGGAAAACGCCACCGGAGCACTGTGCAGAGCAAGCGCGAGAACGTTCCGGGTCTCTGCGTGCGCTGTCCCGGACGGAGCGCCGTTCTCCCTCTCGCCCCCGTCCCGTCTTCCAACGGCTCCACTTTGGAACCCCTCCAAGATGTTTTGTATATTTGCAAGGTCGTAAAGCGAAGTGAATTCAATAATAATGTTGTTGATGTTGTTGTTGTCACCTCTCATCTATTGGGAATGTAGCCATTCACCACCACTCCTCACCCATTCACCACCACTCCTCACCCATTCACCACCACTCCTCACCCATTCACCACCACTCCTCGCCCATTCACCACTACTCCTCACCCATTCACCACTACCACTCCTCACCCATTCACCACCACCACTCCTCACCCATTCACCACCACTCCTCACCCATTCACCACCACTCCTCACCCATTCACCACTACTCCTCACCCATTCACCACTACCCTCCACTCCTCACCCATTCACCACTGTACCCCCACTCACCCATTCACCACTACCACCCACTCCTCACCCATTCACCACTACCCCCACTCCTCACCCATTCACCACTATCCCCCCACTCACCCATTCACCACTACCACCCACTCCTCACCCATTCACCACTACCCCCACTCCTCACCCATTCACCACTATCCCCCCACTCACCCATTCACCACTACCCTCCACTCCTCACCCATTCACCACTATCCCCCCACTCACCCATTCACCACTACCACCCACTCCTCACCCATTCACCATTACCCTCCACTCCTCACCCATTCACCACTACCACCCACTCCTCACCCATTCACCACTACCCCCACTCCTCACCCATTCACCACTACCCTCCACTCCTCACCCATTCACCACTACCCCCCACTCCTCACCCATTCACCACTACCCTCCACTCCTCACCCATTCACCACTACCCTCCACTCCTCACCCATTCACCACTATCCCCCCACTCACCCATTCACCACTACCCCCACTCCTCACCCATTCACCACTACCCCCACTCCTCACCCATTCACCACTACCCCCACTCCTCACCCATTCACCACTACCCTCCACTCCTCACACATTCACCACTACCCTCCACTCCTCACCCATTCACCACTACCCCCACTCCTCACCCATTCACCACTACCCTCCACTCCTCACACATTCACCACTACCCTCTACTCCTCACCCATTCACCACTATCCCCCCACTCACCCATTCACCACTACCCCCACTCCTCACCCATTCACCACTACCCCCACTCCTCACCCATTCACCACTACCCCCACTCCTCACCCATTCACCACTACCCCCCACTCCTCACCCATTCACCACTACTCCTCACCCATTCACCACTACCACCCACTCACCCATTCACCACTACCCTCCACTCCTCACCCATTCACCACTACCCCCACTCCTCACCCATTCACCACTACCACCCACTCCTCACCCATTCACCACTACCCCCACTCCTCACCGATTCACCACTACCCCCACTCCTCACCCATTCACCACTACCCTCCACTCCTCACCCATTCACCACTACCCCCCACTCCTCATCCATTCACCAGCAACCGGCTCTTCGCGTGTGGCAGTGGAAAAGGGAATTTGAGAGACGCCATTCCGTGAACCGTCGGTGGCCACTCGGGCCGCCGTGCTGCGCCGACGCTGCGGCGACTCCTTGCGTGGCACGATATCCACGATCATCGCATCACGTGGCACGGTATCCACGATCATCGCATCTCGTGGCACGATATCCACGATCATCGCATCTCGTGGCACGATTTCCACGATCATCGCATCACGCGGCACGGTATCCACGATCATCACATCGCGTGGCACGATATCCACGATCATCGCATCGCGCGTTTCCTTAAATATCGTTAAGTCAAGATTAAATGGGTAATATTGATTATTTTCTTGTTGTTGCTGTTGCGTTGTTTCTTGATGTAATATTTACGGAAGGAACAAAACGCCAATTAACTTGAGTGCTTTACCAGTCGTGTGCCCGGGGGTGATTGATGGCCCCACAGGGGAATTCGCTCTCCTTTCAATTTTCCCGCCTCTCTCCACTCCCACGGAATTTTTATTTAGACTGCACGAGGAGGAATCCGATGGGCCACAAAGCTCTTTTTCACAGATGTCCAGCTGGGGCGGGTCAGAAAGTTACAACAACAACCAGTCCAGTGTGTAACTGGCGGCGCGCGAGTCGTGAGCGTCATGGCTCGCAGTCAGCGGACTCCATGGCGAGCCTCGCGTTGAGTGATCATGCAGATGAAGATCTAGTATTCGTGCTGGGAAGTCAAGTATTGTACTGAAAATCACAACAACAACACGATTATACTGTATCGCGAAATGCAATTCCAAAACGGCGTAGCCCCTTCTAGCTGAGGCCCCCTCCGCCAGCGGTGGCGTGAGCCAGCACTTACGGGGCTGCGCCTTTACCTTTATAATGAGCGCACAAGGTCAGAGGGCACCTGGGTCGCGACGGTCTCTGGATGCACCGTGGGATGCTGCTATACCACGGGGCCTCGCGTCATCGCGTATCGCTCCGTGCCCAACGCAGGAGGTTATTTGGTGTCATTAGTTTCCGAGGATGCCTGTAACTTTTATTTATTTATTCGTGGTCACGCCCGGGTTTGTCAGACGCAAGCGGCACACAAGGGGCACGCAAGCGGCTCGTGACCCTGGGATTATCCTCGAGTCTCCCGCGATGCAGTTGCACGTGCGGTGCCAACGTGACACATTGTGTGCGAGCGTGTAAGCGTGGGGAGCGGTGGTGCAGCGGTTGGTGCGCTGCGCTGCGAACCCCGTGACCCGAGTTCGATTCCCGCTCACGGGTCAATACCAGTGACGATTATCTGATTCGGTCCTGGGCCTCCCCTAGGTCGACTCAGCCTCAAATGAGGACCTGGTGCGGTGTTTAAACATCGCCAATGGGGAAGACAAAAGCGTCCGGACATGGTGCTGGCCACCCACCCCCTCGTGTGCTGTGCTGGCATGCATAGGTGCTCGCTAACAGCACTTGCCCCAACGGGCTGTTAAGGCTATACGGGTGATCTTTGTCTTTTGTGTGCGAGTGTGCGAGTGCGTGAGTGTGGTCGCGGCATCGCGTCATTTGACGAAGAATCCATCCGCAAATCTCTCCGAGTGGCCGGAGAACGGCCCGCGCAAGCGGATATCACAGAGCTACCTTTGAGGCCCCTTTCTTAAAGCCGTGCCACTCCGCTCCAAGTTACTGCAGCAGCGGCAGCGTTTGTGTTCAGCGAGCCAAATCGGGAGCGGCTTCGGCCTTGGTGGTTCTCACCGGCGACGCTGCGCCGTGTCGTCGCAGTACGAGTTCAAGGCGAAGAACATCAAGAAGAAGAAGGTGTGCATCGCCGTGTCCGTCGACGGGGTGAAGGTGGCGCTCCGCAAGAAGCCGGCGGCGCTCCGCAAGATGACGGTAAACACGGGGACACTGCCCCCTCACCACGCACCCCGCCCCCTCACCACGCACACTGCCCACTCACCACGCACACTGCCCCCTCACCACGCACACTGCCCACTCACCACGCACCCCGCCCCCTCACCACGCACACTGCCCCCTCACCACGCACACTGCCCACTCACCACGCACCCCGCCCCCTCACCACGCACACTGCCCCCTCACCACGCACCCCGCCCCCTCACCACGCACACTGCCCCCTCACCACGCACACCGCCCCCTCACCACGCACACCGCCCCCTCACCACGCACACCGCCCCCTCACCACGCACACCGCCCCCTGACCACGCACCACCGCCCCCTCACCACGCACACCGCCCCCTCACCACGCACACTGCCCCCTCACCACGCACACCGCCCCCTCACCACGCACACCGCCCCCTCACCACGCACACTGCCCCGTCACCACGCACACCGCCCCCTCACCACGCACACTGCCCACTCACCACGCACACTGCCCCCTCACCACGCACACCGCCCCCTCACCACGCACACCGCCCCCTCACCACGCACACTGCCCCCTCACCACGCACACCGCCCCCTCACCACGCACACCGCCCCCTCACCACGCACACTGCCCCCTCACCACGCACACTGCCCCCTCACCACGCACACTGCCCCCTCACCACGCACACTGCCCACTCACCACGCACACTGCCCCCTCACCACGCAGACTGCCCCCTCACCACGCACACTGCCCCCTCACCACGCACACTGCCCCTCACCATACACACCACTACCTCCCTCACCAAAACAAAGACAAAGATCTCCCGTATAGCATTACCAGACTGTTGTGGCAAGTGCTGTTAGCCAGCACCTATGAAGGCCAGAACGGGTGGCCAGCAATACGCCCGGCCGCCTTTGTCTCCCTAGTGGCAATGTTTACACATCGCACCAGGTACTCAATTGAGGCTGAGTCAACCTAGGGGAGGAGGCCTGGGACAGATTCAGATAATCGTCACTGGTGTTGGCCGTGAGCAGGAATCGAACTCATAGCGCAGCGTAGCGCTAACCGCTACACCACCGCTCCCCACTCAGACACACACACACATACATACGCACGCAGGCACACACACACACCCACTCACACACACCCACTCACACACACCCACTCACACACACGCGCGAGGACAATTCTATCCTCTGTCCTGCAGCCTGTTGGGGCAAAGTTCTGGTTTTAACGAGCACCTGTCAGGGCCAGCAGGGTCTTCACACACACGTGCAGACAATTACATTGTTTACAAACACCCCTGCGATAACACACACGCACATTCACACCATACACACACACACAGTCACACCAAACACACACAGTCACACCAAACACACGCACGCACATGCTCGTCAACATGACATCACAATCTCAACCCTCTCTCTCTGGCCTCTGTTAAGGACCTTGCATTGCTGGCTGGAGATATTTTTAAAAAGGGGTTTTTTTTGGCCCCCATCAGAACTTCACCAGTAAGGAGTGCATCACCCTGTGTTAGACCCCCCCCACCCCCCCCCCCCCCCCCCGGCTTCCTCCGACTCGACCTTCACCGCCACCACACCATGCTGATGAGACCCAGAGAAGTCAACAGCGGTTCACTGTTTGCCGGTTCGGGAAAAAAATCCATGTTTGAAATCGTCGACCCATATGTGAGAGACGATGACGATGCGTGAGACGCATCGGAGAGGGCTGCTGTGTGATGCTGCTGCAGACTCAGATGTCCCCACCCCCCACTTGCCCCCCCCCCTCCGTGTCTCTCGCCGGGCAGAAGAAGGAGTGGGCGTGGGATGAAAGCAAGATGCTGGTGATGCATGACCCCATCTACCGGTGGGTGGTGGCTTCCGTGACCTTTACAAGCGCGCCCACACACGCACAACTCGGGATAAGGAACCGGCTAGGATAGAAATCGCCACGAGCCGTTCCCGGAAATCAGGCACAGGGTCGCTGTGGGTTTGTCGTGCAGTGCGTGCTAACCACTGCGCCACACACACACACACACGTACGTACGTACGCGTACACACTGAACAATGTTAGTGAAAACCTATCAAGGCCACCACCACGCCGCCTAGTTACCTTCATCTCCCCAGCGCTGATGTTTACACACCTCCGATTAACACGGTTGGCTACGTACGGTGCGAAAGAAGTTCGGCGTACATACATCTCATAGGTCATAGGTCATAGGTGGTGCATAACTCGCCATCGCCACGCGACGGCCCTGGTTCCTGCCGGTCCGAATGAGCCCTTTTTGTGCGACAAAAATAGCAGCATTTAATCTGACGCACAGAGCGATGCACGACGTTGCCTAGCCTGCACGCGCGTTTGCTGTCTGTGTTCCATTCTACCGCTTTCCATGCAAAGGTCGAAAGCGCTCGTACACGACTCCTGTCCGTCCGTCGGTTTGTCGCGCACGGTCGCGGTACCTCTCGTGACGATCATCCCGTCCGGACACAAACTTTAACGCAGAGTGGCGATGCTGTTCGGGACTCGCCCCACTGTGAACCCGCCACGTTGCCCGAGACTCGGCAGACAAAGAAAATAAAGAAACCAGCGCCAAAAGGCCTCTTGGCGGACAACCAACCGTGCGTTGCCCCGACAGCCCCCGGGGAGAAACGCGCATTGAGCATCGTGACCGAATCCCTGCGTAGGCCACATCCCTCTTCTAAGCGTGGAAGAGTAGGCCAAATCCCCCTGCAGACGGTCTCTCTAGCGTCGCGCTCCTCCTGTGCCGTGGTAAAGTAAAGAACATGAAACCGTAACGTCTCCTCCCCCCGCCTCGACGACGGCGGTCGCCACCGCCGCCAGGATCTTCTACGTGTCGCACGACTCGCAGGACCTCAAGATCTTCAGCTACATCGCGCGCGACGGCACCAGCAACGTCTTCCGCTGCAACGTCTTCAAGTCCAAGAAGAAGGTGAGGGGGGGGGGGGGGGCGACCCGCACGGGGGGTCCCGACCCCGGGCGCGGCTCCTGCACCACCCCCCACAGTCCATCCCACACCGCCCACACCGCCCACACCGCCCACACCGCCCACACCGCCCACACCGCCCACACCGCCCCCCGTGTCCGTGTGTGACACCGCTGCCCACGTGCCTTGCAGTCCCACGCGATGCGCGTGGTGCGCACCGTGGGGCAGGCGTTCGAGGTGTGCCACAAGCTGAGCGTGCAGCACGCGCAGCACGTGCCTGACGGGGACACCGACAAGGGCCCGCTCGGCGGCGGTACGTACACACGCGTGTGTGTGTGTGTGCGTGTGTGTGTGTGTGTGTGCGTGTGTGTGCGTGTGTGTGCGTGTGTGCGTGTGTGTGTGTGTGCGTGTGTGTGTGTGCGTGTGTGTGTGTGTGCGTGTGTGTGTGTGCGTCTGTGTGTGTGTGCGTGTGTGCGTGTGTGTGTGTGCGTGTGTGTGTGTGTGTGTGCGTGTGTGTGCGTCTGTGTGTGTGCGTTTGTGTGTGTGTGCGTGTGTGCGTGTGTCACGGGGCGTGAGGGTGCCTGAGGGCGTGAGGGTGCGTGACGGTGGTGGTGATGGTGGTGGTGATGGTAGCAGTATGGTAGTGGTGGTGATGGCGTTGACGGTGGTGGTGGTGGTAACGGTGATGATGATGATGGTGGTGGTGGTGGTGGTAATGGTGATGATGATGATGGTGGTGATGGTGGTGGTGATGGTAGCAGTATGGTAGTGGTGGTGATGGCGTTGACGGTGGTGGTGGTGGTAATGGTGATGATGATGGTGGTGGTGGTGGTGATGGTGGCAGTAGCGATGACCGTATCGGCACTCGCAGCTAACGGCACGGCCGCGCTCATGCCAGCCGGGGAGGCAGTGGAGACCGACATCGATGCCGAGGACGACCCCTCGCCCGCTGAGCTCGCCGAGCCGGCACGGCGGCCGGGGCTCACCGACCTGGACACGACGGAGCCGCACGCAGAGACGCCGGCACAGGTGGCACGGGGCGTGGGGAGGGTTGGGATTCATAGATTCGGCTAAGAAGCACATCATGACAATGATGTGCCTCTTGTCACGGTATTGGTCATTGTCGTTGTGATGGCGAAGATCATGTTGACAATGTTAAGGATCAAGATTGTGATCACGGTCGAGGTAAAGATGATTGCGATGATGGTGATCAAACTGGAGAACCAAATGATGATGGGGATGGTGCTCAAGGCTAACGCACGCATTGCCCCCCCTCTCTCCCGTATTGTCTCCCCTTCCCGGCCCCCCCCCAACCCCCACCGGCCCCCCCGCTCCGTGCGATGTGGCCGCAGGGCCTCCCACCGGCCTCTCCCCAAGCGGCGTCTCCTCCGCACCTGGGCATGGGCTCTTCTCCCAGCATGCCCCTCTCCACGCACCACCAGATCCAGCTGCTGCAGCAGCAGCTGCTGCTGCAGCAGCAGCAGACACAGGTGGCCGTGGCGCAGGTAATCGGCAGCAACTACCACCACCGCACCACCACCGCACCACCACCGCACCACCACCACACCACCACCGCACCACCACCGCACCACCACCGCACCACCACCGCACCACCACCGCACCGACTCCGGACCACCGGCACCACCACCGCCCTTGGATCTCTGAGCAAAGCGGGGTCAAGTGCTTGGGTTCGGTAATCTAGACGAGCGGGGGGCTTGCCGGGTGTTGTAGGCGCGAGGCTGCGAGGCCGGGATGTGGCGTGCACAGCGCTGTGCCTGCCGGGCGTTCCCCGGGGTCTCCGGCGCCCTGCCGCTGCGCGTGCCAGGACGGGCGGCGTCGTGGCGCTCGGCCCGCCCAGACGAGGGAGCCTTGGGCAGGACGCGGCGCGGCGAGACGGGGGCCGGCAGACGACGGCGATGATGATGACGACGGCGATGACTGTGACAAGGATGATGATGGTGGTCAGATGACGAAGACTATAACGATGATGATGATGACAACGATGACGTTGATGACGATGATGATGATGATGACGACGACGATGACGTTGATGATGATGAAGACTTTAACGACGATGACGTTGTTCTGGCCACAGGTGCAGCTGCTCAAGGACCAGCTGAGTGCCGAGTGTGCGGCGCGCATGGAGGCACAGGCCCGCACGCACCAGCTGCTGCTGCAGAACCGCGACCTTCTGGGTCACGTGAGCGCCCTCGTCAAGGAGATCCAGGGCCTGGAGATCAGCCTGGCCCAGCACACCGGCAGTACGGCATCACAACCCGCACGCGATGAGACCTCTACCGCCGCCACCCATCGTCAATCATTGTCATCTTTGACCATAGTCCGACACTCCTGTGGAGTGCGATCTCGAGACTGCCATCGTCATATCCACCAATGTCTGTTCCACCAGGGAGATCAATATCATTGTTGTGATCTCCACGGTCATCGCCATCTCCACTGCTACTATCGCCGATATGAATGCAACGATCATCAACAACCACCAGAAAGATAAACCGTGTTCACTGTCATCATCGCGGCCACGCTTGGCGATGGGGCCCAGGAGTTGTGGGGAGGTCAAATCCGACTTCCCTCAAGACCATCACCAACATCACCGGTGTTATCACCATCACCGCCACCACCATCACAACCACCGCAACCTCTGACATCTACAACACCTCCCCCACCACCGCCACCGTGGCATCTTCGTGATTGACCAAAGTCCCCTCCCGCCCCCACCCCCAGGTGCCAGCCGTCTGAGTGTGACCGACATGTCGTGGGCCACAGCGGTGAGCTCGCCGCCCCAGCCGGCCGTGCTGCTGTGCGGGCCGTGCACGCCGCGGCCGGCCGACGTCGGCCTCTCCCCCGTCGTCGCCGGCGGCCGGGACGCCGGCGGCGGCGACGACTTCGGCCTCCGCCTCGCAGGTACGCAGCCCGCTCGGAGCGACGCCGACCGGCGATCCGGCGCGGGCGCCGCGGGGCGGCCGGCCGACCCGGGCGCCCTCGCCGCCGCCGCCGCTAATAACGCGACAGCCGTCGCTGCGGACGCAGTTGCGGCGCCGGTCGAGATGGCCCCGCGGCGGCCCCCGAGCGGCGCCGATCCGCCGGCGTGCCGGGAGGTGACGGGCCGGGGGCCGCGGTCGCCGCCGTCGCCGCCGCTACCGAGGGGGACGGGCGAGGGGTCGCCCCGCGAGGGCCGGGAGTCCCCGCGGGGGCCCGCGGGGCGGTCCGGCGCCGGCGACGGTTCGCCGGGCGGTGCCGAGGCGTCGCGGCGCGAGGGGCGACGTGGGAGAACGCCTCCCGGCGGCGGCGAGGAGGAAGAGGAGGAGGAGGAGGCTCCCAGGCAGAACGGGGTCACGCACGAGAATATCGTCGGGCCGGAGGTGGCGCTCACGTGCCACGCACGCGACGGAGGGGGGCCGGCCGCCACCGCCGTGGGCAGGAGGGGCGGCGGTGGCGGCTCGCGGCCCGAGAGGTTCAGCTTCCCGCTGGGCCCCGGCATGGGCTGGGACCCGGCTGTGTGCCGCTGCTTCTCGCTCGAGATGCTGCACGGCCAGGAGTCCGGCATCGGCCTCGAGAGCGACTCCAGCGAGGACGACGACAACGACGACGACGACGACGACGATGACGAGGAGGGGGAGGAGGGCGACGAGGTGGGGACGGAGTTAGCGGAGGCGATGCTCGGGCCTGGCTTTAGGCAGCTGGGGGTCAGGGGTCACGGCCTAGGCTGCGGAGAAGCCGTGAGAAACGAGCCGGTCATCGTGTAGCCACTGACCACTCGCGGTGTCCTGTGCTATATTTTCACCACTTGTATTTTACTATCGTTGTTACTGTTGGTATTTTCGGTGTCTTTTGTCGGGGGACGCTGCCATGCTGCAACGGTCAGCAGCGCACTGCTGGACTGGCGATCCAGAAGTCGTCGGTTCGATTCAATCTGCACCCACCCCCGCCAACCCCCTCTGTCCGCCCAGCGGTGTAAGCGGGTTCACCACAAGTTAGCCCACGATCGGCAGGTCTTGTGTGTGGCGGGGCAAAGTGTGGGCAGTCTTACCTCTTGTAAGACGTCTGGCACAGTGTGGAAGAGTAGGCCAAGCACCCTGTGAAGTGCGAAGCTCTCTGGAGCTCCCCCCCCCCCCCGGTGGAGGCCCTTCCACCAGCAATTGGCACAAGTGAGCAATTGCAGGGCTGCCCCTTTACCCACGGTTAGCTTAGAATCCGACTGATGGCACCTGCGGCGAAGACCTGCTTCGCTCGCAAGCGGAGAGTAGCGAGTTCGCATCCAGGTCAAGTCAGGCATTGATCGACTCATCCCTGAGGTGGATGATTAAACGAGTACTATTATGCGTTAAATAAACCGGTGCTTGGCCTATGGAACGGCTAATCCCTGCCATAAGAATGTGGAATTGTCACCACTGGTCCGCCACCCCCCACCCTCACCCCCCATTAACGTATGAGCAGGAAACCACTTGAATAGTTTTAATTTCACTATTAATTAGTAAAAGTAACGTACTTAGTTTCACTTGAATTTATTTACCTATTTATTAATATGTTCTTCAACTAGCTTGTCCATGAATTGGACATTCACTGTTATCACTATTGCCAGTAAGCCGCGAGTATGATGCTGAGATTACGCGAGTGTTATGCCAGTATGACGTGTGACTCCGGTGTGACATGAATATGACACCGATTCGGCGCGAGTATGATGCCGGTATGATGCCAGTATGAATCCGGTATGACGCCGGTATGACGCCAGTAACCCGCGAGTATCACTCCGGTATGACGCCAGTACTCCGGGCTCAACGTGTTCTTTCGCTGTACGCGTCGCGTGAACGAGCCGGCTGAAGCTGTGCGCGGCTCGAGGCCCCCTGAGCGGTTCCACGTGACACCGCAGTGACACCACAGTGACATCACAGTGACACCACGTGACACCACGTGACACCGCAGTGACATCACAGTGCCACACCCTCGCCACCACACCCGAAGTACGGGGCGGGGGGGGGGGTTGCAACCCGTCCTGGTTTTCCCAGGACCGTTCTCTTCCTTGGGGAGGCTGCTGCTGCTGCCCTGGGACATCTCTTAAGCGACAATGCCCCCCCCGGCTTTTGGTCCGTTGCGTAATGATAATAATAATAATAATCGTGATGTTACCCCGCTCACTCAAGACGACGCAGCCACGTGCAGTTCTCCCCTCTTCCGCTCGTGTGGGGGTTTACTCCTGGATAGGAAACGTCCCGGATTGGTGGTGGCAACCCCACCCACCCACTGCTGCTCCCGCTGCCACGCCCATCGCCCACCGTGAACTCTCAGTCGCCGTTCAGGGGATGACACTCAAAGCCCCGCACAGATGGATTCAACTCCCCTTGCCGTGCTGCTATCCGTCGGGTGCCGTGTGGTGCTGCTCACCCCCCCCCCCCCCCCCCCCGGCTCTCCGGCTGTGACCCCCACTCCTCGCGACGGAGGTGCCAGGCTAGGTGTCCGTCTCACCGCTAAACAAGTGCACTTGACAGCGACGGGCGCCGTCTCTCTGCAGCCCGCGCGGTTTAGACGGCGCCCGCGTGCGGGGGCATCGTACGCGCGCGGTGTCGATGTGTAGATGTGTACGTGGGATCTCCGTGTACGTCGTAACACTTGACATTGGCCACTGAAATTACACGCGCAGCCCGTTTGTAAATCCGCCGCTGGACGAGGGAGCGACGGTCGGAGCGCCGCGCCAACGAACCCCCCGCTGGCCAAGTTTCATTCCCGTCCAGGCTAAGGTCGGCGGCGAGTGATACCGTGCACGTGCACCGTGGTGTTGATTCAGGAGCTGTGTCCCGACCGAGGTCATCCACAAGAACGGCAGCCAGAAGGAAAACCGGAACCAAAGACTTCTACCGCGTTCGTGGCGACGGTTGATGGCGCCACTTTCTGGACAGAGTGCGGTACCCCACCCACGGTACAGACTGGTGGGCTGGTGGAGGGCAACTCCGGAGTGTGGGGGGGGGGGGTGGCAGGATGAAGCTGACCACCACCCCCCCCTCCTCCCCTCCGCTTCACCGCTAAATTGCTCAGCTCCCCCTTCTAAATGATTTTAGCCGACACTATTTTAACAGCGGGCGGCGGTTTTTCGTCAACGTTTTCCGGCGTGACAAATGGCCGTGAACCATTAACAGGAACAAGTTGAGTGCCGAGGTTCGTTCAGAGTTTGAAGAACATTGACTGCCCCCCCCCCACCCTCCCTCCCTCCCCCCCGGGATCCCCCGTTCACACGAGGTCAGGCTGCAGGGTTCGTGGAGGCCGCTCGACCTTGTGAACAAGAACCAAACGACAACAAAAGACACGCGAAAACAATACTGCGCGGCAGGAATACATTTCAGTGGCCAATTTTGAAGCGAGTGCGGGACGCTTGGGACAAAGACATATATAGTATATATATCTAAATACTTCGGAAGCGACCAGGATCTCTCTGGATAGGCTTCATCTCCGGTTATCTTCCCCCGCGGGCGGTTTGCGTTTGCGCCCCAAAAAAAACCGAACGAGCGGCGCAACTCGAGCGGACGCCTCCGCCGACGGCCGACGCCGGGACTCAACTTGGCGCCGCGGCGGCTGCAGCCGCACCCGAGCCCGCGCCCCTGCGAGGGCGGATCCCGTCGGGCGACCCGTGCGTCCGCGACTGTCACCGAATAAACACGCTGCCAGCAAGGCCTTGACGGGAGCGTTCAGCGTCGATTCTCACGGCGGTCGCCAAGGGGTCGAGGGACGCCGCGCACTCGCCGTCGCTCGTCGTACGCGGGGGTCGCGGGGTCCACGCAGACGAACGTCCCTCCGGGGCCCGTCAAATAAGTGCCGCTCTGTTGGGGGGGGGGTCAACATTTCGTTGTCCCTGTGGAAAGGCTCGAACCCCCCCCCCCCCGTCAGAGGAATGTGGAATTTCCACCACTGGCTCAGGGTCATAAACAGGAGTTGAGCCACCCACTGACTCGACGCTCATTTTGAGCAGGAAGGATTTGTTTTGAGTTAAGGCCCGAGGGTTGGAGCAAGGCCCGGGGACCACAGGGACCCTAGGGGTCAGGGAGCAGGGGACCATAGGGATCCTAAGGGGGGCAGGGGTGGGGGGCGGCAGGGGTCGCAGAGCAGGGATGAGGATCGAGGGGGACAGGTGATGACTTTTTTTCTGAACCAACAAAACGATTTGTTTCCTCCTTGTGCTTTTCATTGTGGAGCCGAGCCGAGCGCCAAGGTAAGGAAGTCCGACGTTTTGTGTCAGCAGGCCGCGTCCCAGGGCCCCCTCTCGGTATCGGCATGGCCGTGGCGGTTCCCTCTCATTCTGTTCCGTTTTGCCTGCTGTCGCTGTGCGGACGCTGCGCCACGTCCACTGGGTTAACCGGCACACTCCTGACATCGTCACACAACTTGGCCTCTGGTTGCAGGGACATCCAAATGCAAGAAATTCATTCACATGCAACCCAATTGAGATTCAGTTGCGAGCGACCGAGCTCAGATTCAGTTGCAGGCAACCGAGTTTGGATTCAGTTGCAGGCAACCGAGCTGAGATTCAGTTGTGTGCAACCCAAGTTGGGATTCGGTTGCATGCAACCAACTTGCGCAACTGATCGGCCAGGTGTGGACCCGTCTTACGAGTCCCTTGTTTCTATCATCATCGTCATCGTCGTCGTCTCTGTCGTCATCTGTGAATCGTCGTCACATTTCATCTCGTCCCGTCCGCCTGCGGGCAGCACGCCGCTCGCTCGTAACCATTCCCCGTGCAGCGGCACGCGCCTTCCCTGCTCGCCCCACGGTTCTGTTCCATTTTCTCGTCGCAGCGATGGCAATCGTTCACCGGCCCGCTCGTCATCACCACCTTGTGCGTAAAAGGCAACGCCACGTGGGAACTCTCGTTAATGGGCTGAACGCATCTTTAACAAACAGAGGACACGCAGCGCTTGGGCAATTGTCGATAGCGCCGCTCGTCGCTGCCTGGCTGCTGCCGCTGCCGCTGCTGCTGCTGCTGCTGCTGCTGCCGCCTTCGACAGCTCGTGCCTGTGGTTTGTCAGCGATTGTGAGAAGTAATCTGCATGAACGATGATGATGCGCTTAAACACCGCTGCTCTTACTGTGATCGTGACCCTGTGTCCCCGTGTGTCTCCCCCTCCTCCTCCTCCTCCGCAGTCGATCAGAGCCTCTTTGAGAACGCCAGTTTCTCCGCGTCCCCGATACCCAAGGGTAGGAACATCATCGCGGTTAGCACCCCTATCGGGGTGTCGGCGGCGGCCGGGGTGGGGCCGGGGGTGGCGGCACCGGGGCCCCCCCCCGTTCCCCGGGAGGCCGAGCGGGGACCCCCCACCCCGGGGGGCGGGGAGCGCGCCACCTGGACGGCGCTGGGAGCCGCCGAGCGTTGGCCGAGCGACGCTTGGGACGCGGCGGCGGAGCAAGCGGGACGAGGGGGCGCCGCGTGGAGCACCGCCCCGGCGGCGATGGCGGCGATGGCGGCGGGTCCTCACCTGGCGCGCAGGTGAGCGATCGCACACACGCAACAGGCGTGTGTGCGTGTGTGCCTGGTGCGTGTGTGCGTGCGCGTGTGTGCCTGGTGCGTGTGTGCGTGCGCGTGTGTGCCTGGTGCGTGTGTGTGTGCGCGTGTGTGCGTGTGTGTGTGTGTGTGTGCGCGGTGGCGTAGCGGCCGGAGTTCGATACCCGCTCATGGCCACCGACACCGATGACGATTATCTGAACCGGTCTTGAGCCTCCCCTAGGTCGCCTCGGCCTCAAATGAGTACCTGGTGCTGAGTATCAACATCGCCACTGGAGAGACAAAGGCGGCCGGCCGTGGTGCTGCTATACCGGCCTTGATGTGCTCACTAACAGCACTTAGCCCTACAGTTTGTTAAGGCTAAAAAAGGCAAAGATTTCTGTATATATATACAACAACAACCGCCATTCACCACAGCGCTTGTGCCAGGCTAGGTGCACGTTAAGACCACGTCAAGTGTCGAACGCCCGCTGGCAGGTCACGGGACAGAACCAACCAGGTGCCATGGATTCACTGACTGAGATGGCTGGCCGGGCTCAAATTATCCAAAAACACCAAGCAGCCGGCAACCGGCGTTCCATTTCACCCTCCTCCATCAGCGCGGTTCACCGATCCAACTCGAAATTAATCCCTGGAAAAATCTCTGCGGTCGATGCGACTCACGAGCCGAGCCACTGGTCCACCCCACGGGCTGACGCACACGACTGTTTATCTGCGCAGTGCCAGCACGTCTGCTCACGCACGTGTGTGTGCGCGCACGCAAGTGCTTGGACTTTTTGTGTACGAATGTACGTGCATGTACTTTGTGTGCGCACGTATGCACGTGGGTGTACGTGGAGCGTGTGGTGTGTACGTGTGATGTGAGTGTACGTGGGTGTACGTAGAGCATCTGTGTGCAGCATGTGTGTACGTGGGCCTATATGGAGCGTGCGTGTGCCGTGCGTGTGTGATGTGGGTGCGAGTGTCACGCCCTGCCTACGCCCTGCCCTTTGACCCCTTGCCAGGGCCGCCCCCGACACCTTCCCCCGGTTGGAGCCGCCGCCGCCGTCCGCCGCTCGCAAGCGCGTCCCTCGCGCCCTCAAAACGACGCAGGACATGATGGTGCCGCCCAGCACCACCGGCAACACCAGCAACAGCTCTGCCACGGAGCTTCACCATGACGACCGCCACGACCACCACACCGCCACCACCACCACCAACAACACCGACGACGGAGACGACAACAACAACTACGACAACCATCACCACCACCACCACCACGACCATGACGACGATGAAGACCCCTTCTCCTGCTCGGCCGAGATGCGCCTGCTGTTCCTACAGGAGGAGCCGACGCAGCACTCCTTCGGGAATTCCTTCTGGGATTACTCCGGCAGTCCTGACCGCGACTTGGCGGGATCGGGCGAGCCGACGCTCGCGAACGGCGCGAGCCGGGGGGAGCACGCCGGGGATGAGACGGCACAGTCCAAGCAGCAGCAGCAGCAGCAGAGCCCCGACAAGGAGTCGGTTCCGAAGTCGATCCGGAAGGAGCTGGACGCGCTCGGCGTTCCGGAGTCGGAGTCCCGGATTTCCGGGCGGGATCCCCTCGAGGAAGGGTCGGAGGATTCCGGCATCGTCCGGCAGAGAGACTCCGGCACCTCGGAGGGCGAGCGCGCCGAGGCCCTTGGCCTCGACTGAGCGTGAGCAGCAAAATGTAAATCGATAATTAAATAAGTAAATGTAACAATCGACGTCCGGAGCAGACGCCTGTTGAGTTCACGACGGGGGCCGGAAGTCGAAGATGACGAATCGATGACGTTTCCCTGCCCTGCCCTGGGAGCACCGTTGTGAAAATCTTTACGGTCATTAATTTTGGCATCATCATCATCACCGTTGTTGCTATTTTTTAGTTTTATTTAAAGTTACGTTTTTTACAACGTTCATCTCATCCGATAGATTCTGTCTCATCCCGCGAGTATTGTTGGGTTATTATTTTTTTTTATTTTATTAGCTCACCAATGTCATCGAAGAGACGGGACGACAGATTGTTTCCAAACAAGTCCCAGTTCCTTAGCAATGACAAATCTCAAAGTGACCGCTTGCGACCGCTCACGCTCATGGTGACCTTTAACCCCGCGGCCTCCACCATCATTTCTGACGCCACAATCATTTCCCAGATGATGCAAGTCTGTGTTTTTATTTCTCTTTCGATCTCGCCTTCGCGTTTGCATTTCCACAAGCAAGTTGCTGTCAAACGTTGTACTAATGTGTTTTGCTTTATACGCAATGTATGGTTATTGTTTTGATACTCGCCCTTGCCAATAAGAATGTGGAAGTTCCATGTCTGGCTCCGGGCCACCAAACGGGCGAGATGATCACTGCCTGGTACCCAAAAAACACTTTTGAGATGGATTCCTACCGTGTTGCCGAATGTTCCTGTCAGAATTTCGGCAAAATTGTACCGCTGATGTCTCAATCACCAACAACGGGCAAAACAAATCCAGAAAAGTGATCGGCTGTCTTTGTGGCAGAATATCACTTTGACCCCCCTTTAGACTCATTCACCGGAAACTTTTGAATTGTAGGCGAGCGAGGCCTTGTGAGAGGCCTCGCCGGGCCTCGACTCTGAATGTACGCGACTCCGCGTGGACGCGCAGCGACGGCGGCGGTGGCTATGAATTAGGAGGAGGGAATGTTTACGCAAGTGACGGAAGGCACGGGAAGGTCGCAGGAAGATTTGAGAGATTGTAGACCAGTTTTAATGTTGAGCCAAGACGGGGAGGAGGACGTGTGCGTCTTTGGGTTGGTTCAAGGAGGATCCAGTATGGGCGTAAAATCAAATATTAAAGCACAACCGGGAGGTGACCTGGGTGGTTCCTGGGGTGTCGGAGAAGCCGGGTCAACCCCTTTGAGATCATCGTCATTATGGGTTCGAATCTGGATTTCAGCCACGACTCGTTGAACCAAAGCCTCATCGAGTTGAGCAGTGGACTTGTCCCTGGTGACAAGTGACCACGAAATAAACGGGACAGAGAATCCCCGCGCAGAGCGCAGCACCTCTTGGCGCAACCAACGTCTCCTATTTACATAGAAACGGATTTGCCTTTGGGGGCAGTGGGCATTGTGAAGGGCAGCAGTGGAGGGGTTGGGGGGGAAGGCAGCAAAGGGTCACGGTGGGCAGCAACAGATAGTCTGTGGTGGGGGTAGTCGGCATTGTGAAGGGCAGCATTAGTGGGGTTGGGGAGGTGGGCAGCCGGGGTGACGGCGTGTCATCATATCACGTGCAGGTCAGGTGACTCCCCCCCCATACCTGCATAACACTCACCTGTACATACAATACAGGTAACCCACCTGAACTGGCAACACTCCTCTGCACATCACATCCAGTGTGTGTGTTACTGAATTTCAAAAGGGGGGGACGGGAGTCGGAATGTAAGTTAAAATGTAATTATCTCTTATAATTATTTTTAAATAAATGTACTTTTAACAGCAAAACACTAATAATTGTACCAGTTATAATCAAACTCGCCGGGAGCATGTCGCGGTGCCTTCTGGGATTCATGGCGATGCCTGATCCATCGTTATCGATCACCAATGTTGATCACCATCGTTTATCATCATCGGCATTGTTCTTGATCACCATTACTGATCAGCATCGATTTTATTGATCGGCATTATTCACCATTATTGTACCTGCACAACGCGACAATAAAATCGCGCTAGAGCCTCTCTCTGCACGTGACTTTGTGTGCATCAGTGTCCGTGCGTGTTGAGAGAACGGCCGCTGCAAGAATGCGTCGCGTCACGCCACGCGAGTTCGTGTCAACGAGTCGACTTTGCCCACGCGAGGAGCCCAACGTGGAGTTGGTTACACAGGTTCGGAAGCTAAGCAGGTTTGAGCCTGGATAATTATTGGATAGGCGACCGCCACGCTAAACACCGGACCTCTAACTCAACCCGTCCCGCGATGCGTCACGGGTGGTACAGAGTTGCATTGGCAGCTGCCACCCGCCACTCGGAGCCACGAAGCACGTGGCTCACAATTGCACGAATGTTTCATTGTTGGATTGATCAACACGCGGGCGACACAGCCTTCGACGTTCAGCCACCACAACAACAACGACCAATCAACGTCTCTCTCTCACACACTCGAAAAAACACGTGGTCATCGTGTCATGAACTCTTCTCGTGCGTGATGACGCCCGAAGCGATCACGGGACGCGACAATTTTATTGGGACGCCGGTTCGATTCCATCTCCCGACACGGAATTTGAAACAACGAGGGGAGGGGATTACAGCAAGTTTCTCAAATCTCCCCTGCTCGTCCCACGCCTCTGTCCCCCCAGCAGTGTGAATGGGTTCCTCGGCTGCTCGATCGGCAGGTCGCGAGGGAGTAACGCGTGGGTACCTCGCCTCTTCCAAGACTGTCCAGACGTCTCGAGGATAGTTTAACACGTGGGAGGCTGTCGCGACCAATATCATCCAGAATACAGGTTCTTTTTGGGTTGGATTGCGTAAATATATAAATGTGTCGTTAAACCCGCCACCACCCGACACAGCCAATTAATACAGTTTGACACGTAAACAGAACGTGCCAATTCGTTACTAGTGCAGCACACCGGAGTGTTGGGGAGCCAAGCCACAACATTTACAATCTGAGTACGACGTTTCGCCAGTAATTACAACCAGCTTCATCAGGCGACAATCAGATTTGTGGAGAAGTCGTCCTCCTGTTTCCTTCCTTACTTCTTGCCAGGTCCCTCGCAAAAAAGGTTTTTAACCTCAAGGGTTTATTACCTGGTTAAGTAAAGGTCAAGTAAAACAAATATGTGATGACGTCGCTTACACGATCTAACCCAAAAGAACACCTGGATTACGGACCTCTCTCTCTCGGACCTCTCTCGAGAGAGCGGTCCGAGAGAGAGGTCCGAGAGAGAGAGAGAGATCCGAGAGAGAGATCCGAGAGAGAGGGAGAGTTCCGAGAGAGAGAGATCCGAGAGAGAGAGAGGTCCGAGAGAGAGAGAGGTCCGACAGAGAGAGAGAGAGAGGTCCGACAGAGAGAGAGAGAGAGAGGTCCGAGAGAGAGAGAGGTCCGAGAGAGAGAGAGAGATCCGAGAGAGAGAGGTCCGAGAGAGAGTTCCTAACCGAGCATGACTCACGAATTGGTGGATAGACTGACACTCGCCGTGGGAATGTGGAATTCCCCACCACTGGCCGAGAGCCGAACGAGCTATCGTCCTTCACTCACTCTACCTCGGTGGGCCCCCTCAACACCCATCGACCCCCTCAAACCTTCACAGGATCACCTTGTACCCCCGAGCACCCCTTTACACCTTCCTGACAAATCGGCTGGTCCCCTTTCGCCAGTCCCGGGACCCCGCCCTGGAGTAGGACCCCCTCGGGGGCGCGTGGAGGCTGAAGGAACCCGAGGGGGAAGCGGTGGGGGTCACGGACCCCACAGCGTTGCCCCCCGAAGGGTTCAGCCGCGCATATCGCCTGTCAAAGTAGCTGTGGGGGGCAGGGGGTGCGGGATGGGAGAGGGAGGGGTCAACAACAGAAATCGCCGATCGCGCAAAGTCAATCGCTGTGTGTCCATGTGTAAGTGGGATGGTGATGGTCGAGGAGATGGATGTTATCAGATGTATATGGTGGTGATGGTGATGATGGTGGTGGTGGTGATGTGTGTATGTTGAACTTCTTTCGGACCGTACGTAGCCAACCGCGCTCATCAGAGGTGCGGGTTAGGCGATGATGATAGTGGTGGTGGCTGTGGCGGCTGCCGTGATGATGATTGAGATGGCAAAGATGATGACGGAATAGTTTGTGGCTGTAATGGTGGTGATACTCGTGGTGTTAGTAGTGTTGCCATGGTGATGACGATTATATTTTATGATACAGATGTTGTGCAGAATAGAATGTAATTACCAGTGCTGGTAGCGGCAGGAGTGATGATCATGATGATGGTGATGGCAGTGGTGGTGTTAGTTGCAATGGTGAGTGGTTGATGATTATAATGATGATAGTAGCAATATCTGTGATGATGTTGATGATGAGGATGATGATGAAGATGACGGTAGTAGTTTATGCGATGATAATGTTGAAGATTGTTGATGGGGTACACGTACTCTTCAGACCAGATGGGCCGCACGGGCTTGCACGCGGGTTTGCTGGCGAGGGCCCTGCGCGCCACCAGGCCCGACACGAGCTCGTGAGCGAGCAGCGCGTAGAGGAGCGCGATGAGAACTCCCGCCTCCATGATGCTCACCGATCCGTCCTCCCCTCGCCCTCCCTTCTCCCTCTCCTCTTCCCCCTCCTCCGTCCTCCTTCCTCTGCCTCCCGTGCAGTCCTCTCTGCGTCGGCCTCAAGCAATGGCCATGGGCAGCTACAGTATGATAACATTGAACACACGCACACACCGCACACACACACCGCGGTAGTAGCAATAATAAGAGAAAACCAACGTTGCCCTGGATGATATTCACGCCCCTTCTTGACGGAAGGGCCGAGGCGACGCGCCGACTCGCACGAATGGCCGCATTGTTGGTGATTGTCGATTACGACCACAATATTTATTTACACCGCGGAGGAATCCGATGAGCCCACGAGAGACGGCGGGCAACATGCAAACGAAACTGGACACGGAGAGACGCGCTCACCGGTGCGAGGTGGCGAGATGGAGTTTTAATATCCTCGAGACCCACGCAAGGCGATTGTTAAATACTTGTTATTGTGTAAAATGGGCTCCCTCACGTCGATATTCGGTAAAACGCAATTTTTAAAATAAAATATATATAATCATAATACGTAACGGACTAAGAAATTCAGTCTTGGCAAATTATGAATTTGAAACGAGCTTTGTACGGTGATTGTATTAGCGATAAACGCTGGCGCTGGGAGGTTTGGGAGAGAGGCGTGTTCAGCACCACGGCCAGCGCCGCCTTTCTCCCTCATCAGCGCGCTCGCGGAGGGAGGGACGGGGGAGGGATGGGAGATGATGAGAGGGAGGAGAGGGATGGGGAGGAGAGGGAGAGATGGGAGGGTTGGGGAGAGGGAGGGACGGAGAGACGTGGATGAGAGAGGAAGTCTGGGGGGAGGTAGGGAAGAAGGCAGGGAGAAGATTGAAGGATGGCAACGTTACTGTGTGGGGATGGTGACTCGGATGGTGTTAGTCATGGAATGGTGATAGTGATGGTGGTCATAAGGTGGTGATGCTAGAAGTCAGAAGTGATTATGGGGATTCCGATCATCGCGGGGTGAGAGTAGGTGATGAGAGGGAGGGGGAGACGGAGAAAGAAACGGAAATGAATGAGAGGGAGACATGTGGGTGCGGTTGTTTGGTGTTGGAAGGAACCGGAGCGTCCAGAGAAACCCCACACACGCACACGAGGGGACATCACTCAAACGCCGCTGGACAAACACAGCGACAGTATACAATTTGCTGAACAGTCATTTGTTTACAAAAACATTCTCACAGCCTGCCAACCAGGCGTGTAACAACCACACGCACACAGATACGAAGACAAAGATCCCCCGTATAACCTGTAACAGACTGTAGGGGCAAGTGCTGTTAGCGAGAAGGCCGGAACGGTACACGAGGGGGTGGGTGGCCAGCACAACTACTCGACCGCCTTTGCCTCCCGAGTGGCAATGTTTACACACCGCACCAGGTACTCATTTGAGGCTGAGTCGACCTAGGGGAGGCCCAGGACCGGTTCAGATAATCGTCACTGGTGTTGGCCGTGAGCGGGAAACGAAACCGCGTCGCCGGGTTCATAGCGCAGCGCGCTAACCGCTACACCACCGCTCCCCTTTCAGATAACAACAACAACCGCCATTCGCCACTAAGTGGCGGTGACGTCACCACGACGCTTGTGCCAGGCTATGTGCACCTCAAGGCCACGTGAAGTGTCGAACGCCCGCTGGCAGGAGGTCACGGGGCAGACCCAGATGCCACAGGTCGACTGACTGAGACGACTGGCTGATGCACCACCTGTGCCCCCTACTGTGCCAACTTGCTGTGCTTTATCCACCCGGCGCTCCGCTCGTTGTTGTGATCGTCGCTTCTCCGCCCTCCTTTGTTGTTGGAGGGCGAATGCCTCCAACTGCCCAGTGGCGTCCTTCACGAGCCTCCTCCACAGAGGCCGATCTTGACACCGCTGGTACCAGTCATCGGCAAGTCCACTCAGCTCCACGTCCTCCTGTACCACATCACTCCATCTCTTCTCTAGCCGGTGGCGCGCCCATTTAGCCCCCTCGATCTGGCCGAACAAAGGCTGTTTAAGCATGCGGTGGCTGGGCATGCGGGCTACATGACCCAGCCAACGCAGCCTTGCCTGCCGGAGGAGCTCACCAATGGGACCTTGCCCAGATCTTTCAAGAATTTGTGAGCTCCTCACACAATCCATCCTGGTTAAATCCAGGATGGATCGTAGGCAGGCCAGCCTAAATGTTTCTAAACGGCGAATATGTTCCATTAGGGGCGTCCACGTTTCGCAAGCGTAGAGAAGGCAGGGAATGACCGTGGCCGAGAAGACCTAAAGCTTAGTGCGGAGCGACAGACCAGGTAGCTTGCACAGCTTTACGCAACCGATGAAAATATAATGCCACTCGACTGATTCAGAGTGAGACCTCTGCTGTTAAACCGGAGCCAGGCAGGTGCTTAGTTTTGGTGGGGCTGATGGTAAGGCCCCATCTCTTAGTGGCACGCTCCAGTCTCAGCAGCAGCGTCTTCAACTCCTCCTCTGAATGAGCAGCTATTACCAAATCATCGGCATACATAACGTGGTTGCGCAATAGGGAGCCATCCCTTGACCGCACCCGGCCATCGTTCAGCCTCCCATTATATCTGTACCAAATATAGATTCCCCCGGTACAGCTATTGAAGGCTTCATGAAATACGTGGTCAAAATAGATGTTAAATAATGTGGGAGCCAGAGGACATACCTGTCGCACCCCAAGGTGTACAGGGAATGGCTCGGACTCCCGGCCACGTAGTTTTACCCTGGCCCGCTCACCATCATGAAGGTCCTTAATGATCGTTAGCAGAGGGTCAGGGACTCCGAAAGCACGAAGAACAACCCAGAGCCCAGGCCTACTGATGGTATCATAGGCCTTGACCAGGTCAATAAAGCAGAGATGTAGGTCTTGTTGGAATTCCCTACACCTCTGCTGTAGCAGACAGACAAAAAATATGGCACCTGTGCAGGACCGCCCTTTCCTGAAACCGCATTGGGGCTCCGCAAGCCTCTCCTCAGCGTGCCTAGCAAGGCGATGTTGAATAATCCACGACCGCGTCAGGTCATCGTCACCGGTGTTGGTGGCCGTGGGCGGGAATCGAACTCGGTTCGCCGGGTTCGTTGCGCGGTGCACGGGAACCACAACAGCCCCCCTCACTGCCCCGCCCTCTCACTCCCCCGCCCCCTCACTCCCCCGCCCCCCTCCCCCACTGCCCCGCCCCCTCACAGCCCCGCCCCCTCCCCCATTTTCCCCTCACCGCCCCCTCCCTCTCCCCACTCCTCGAGGATCTTGTGCCCGGGGCGGCCAAACAGTGGCCCCACTCTCACACTCCCTCACACTCCCTCACACTCTCTCACACTCCCTCACACTCCCTCACACTCCCTCACACTCCCCACTCCCTCACACTCTCTCACACTCTCTCACACTCCCTCACACTCTCTCACACTCCCTCACACTCTCTCACACTCTCTCACACTCCCTCACACTCCCCACTCCCTCACACTCTCTCACACTCTCTCACACCCCCTCACACTCTCTCACACTCCCTCACACTCCCTCACACTCTCTCACACTCCCCACTCCCTCACACTCCCTCACACTCCCTCCCACTCTCTCACACTCCCTCACACTCTCTCACACTCTCTCACACTCCCTCACACTCCCTCACACTCCCCACTCCCTCACACTCTCTCACACTCCCTCACACTCTCTCACACTCCCTCACACTCCCTCACACTCCCTCAGACTCTCTCACACTCCCTTAGACTCTCTCACACTCTCTCACACTCCCCACTCCCTCACACTCTCTCACACTCTCTCACACTCCCTCACACTCCCTCACACTCCCTCAGACTCTCTCACACTCCCTCACACTCTCTTACACTCCCTCACACTCCCTCACACTCTCTCACACTCCCTCACACTCTCTCACACTCCCTCACACTCTCTCACACTCCCTCACACTCCCTCACACTCTCTCACACTCCCTCACACTCTCTCACACTCCCTCACACTCCCTCACACTCTCCACACTCCCTCACACTCTCTCACACTCCATCACACTCCCTCACACTCTCTCACACTCCGTCACACTCTCTCACACTCTCTCACACTCCCTCACACTCCCTCACACTCTCTCACACTCTCTCACACTCCCCACTCTCTCAAACTCCCTCACACTCCCTCACACTCTCTCACACTCCTTCACACTCCCTCACACTCTCTCACACTCCCTTACACTCCCTCACACTCTCTCACACTCTCTCACACTCCCTCACACTCTCTCACACTCCCTCCTCTCTCACACTCCCCACTCCCTCACACTCCCTCACACTCCCTCACACTCCCTCACACTCTCTCACACTCTCTCACACTCCCTCACACTCCCCACTCCCTCACACTCCCTCACACTCCCTCACACTACCTCACACTCCCTCACACTCCCTCACACTCTCCCACTCTCTCTCACACTCCCTCACACTCTCTCACACTCCCTCACACTCTCTCACACTCCCTCACACTCTCTCACACTCTCTCACACTCCCTCACACTCCCCACTCCCTCACACTCCCTCACACTCCCTCACACTCCCTCACACTCCCCACTCTCTCACACTCTTTCACACTCCCTTACACGCTCTCACACTCCCTCACTCTCTCACACTCCCTCACACGCTCTCACACTCTCTCACACTCCCCACTCTCTCACACTCTCTCACACTCCCTCACACTCTCTCACACTCCCTCACACTCCCCACTCTCTCACACTCCCCGCTCTCTCACACTCTCTCACACTCTCTCACACTCCCCACTCTCTCACACTCTCTCACTCTCTCACACTCCCTCACACTCCCTCACACATTCTCACTCTCTCACACTCCCTCACACTCTCTCACACTCCCTCACACTCTCTCACACTCCCCACTCTCTCACACTCCCCACTCTCTCACACTCCTCACACTCTCTCACACTCCCTCACACTCTCTCACACTCCCCACTCTCTCACACTCTCACACTCCCTCACACTCCCCACTCTCACTCCCTCACGCTTCTCACACTCCCCACTCTCTCACACTCCCTCATACTCTCTCACACTCCCTCACACTCTCTCACACTCCTTCACACTCTCTCACACTCCCCACTCTCTCACACTCCCCACTCTCTCACACTCTCTCACACTCTCTCACACTCCCTCACATGCTCTCACACTCCCCACTCTCTCACACTCTCTCACAATCTCTCACACTCCCCACTCTCTCACACTCTCTCACACTCCCCACTCTCTCACACTCCCTCACACTCTCTCAAACCCCCCACTCTCTCACACTCCCCACTCTTTCTCACTCCCTCACACTCCCTCACACACTCTCACACTCCCCACTCTCTCACACTCCCTCACACTCTCTCACACTCCCCACTCTCTCACACTCCCCACTCTCACACACTCTCTCACACTCTCTCACACTCCCTCACACTCTCTCACACTCCCCACCCTCTCACACCCTCTCACACTCCCTCACAAACTCTCACACTCCCTACTCTCTCACACTCTCTCACACTCCCCTATCGCTCACACTCTCTCACACTCTCTCACACTCCCCACTCTATCACTCTCCCCACTCTCTCACACTCCCCACTCTCACACTCCCCACTCTCTCACACTCCCCACTCTCTCACACTCCCCACTCTCTCACACTCCCCACTCTCTCACACTCCACACACTCTCATACTCCCCACTCTCTCACACTCTGCACTCTCTCACACTCTCTCACTCTCTCACACTCTCACACCCCCCACTCTCTCACACTCCCCACACTCCCCACTCTCTCACACTCCTCACTCTCTCACACTCCGCACTCTCTCACACTCCCCACACTCTCACACTCCCCACACTCTCTCACACTCCTCACGCTCTCACACTCCCCACTCTCTCACATTCTCTCACTCCCCACGCTCTCACACTCCCTCACACTCCCCATTCTCTCACCCTCCCCACTCTCTCACACTCCCCACACTCCCCACTTTCTCACACTCCCCACTCTCTCACACTCCCCACTCTCTCACACTCCCCACACTCTCACACTCCCCACACTCTCTCACCCTCCCCACTCTCTCACACTCCCCACTCTCTCACACTCCCCACACTCTCACACTCCCCACACTCTCACACTCCCCACACTCTCTCACCCTCCCCACTCTCTCACACTCCCCACACTCTCACACTTCCCACACTCTCTCACACTCTCTCACACTCCCCACTCTCTCACACTCCCCACACTCTCTCACCCTCCCCACTCTCTCACCCTCCTCACTCTCTCACCCTCCCCACTCTCTCACACTCCCCACACTCTCTCACCCTCCTCACTCTCTCACATTCCCCACTCTCTCACACTCCCCACACTCTCACACTTCCCACACTCTCTCACACTCTCTCACACTCCCCACTCTCTCACACTCCACACTCTCTCACACTCCCCACACCCTCACACTTCCCACACTCTCTCACACTTTCTCACACTCCCCACTCTCTCACATTCCCCACTCTCTCACACTCCCCACACTCTCACTCTCTCACACTCCCCACACTCTCTCACACTCCCCACTCTCTCACACTCCCCACACTCTCTCACGCTCCCCACTCTCTCACACTCCCCACTCTCTCTCACTCTCACCCCCCACTCTCCACACACTCCCCACTCTCTCACACTCCCCACACTCTCACACTCCCCACACTCTCTCACGCTCCCCACTCTCTCACACTCCCCACACTCTCACACTCCCCACACTCTCACCCCCCACTCTCCACACACTCCCCACTCTCTCACACTCCCCACACTCTCACACTCCGCACACTCTCTCACGTTCCCCACTCTCCACACACTCCCCACTCTCTCACACTCCCCACTCTCTCACACTCCCCACACTCTCTCACGCTCCCCACTCTCTCACACTCCCCAATCTCTCTCTCACCCCCCACTCTCCACACACTCTAACACTCCCACCCCCAACTCTCCACACTGCTCTCTCTCACGCCTTGGCACTCAACTCCCACCGCCCTGCACCTTCTCTTCATGCTGTCGCAGTCATCGCCACTCGAACTCCTCCTCTCTGTCTTCTGACCCCCTTGAGAGGGGGCCGACCCCCTTACAGAGGGAGGGGGGGGGGAGCCTCTGGGGTCCCTGTGCCTCTCGGCGTGGGGGTTCAGGTGCTATCGAGACGCGATGCAGGATGGTGAGTGTCCCTCTCTCTCCTCTCTTGTGCTATCTAGAGGCGATGCAGCATGGTGAGTGTCCCTCTCTCTCCTCTCTTGTGCTATCTAGAGGCGATGCAGGATGGTGAGTGTCCCTCTCTCTCCTCTCTTGTGCTATCTAGAGGCGATGCAGGATGGTGAGTGTCTCTCTCTCTCTCCTCTCTTGTGCTATCTAGACGCGATGCAGGAGGGTGAGTGTCCCTGTCTTTCCTCTCTTGTGCTATCTAGATGCGAGGCAGAATGATGAGTGTCCCTCTCTCTCCTCTCTTGTGCTATCGAGACGCGATGCAGGATGGTGAGTGTCCCTCTCTCTCCTCTCTTGTGCTATCTAGATGCGAGGCAGGATGGTGAGTGTCCCTCTCCTCTCTCCTCTCTTGTGCTATCTAGAGGCGATGCAGCATGGTGAGTGTCCCTCTCTCTCCTGTGTACGATTCAACTTCTGTCCGAGTCGAACGGATGCCGCTTGTTCCGCAGACCCCCGTTGCGATGCTTCTTCCCGTTCATACCAGCAGCGTGCGATGAGAAACGAAGTCGTTTGTCCACTGTTGGATGAAGATCTCGTGCACACGTCCCGTCGGTCGACGTGGGTCGTTTGACCATACTTCACCACGCTGGTCAGCGCCGGTTGGTGGAAAATTATGCTCAGGAATCGGTTTGAGGCGACATCGTCCGCACGCTGATGTCAGCCGCCGTCGTGGACTCGAACTGGGACGAGCCGAGTTGACGGGCGGTGCGCGCTAACCACCGCGCCACCGCTCCACCCGGACCGATGTTCATCACCGTCATCAGCCACGGTCTATCCGCTGCTGGGGGAAGGCCTCGACAAGCTGTCGCCATCCACCCAGCGCCTGCGCACGTGATGGTTTTATGGTTCACATCTCCTCAGGGGTCGTCCTCCAAGACACGCTTCATCCCGTGGTTACCAATCCCGTCACTACCCTTGACCATCGGCCATCATCGGCGATTGTTTAAACCGAGCGAGCCTACTTGCTGTGCCTCCCATTGACGAGACGACGCCGTCACGTAGTCTTTCAGATCGGCGAACAGAACAATTAACCCCGGTCTCCGGGGCTCCGTGTTCACCGCTGGCCAGGTTCGACGTGGCCGCTTCGCCAGCCGCAACGCACTTGGCGACCTGCGGCGCGTGGGGAAGGGTCCGAGGCACGGATTGAACCCAGGCGCGCTGGGGTGCGGGGCTGAGACGGTAGCTGGGGGTCGATATCGGAGCCGGACACTGACTGATGGTTGCTAGGCGACTCGAGCACGGATCAGTTGCTGCGGCACGGTTGGGTAACCGGTGATGCTGTAACACTTTTTTATTTTCCCTTATTTAAAGCATTTTTTTATTTATTTTATTTTACCAGGTCAGGCCCACTGAGGTGTATAGCTCTCTTTCAGAAGCGTCCTGGCGATCACAAATGATAGCTCAACGAAGTGTATTACCATCATGTGGAAATGTATAGCAACAGCTGAACACTCATCGCGCGATGTTGATTCTACGGAGAGAGAAACACGCAAACACCAAATATACAGCAGCAGCAGTAGGCATCGTCAAGGTCGGGATCGAATCCACGACCTCCCGCGTACCAGGCGAGGGAGTTCACATCTCACAGCCACACACAAATATACAGCAGCAGCAGGCATCGTCATGGTCGGGGTCGAATCCACGACCTCCCGCGTACCAGGCGAGGGAGTTCACATCTCACAGCCACGCACAAATATACAGCAGCAGCAGCAGGCATCGTCAGGGTCGGGGTCGAACTCACGACCTCCCGCGTACCAGGCGAGGGAGTTCACATCTCACAGCCACGCACAAATATACAGCAGCAGCAGGCATCGTCAAGGTCGGGGTCGAATCCACAACCTCCCGCGTACCAGGCGAGGGAGTTCACATCTCTGACACCGCGACGCCCACGTGATGGTGTGGAGGGGCATCGACGCTTTAACGCAAAGAGCGAAATCCTCTTTGTACTATATTTAATCGAGGAGTTATGTTACCGAGCATCAGGAGGGTCCTGCTACATTGGCCCAATTCCCGTTCACTTTACAACGTTATCCATGTACAGATACCCCACGAAAATAATTAGGATAAATTACACCTCTCAGCAAGACCCGCATGGGTTCGATTCCCGACTTGGGGAGCTTTCTCTGTGGTGTTTATATGTTCCACCCCCTGTTCTGCAGCGGTTTTCTAGGGGCTCTCAGAATTGTTTTCCCCCGCAGCTAAACCCCCCCCCACACACACAGTGGAACTGGCATTGAACCAAACATTCCAATGCTGAAAAACAAAACCTGAAAATTACTCAATTGGGATCACACAGCAGCAGCCAAATCGCCCCCTCCTGCTAGTATTCATCTTTGTTGGCTTCTCTTAGCCAGTGGTGGAAATTCCACATTGCGGTGACAAGTACAAGTATATCCATAAGGTGTAGGAGCACAGTTAATGATTATTATTGTTTTGTGATTGCAGGACGCACATCCCTGGCCGCTCTGTTGGAAGATGAGATATTTGTGGAATTTTTCAACATATTTCTCAACCTCCCGGTGAGTCTGAGCCCACATTAAGACAACTGAACGTGTCTTCGTGCGGGGGGAGGTAGGAGGGGTCCATAATGGTCGTGTCAGGTATACCACGACCGGGGCCGCAACGCTGAGACCATGGCTTCGAATCCAGGTATCAGCCGCCCGTGATTAAAATCGTTCTCTCAAGTGCAGAGAGTTGATGGTTTCAGCCTCGTCACCAATGACTGCCTCCAACAACTAATCGCATCACAAGCTGTCTAGCTTCCAGCTATGAGGTCTCAAACGTTGTTATGCCATGCGGCACTGTTCTCACGAGATACGGTGACGCCACCGAATGCGGATACGAGGCAATTGAAGGGACCCCCCGAAGTAGTTCTGCAATGTCTACTTCCAGACGCCATTCTCAGACACGGGATATTTCATAGGCGTCCTGCGACGGGTACGGATGTTGTTCAGCCCAGAGCCGAGTTTGCAAACGTGCTCGATGACAATGCTGCATTAGTGCAGTCGGAGTCTGAGTGTGCAACTTTCATGCAACTGGGGAACGCCGCACGGAGCTGTTTATGAAACCTTTCGGCCGACTGGTCGCTGTGGGCTCGCGTGTGCGTGCTGCAACACGAACAGCGGCGGACTTTTGTTACAATTTAACCCACATTCGGTTAATGTTTGGTCGAATAATTATCCGAGGTCACCGAGTCTGCAGACGCAGGGGAGCTCGCCGCCGAACCAGTCTCCGTTTGGCCAGTCGTCGGTTGAAATTCCACGTTCCCTTGACGAGGCATCTGTCTCGTACGGGGATGAGTACTGGTGTCTCGAGGAGACGAATGTGATCGTCGATGCGTGCGACAGTGAGAACCTTGGCCCCCCGAGGGATGGTGACGGCGAGGCCTTCATCCAGCAGTAGATAGACCACGGCTTAAGATGACGATTAGTTGATCTTAAGAAAGGAAAGATATGAACTTGAAAGGGAAAGTGGTAAGCAAATCTGACAGTTATAGCAGGACAAACACCAAATACAAAGATCTCCCGTGTAGCCTTAACAGACTGTTGGGGCAAGTGCTGTTAGCGAGCGCCTATGAAGGAGGGAACGGCACACGAGGAGGTGGGTGGCCAGCACCTTGCCCGGCCACCTTTGTCTCCCCAGTGGCGATGTTTATACACTGCACCATGTACTAATTTGAGGCTGAGTAGACCTAGGGGAGGCGCAGGACCGGTTCAGATAATCGTCAAGACAGATACCACAGACAGACACACGGACAGACATGCAGTACATGACATCAGACAAATGTAGGGAAAGACAGACGGACAGCGACACAGGCAGGCAGACTGAATGATGACGAAGAGACAGAGTCCCAGTGGACTGCCCGCTCACACCTCTCTGTGCGTTCTCTGCAATGCAGGTGTTTGGGCAGAGGGCGTATTACCTGCCGGGAGAACGCACCTGGTTCTTCCAGCCCAAGCCGCCATCTCACCTGGTAACATACACATACACACTAAGACAGAGACAAAAGTCCCCCGTATAGACTGCTCAGATTATTGGGGCAAGTGCTGCGAGCGAAGTGCTATGAAGCCCGGCCGGCACACGAGGGGCGTGCCAGCACCATACATGCCCAGCCGCCTTTGTCTCCCCAGTTATGTTTTTACAGTACTTAGGTACTCATTTGAGTCTGAGCTGACCTAGGGGAGGCCCAGGACCAGATTCAGATATTCGTCACCGATGTTGGCCGTGAGCGGGAATCGAACTCGGCTCGCCGGGTTCGCAGCGTAGCGCGTTAACCGCTACGTTACTGCTCCCCACACACACACACGTACAAATACACAATCGCAGATACACAGACGAGCACGTAAAGTTTAACTCTCATTTGTCCAAGGGCGGATTCTCCGGCTTGTGGCTGACCCGTGCTTGCGAAAAATATAAATATTCTTGGGTCTTTTGGTTAAGTCACGTAGATAGGTTCAAAGAAAATTTAAAAAAATAATTTTTAAAACGACGACGTTTCTAACGCAACACGAGCGATCTCCTGATGACGACCGCTTGTGTTGCGATCGAAACGTGGAAGCTTTTTGTTACTTTTTTATTTTTCTTTGAACCTATCTACGCGACTTTACCGAAAGACCCAAGAATATGAATTCCTGCAGTCGCGAAAGCTTTAAGTCAAGATATAAATATAAAATATAACTCTTTTTCTGTGTGTTACCCCACACACCGACTGCATGAGAATCTGGTCCTGGGCCTCCCCTAGGTCAGCTCCTCACTCGTCCAGGGCTCGTGACCGCAAAGACGTCGGAAAGTCATCGGATTACTTCAATGAATGACAAACCACACCGCTTCTTCACCCCCATTCCACCACGTCGAGAAACCCTCCGTGTGTTCTTATCGACACTTGAACTTCAGCCAGCTGTGCCCGAACGCCAACCCCTGCACGATATCGCAGCGACCTTTAAATCGCCGCCGGTCGTGTCTCCCGCGATTCTCTCTCTCTGTCCTGGTCTTCCACGTCCCCAAGGTTCTTCTCAAGCTGTTGTAGTTCGTTGCCTGCTGCCGTGCAACGTGACTCTCTGTTCCAACGTGCGCGTCTAACCCGTCGTCGTCCGTCACGCAATTTGTGTTTTTATTCCAGACGCCCTGGAAAGTAAGACGCACCCCAAACTCGTGCCCGGTGTCAATACAATTGGCTAGGAGCAACTCTAAAAAATGCTCTTAAATATAGGGCGAAGGAAGGTGGGGAGAATGCATCTTATGATCCGGAGAAAACGGTTGCTTCTAAATTGTGGCACCACGGTGTCTATGAGATGTTAACTCTCTCGCCTTGTATACAGGAGGTCGTGGGTTCGATCCCGACCCTGACGCCTGCTGCTGTATATTTGGAGTTTGCGTGTCTCTCTCTCCCCGTGGCCTCGTGGATTTTTCTCCGGGTCCAGTTTTCCCCATCACGTGTAGAATTAACATCACGCCTTTAGAGTATTCGGCTGCTATAATTTTCCACGTGACGATGAGCCACTTGGTTGAGCTATCCTTTGGCGATCGGCAGGTCGCTTCTGAAAAAGATCTACATTGTAGCTCAGTGGGCCTTACCTAGTAAAATTAAAAATAAAATCAACTGTAAAAAAAAAATTTAGTAAAAAATCGATCCTGTCGGGATAACTTCCGCGGATTTCTACCGCGACTCCAGGAGCTGAGCGCCGCCGGGCTGCAGCGGTGGCTGCAGCGAGAGCGGCTCCCCCTGTTCGTGCGCACGGAGCTGAGCGTGGAGATGGCGCTGTGCAAGGAGATGCTGGCGGCTCCGCTCGCGTACACCACCGGTGGGCGGGGGAGCCACGGGGGACTGGTTCGCATCAGGGCTCGGGCTAGCTTGTGTGCGCGCGTGCGTGTCTGTGCGTGTCTATGCGTGCGTGGGTGAGTGGAGTGGAGTGGTAGGTAGCGCTTGCCCTCAACAGTCTGCTCAAGACGAAACGGAGGGTCTGTTTTTTCATCATTTTGATACTGGCAAAAAGGTCCCATAGATATAACTGCTCAACCCGAGCTACAAATGATCTGATACGTGCATTGTCTTTGTACTGTTCGCCGTTTGACGTTCTCTGATCTAACACTGGTGAAACAAGGCCATAAAGAAAGCTGTCTCTGGTGTAAGCCAATCAGTTTCAAAGACAATGTGTATATTAAAATTATCAGAGCATGTTTGTTTGCACGTTTTGCCACAAGTACGTACGGTTAATGCAGACTTGATGCCTTGTAAAATATATCTATTTGAGCATATTAACATCTGCTTTATTGCCGGAAATGGTAAAATCTATTATATATTTTGATCAATTAGAATTAGAATCTTACATAATAGAGGTTTTTGGGTTAAATTGCGTAAATATATAAATGTGTCGTTAAAACCCGCCACCACCCGACACAGCCAACTAGTAAGGGTTGTCACGTAAACAGAACGTGGCCAATTCGTCACTAGTACAGCACATCGGTATGTTGGAGAGCCAAGCCACAACATTTACAAACTGAGTAATTCTAATCTGTACGCATAAACGTAGCAATATATATGCATACATACATTTGTGTGTGTAAGTGTATGCGTTTCTGTTTGTACTGCGCTACAAACCCAGTGACCCAAGTCCGATTCGTGCTCACGACCGACAAAAGTGGTGACTATTCGAACCCGTCCTGGGCCTCCCCTACGTTGACTCAACCTCACACGAGTACCTCGTGCGCTGTGTGTGTAAAACATCAGCACTGTGGAGACAAAGGCGGTCGGTCGTGGTGCTGGCCACCCACCCCCTCCCGTGCCGTGCCTACCTTCGTAGTTGCTACTCGTGAACAGCACTCGCCCCAACAGTTTGTTAAAGCTACACGGGGGATCTTTGTCTTTGTCTGTCCCCATAGACCCCACAGAGGCGAAGGCCGAACGCAGTCGCCTCCGCTCGTGCGTGGGCAGTCCGCGGGGCATGGCTCACCTGCGGGCTCACCTGAAACACACGCAGGGTAAAGAGATCCTCCCTCCTCACCTCCACGCTCACCTCCACGCTCACCTCCACCCTTGACCTCACAGCCTCAACTCCGCCCTCACCTCTACCCTCACCACTGTTCTCACCTGCACTTTCACTTCCACGCTCACCTCCACCACCACCTTCACCTCCAACAGTACCTCCACCCTCACCTGCACCCATCTGGGACCCTGACTACAGCCTTCTCCAGCTCATGATGATGATGACGACGACGACGATGATCAGGGATACATTTCCCATGGGATGTTGTACCGTCCCGCCTATACCCGACGCCCTGGAACCGACCATCCTGACGGGCAGGGCGTCGACGAATCTTCTGGAATTCAGCCCTGGACAACTCCAGCCGAAATAAAACATGCGTTGAAGACCTGAGACCATGCATTGAGGACGTGTCAAACCTTCCACCAGTCTCCTCCAGCGCTGACCCCGAGCTCCCCCCACCGCGTGTGCAGGAGGAGAGATGCTGGAGTTCTGGGCGGCGGTGGAGAGGCTGTGCCGGGCGGAGGAGGCCGAGGGTGTGCGGGGTCCCCGCTACCACGGCCTGCTGAGGACCCTGGCAGCGCGCCAACTCCGGGAGCCGTCGTCCGTGCTGCGGAGCTGCGTGCCGGCGCCCAGCGGCACAGGTAGGGGTGGACTCGCTCGCTCACTCACTCGCTCATTCACTCACTCACTCGCTCGCGCGCCGGCACTAGCGGGAGATGTAGCAGCCAGAGGCCAGGCACCATCGCTCTGGGCTCTATCCTACTGCGACTCTTAGGGGCCGTCCATAAATGACGTCACGCACCTGGGGGGGGGGGGTCAGATATTTGTGACGATGTGTAACGAGGGGGGGGGGTTGAGAAATGTGACGTCACATCAACATGCGCAACTTTAAATAAATATAGACAACACGTTCTACTTAATTAAATATACTTTTTAATAAATGTTTTCTCCGACAACACCAGAGTGCAGCGCCACATTAAATACGCACTACAATGACAATAGTTTAAAGCGATTTGAAGCATGTTTTATTTTCAAAATGTAAATATCGTTGGGGGTGGGGGGGAGAGCTTTGTGACGTCATATTTGAGGGGGGGGTCTGACTTTTTGTGACGCCGTGTGACGAGGGGGGTGGTCAAAATCGTCCAAAATCGCGTGACGTCATTTATGGGCGACCCCTTAATCCTCGCAGTAGTGGTATTAAGAGTAGCCCTCGCAGGTGCAGAAGCTCGGAGCAGTCGTGCTAGCCAGAGGTCCACAGGCAGAGTTCTAGCCCCAGCGCCATAGCTAGAGAAGTCGTACTAACAGTAGCCCTAGCACGAGCAGCTAGCTATTCCTGTAGTCCCAGCCAGGGTGGGATTTGTCGCTCGCTCGATATTTTCCCCAACGCCACTCGGCCAACTTAGAAACGGGATTGTCAGCATAAGGCACTACCACTAGAGTATAACGTACGCCGGTCTGTAACAATCCCAAATCATTGCAGCCTATATTCCTATAGCAGTAGCTGTAGTAGTTGTACTTTAGCCATAGGCTTAGCGGTGACGCTAACCCCAACGCTATCGGTAATGAGCATGGACTGAAGACGTCGCTCCAGCAGTAGCTCCAGCACTAGCTCCAGCACTAGTTCCAGCGGTAGCTCCAGCGGTAGCTCTAGCGGTAGCTCTAGCACTAGCAGTAGCTCCAGCGGTAGCTCCAGCACTAGTTCCAGCAGTAGCTCCAGCAGTAGCTCCAGCACTAGCTCCAGCACTAGCTCCAGCAGTAGCTCCAGCACTAGCTCCAGCAGTAGCTCCAGCACTAGTTCCAGCTCCAGCACTAGCTCTAGCACTTGCTCCAGCACTAGCTCCAGCAGTAGCTCCAGCACTAGCTCCAGCACTAGTTCCAGCACTAGCTCCAGCACTAGTTCCAGCTCCAGCACTAGCTCTAGCACTTGCTCCAGCAGTAACTCCAGCAGTAGCTCCAGCACTAGCTCCAGCAGTAGCTCCAGGACTAGCTCGAGCAGTAGCTCCAGCACTAGCTCAAGGACTAGCTCCAGCAGTAGCTCCAGCAGTAGCTCCAGCGGTAGCTCCAGCAGTAGCTCCAGCACTAGCTCTAGCACTAGCTCCAGCACTAGCTCCAGCAGTAGCTCCAGCAGTAGCTCCAGCACTAGCTCTAACACTAGCTCCAGCAGTAGCTCCAGCAGTAGCTCCAGCACTAGCTCCAGCAGTAGCTCCAGCACTAGTTCCAGCAGTAGCTCCAGTGGTAGCTCCAGCGGTAGCTCCAGCAGTAGCTCCAACACTAACTCTAGCAGTAGCTCCAGCAGTAGCTCTAGCAATGGCTCCAGCACAAGCTCCAGCACTAGCTCCAGCACTAGCTCCAACAGTAGCTCCAGCACTAGCTCCAGCACTAGCTCCAGCAGTAGCTCCAGCAGTAGCTCCAGCAGTAGCTCCAGCACTAGCTCCAGCACTAGCTCCAGCAGTAGCTCCAGCACTAGCTCCAGCAGTAGCTCCAGCAGTAGCTCCAGCACTAGCTCCAGTACTAGCTCCAGCAGTAGCTCCAGTACTAGCTCCAGCGGTAGCCATAGTCCTGTGCGTAGCGGTGGCCCTCAACCCCCCAGCAGCAGTAGCAGTCCGAGCCCTCCCCTCGACAGCGGAGAGCGTCGCCGACTCCGCGTGGCGCTGCGTTTCCTCGACAGCGCCGCGCGACCGCGCCCGGCTGCTGCGGGCGGCGCAGGGCGAGGCGCTGGCGCAGCTGCGTGGCTACTGGGTCCCGCGGCTGCTCCGCCACGAGCGGTGGCGACGCGAGTGGCGCGCGAGCCTCGCTCCCGGCTCGGTCGACGGCGACGGTGGCGATGACGCGGCGTGTCCTGGAAGCCGGGGTCACGACGAGCGCGGGTCGACCTCGACGGCAGCGGATCGGCCTCCGTCGTCGCGCGTTCACCGCCACCACGACCACCACCGCGACCGCCACCACGGCCACCACTACCATCACCAAAGCTGCAAGGACCTCGGCAACCACCGTGCCCACGACTACGACCGCCCAGACTCACCGAAGGGACTGCGCGACAGCGGTTGTTGCTTTTCTTGGGGCGAGGCGAGGAGGACGTCTGACGCAGCAAGGGGGTCCAAGCGGCACGGATCAAAGCCCTGGAGAACGGGAGGACCCCGCCGATGGCCGGACCCCTCTCCAGCGGCCAGAGGGATAGGACAGGGGATCCTACGTCCTGAGATGGGGGGCCGGCCCCCCGAAACGGGAGCCCTGCGATCCGCCCTGGCCTGCGACCACTTTGCAGGGGGTCCCCTCCTGGCGTTTCTGGAGGCGCGGGGCCACGGAGAGCCCCCGCGACTTCTCTTCTGGCAGGAGGTGGAGGGGTTCGCGCGCCTTGCCACGCGTGTACGTGTCCAGCCGTCGCGTCTCTCTGTCCTGTCTGTGTGCAGATAAATGACGCGTTCAGAAATGCGGCATTGCCCAATGTTGGTAACGTATTAACAATCCGCGCCTCCGACGAGCACGGTTGGCTACGCACGGTGCAAAAGAGGGCTCCACATACGGCGCCTACAATTATAGCCAAGTGGATTTGCGCAGTATATTTTTGGTATCAGAATCGGAATCTTGATTTAGACTGGAGGAATCCGATGAGCGACAAAGGTCTTACAGCTGTCCAGGAGTTTGTCCTGCCTGGTTACTAAAGGCGGATCACCGTGCCAACCCAGGACCTCGCCTACCAAATTAACATCATCAATTCAATAAAAAAATAAAGAACAAAACAGTCCGATAACAGAAAATAAAAACAACAGGCTGACGTTTTGGACGATGGCCCTTCCTTGAGCCTGTTTCAGGTCAAAGGAGGGTCATCGCGGTTGCCCTACGAATTTACTCGTACCTGCCGTGGGAACTTGGAATTACCACCACTCTCTCTGACCGAATAACAGGTAGTGCCTGCCCACAAGCATTTTGACACATTTTCCATCTCTCTCGCTCTCTTATCGCGTATGGCATTTGAATAGCAAGCGACAGCCGTGATCGCCGTGTGTCCAGTCTGGCCATGCGTTCGATGGCACCGGGAGTTGCTTGGCACGCAGCGTCTGTACCTCCCGCGTGATCGTGCACTGGGCAGTGGTCATTTGTCGTGACAAGCACACCGCACTCTGACCTGCTCTGAGCTCGCGTCGCCGTTAATCCGACCCGCAGGATCCTGGCAAGGACCCCTCCCTTCACGAGCTGCTCTCGCAGGCCGCCGAGCGTGTCTGGAGGTCGGGGCTCGCGTGCGGGGTCACCCTGACCCGGGGTCAGGTCGGGGTCGCGTCGCCGCCGCCACCCGCCGCTTCGCCCCGCACGCTTGGTCCGGCCCTGGCGGGAGAGCCGTCCGTCGTGCCTCTACCCCAACGTCTCCTCTCCTCGCTCCTCGGAGCGACGCCAGGGGCGGCCGTGTCGCTCCGACTCGCGGAGGCGCAGAGACGCGTGGGTCAGGTGACCCTGGGGGTCGGGTGGTGGGCGGATGTGGGGTCAACTCTAGTTGCAATCGCAGCAGCGGCATTGTCGGCTGAAATTACAATCACGTCACTCTTGCAATTCAGTATCAATTACACCGTCACGATTGTAATTGGACCCCCGGTGTATGTATGGATGTATGTTGAACTTTGTTCGCACCGTACGTAGCCAACCGTGCTAATCGGAGGTGCTGTGGAAGCACAACAAACTAAACACAAAAAGCAGTTCTAAAGAACTTAGTTTTCAATCTAGATTATTTGAAAGTGAATAGCTCCAGTGACTTGAAAGCGTGCGATGCGGCGACCGTCTTGATTGACGGCTAGACAACAGCCGCTGCGAGGATGGCCACAGTTCGCGTGATGGTTCATGCTCCTTGACGAGATCGGCAACATATTGTGGTTCATTTGTGGCAAGCACTTTGTGTGTCATGAATGCATTTAGTAAGGAGCTCTAAAAAGACCACGGGAGGAGGTGGCCAGGTTACTCAGGGGTCAGAGTGCTGAGCTGCCACCACTGAGCCCATGGGTTAGACTCCAGGTCTCAGCCACCCGTGAGTAACCCAGGCTCTTTCTAGGCCACCTAGCTTGATGACAACTGGTCTCCTGGCGTTTTCGGTGCGTGCGATGACGTGTCAATTTGAACGTTTTCAGGAGCTCGGGCCGGCGTTGGCCGAATTTGTGGACAGAGACATCGCGCTGTTTGTGAAGACAGCGGTGAGACGAGCATTGCTTCACCGGACAGCTACGTCATCACAAAGTGGATGATCCCTGCGAGAAGCCCAGATAGGTGGCCACCCGACTTATGCGGCTTGGTCCGTGCTGCTTTGTTCCTCAGGCAAAGGTCAAGTGTGACCCCTGTACCCCAAGAGAGGTCACGGAGGCGGCTGACCCCAGCCCGGAGGACGAGTGGCAGCGGCGTGCGTCGGAGGCCGAGGGCCTCGCCTGGATATTCTCGGGCCCGGTGAGCGAGGAGCCCGAAGTGGGCAGCTGGGAGGGAGACCCCTGGCACCGGACGGGGAGAGCGGAGGGGGCAGCTGAACTCCCAAGAGAAGGGGATGACGGTAAAGGGTCACCACTATCAGGGGAGTCACTCCGGTTAATTCAATTATTTCTTTAAAATCCACTCTTTTCCTATTTTCTTTCCCCTACTCTTTGGTTATTTCGGTAAAGTCACGTAGGTATAAAATGAAATAAATCACGACGTTTCGATCGCAACACAAGCGGTCGTCCTCAGGCGGAAAAAATATAATCCAGCAGTGGAAGTGCTGAACCAGCGATAGAAGCACTTCAGTTGTGTTAATGGGGGAGATTAGGAAGAGAGGGATTAGGGAGGGAGATTAGCATGAATGAGCTTCCGTTGCCGCATAAGAGTCTCATGCCCGCATATGCGCACAACAGCAGTGTTAATGAGAGATTAGCACCATGAGAGTGTAATCCAAAGGACATGTGAGCATGAGAGTGCAATCTAAAGGACATGTGAGCATGAGAGTGCAATCTAAAGGACATGTGAGCATGAGAGTGCAATCCAAAGGACATGTGAGCATGAGAGTGCAATCTAAAGGGCATGTGAGCATGAGAGTGCAATCCAAAGGACATGTGAGCATGATAGTGCAATCCAAAGGGCATGTGAGAGATCGAAGAGAGAGGCATAGAGAGAGAGACAGAGAGTCGGAAATAACAGCTGACATAGGGAGGTAGGATGGAAACATCACAGTCAGTTAAGACTTTACCTGGTTAATAATGTCCTTCTAATGATTGCTCAGTTTGTACCCATCTTCTTGGTTGAAGTTGTGTCTGTGTTTATATATCTGGATGGCTTCATGAACAAATCTCTGAAGGTAGCCGGTAGGTTTGCAGAGTACCTCCGTCTTGGAAGAATCTATTTCATGTGAGCCCACAGCATTAAAAAAATGATCAGCAACGGCAGAGGTATTGGTCCTATCGTGTTTCAGATCTGCCTTGTGTTCACGAACGCGGTCCGAGACATGTCGTTTCGTTTCCCCAATGTAACTGCTGTCGCAACCACAATTCTGTTTGTAGACACCAGCGTATTGCATGTCAGGATTCACATCCTTTACAGATGGGATTAAATCACGGATTTTGTGGCCTGTGTTGAAACGAACCTGGATCTTGTGTTTGTTTAATATTTTGAAAATCTTTTTGGTAACCCCTGCTATGTATGGTAAAGTGATGGTTTTGGATGGATCCTCAGAAGGTTGTCTTCCCATGGCTGGGGAGGCAGCTTTTGCGGATTGTACGGTCCGAGTATCCGTTCATCCTGAGGGCTTGGTGTACGTGCTCCAACTCACTAGCTAGGTGGTGTGGAATGTTGAGACGGACACACGCATCAAGGATTCCCAACACGTACGCGCGTTTGTCCTCGGAGGTATTTAATTGGTGGCAATGACGAATGACGATGGCGGGCGCTTCAAGCGGCACAACGAGACGACGTCGCACGGCGCACGTGGCGCGTTGTGACGTCGCGCGATGACGTCATCGCTCTAGCCGGTTGAGAGATAATTCGTGGGGCACTGGCTGGTTTTCATTGCCTCGTTTTGGGGTAACCACTTCATCAATTTGGCCACTTTTCTACATTGTAAGTCCCCAATAGGAACACAACTCGATACTAAAATGTTGCTTAAAATACTGGATTGTGTTGACGAGCGTTACCGTATCTCCCAAGCCCCCTGCCCCTTGCAGGCCAGAGCGAATGCATTGATGCTTTCAACCTTACATTGCAAAATGTTTAAAAGACGAATACAACCCGTTTGGAACTCTGCAGACGACAGTGCGTCACGCTGTGTCGGTAAACAGCCGCAGAAGAAGGAGCCACAGCACTAATTCTGAGATCGGTTCAAAACAGACCTCTTTATTCACACTCGAGGCACACCATTTAACCATAATAATCATGTCATCAACTTTTAACACGCCACCGAGGCACAGTATTTGCTCACTCAGAGGCACGAGGAGGAACTACAGACAAGCGGGAAGGCGGCTGCACGATAAGCCGGCACCAACAATCGCCCAAACGCTGCGATCCTCTGTATAATAAGGTGTCATCAGCCAAATATAATGCCCCTGCAAAGAAAATTAGTCGTACATTAATTGGACAAAATCGGACGAAATAGTTTTACTGCTCAGAACTGAATTATGTGAAAGGTCAGCATGACCCCCATAACGTGTGGGCTCCATTAGGAGGTTATTTGTCCGGGATGAGAAACCCACCGCTGCAGTTATCCCCTCTTCCCTCCGCGGCGAGTGCAGGAGGATGGCCGTGGTCTTTCGAGGAGACTGTGAGGAGGTGTCCCAGCCTCGCCGTGCGCATGCTGAGCGACAACTTCCAACTGCGCTACAGCAAGTGGACCGCCACAGAAGGTACAGCGAGACGCGTCCGAGACGCGCAGAACACTCCAGCGGGCCGCCCTTACGGGGCGCCGCGGGGTACCGAAATGTTGACTACCTCGCCTGGTATAGAGCAGGTCGTGGGCACTGACATCCTGCTGTATATTTAGAGTTTGCGTGTTCTCGATCACCGTGGTCGCGTGGGTTTTTCTCCGGGTCCTCCGGTAATTCCCTCCACATTTAGAATCAACGTCACGCGTTTAGAGTGTTTGGCTGCTGTAGATTTCCACACGATGATAAGCCACTTCCTTGAGCTGTCATTTGTTGTCAGGTCGCTTCTGAAAAAAATATATACATCTCCGTGGGCCTTATCCAGTAAAACTAATAATAAATGCTTAAAATTGTTTAGTTTAAAACTACAAGGGGTATTTTTTTGTTACTGGCAAAGGAGGTCTCATAATGTAAATGCTCACTCCGAGCCCTCAATACTCTGATAGTGCGCTGTTTTTGAGTTGTACGCCTTTTGGCGCCTTCTGGTCCAACACCAATGGAGACTAGGCTCTAAGAAAAGCCGTCTCGGGTGTGGACCAATCAAATTCAAGGACACTGCATATTATTATCAGAGTTGTCTTTTATGTTTGCATTTTGACTGCTTGTGTTGTGGTTATTGCAAACATGATGCCTTGAATAAAGGTGTCAGTTTTTGTGCCAGTTAAAAGGGTAAAACCTATTCCTATACAAGGGCTATGTTAAGAGATCTGAGCTCCTCGAACAATCCAGCCGGGATAAATCTGGGATGGACCGCATTCAGGCCAGCCAGAATGATCGAGGCCAGCACAGATGCTCGTATATAGATGGTCTTTCACAAGCTCCCTCCAAGCGGTGTTGTAACACATACACACAAAGATAAAGACACCCGGTGTAGGCTGTTGGGGCAAGTGCTCTTAGCAATAACTTATAAAGGCCGACAAAGTGTGCAAGGTGGTGTGGATTGCACCACGCCCAGCCACCTTTATCTCCCACGGGCTGATGCTTAAACATCGCACAAGTTACCCATGTAAGGGTGAGTCGACCTAGAGGAGTCCCAGGACCAATTCATATATTCGCCACTTTTATTGGCCACGAGCGGTAATGAAACTCGGGTCGCCGGGCTCAGCAGAAATGAATGTTGAACTTATTTTGCACCGTACGTTGCCAACCGTGCACTAACCGCTGCGCTACCGCTCCCCGACAATACTCACGCACAACACGCACGCACTCACACACAACATGCACGCACCCACGCACAACACGCACGCACCCACGCACAACACGCACGCACCCACGCACAACACGCACGCAGAAGACGCGAGCGGGACCGCTTCAGCGTCGCCATCCCGGATGCAGTTGGCCCGGAGGCTGCTGCCGCGCGTGCTGCAGTATAGAGGCCGGATCCTGCGCAGGCCCCTGGCGCCACCTCAGTGAGGCGCCCACCCACACGGCGCACTCCCTGCCATGGACACGGCGCACTCACTGCCACCCACACGGCGCACTCCCTGCCACCCACACGGCGCACTCCCTGCCACCCACACGGCGCACTCACTGCCACCCACACGGCACACTCCCTGCCACCCACACGGCGCACTCCCTGCCACCCACACGGCGCACTCCCTGCCACCCACACGGCGCACTCCCTGCCACCCACACGGCACACTCCCTGCCACCCACACGGCACACTCCCTGCCATCCACACGGCACACGTGCGACCAACCAACACGGCGCGTGGTTTTTCACGACCAACACGGTACAGCCATCGTCACCGATATGTGGGGTACGACTGCATTTAACGTCGACAACGACCTTGGGGCTGTGTGCCTCAGAGGTCAGAGCGCTGAGATTCTGGGTTCAAATCCAGGTGTCAGCCACCTGCGATCAAATCGAAGTGAGTTAATGATCTAAGCCCGGTCGCCAATGGCTTGACGACAAAAAAAATTAACCCTGTCATACTCAATGTGGTTCTGTACTCAATCCGGCCAGATTCCAGCTGTGATCATTAACAACATCGGTCAGACCGTCATGCGACGAGCATTACACTCAGCGCCAGAGTAAGTCGAAAAAAAACAGCGCTGCTCCCTAACATGTGGGCCGGAGGTCACTGCGGCCCACACGTTAGCAGCGGAGCGGAGCTACCTCGGGATCTCCGAGGTAGCTCCGCATTGTCAACTTCCGTTGCGGCGCCGTTCTCCACGACACGGAAGGGCCGCGCCGACTCCGCGAGACTTCCCCGGCGGATCTCGTGCCGCGACGCCGAATCGCGCCATCGGGGAGCGTGAACGCCGCTCCCGCCCCCCTCCGCACACGCAGGAGCTTGCGCGAGGCCCTGGGCGACGCGGGCCACGAGCCCTTCGTGGCGCTGCTGGCGCGAGGCCACGGCGCCGACGCGGCCGTGGGGTTCTGGCGCGAGGCCGAGCGGCTCCGCCTGGCGCGAGGCCTCCGCGAGGTGCGCGCCACGACGGCGTTCGTCCACGCGCGCTACTTCCACAGGGGACTCGACCCAGGTGAGGCCGGCAGCGCGTGCGTGAGTACCTCCGTTGAACTTCGTTCGCACCGTACGTAGCCAACCGCGCTAATCGGAGGTACGGGGGGGGGGAACAAACTAAACGCAAAAAGCAGTTATAAAGCAATGGGTTTTCAATCGAGATTTAACAGTGCATAGCTCCCAGTGGTTGTGGAGTGTGCGGGCGGTGGTGACACTGGCCAGGGGCCTGGAGAGAACCAAGGCACCAGGTCGCATAGAGGGAGGAAATTGTAGCGGGGATAATGTCAGCTTGTCGTGTCCGAGCACCACCAGCGTCGGACTCGCGATGTGGCCCAGTCCCTAGCCCTGTGAAGTCCTCTATGTTGCACACTCGAAATGAAGGACGTGGGCAGGTGCTCCAAATCGAGGTCAAACACATTTATTATGGTTAATCTGTGAGATGCACCAGCACGTGGTGTCACACAGCAATTCTTGAACCGAGTTGCCATTAACCACGTGACTAGTGTACAAGTGCGGTTATTCAATAACCCTGCCAGCCACCTACAGGCCCAACTCAGTCATCACATGCTGCTGTACACACGTGCATTGATGCACTGCACAGCACATCAGGACTTTCACAGCTGCACAAGGAATTAATTAAAAGAGTGGTGCCACATCCATGCTCCACGGCTGAGACCGATAGCTGCTCCGTAGGTCTCGGTCACACGGCGGTTGCACGCCGTCATCGTCGTCGGGGTCGTTGGAGTAGCCCCACCCCACTTACGCGTGTTGACCTTTGACCTGGCTACTCCTGTTCAATGCGAGTCGGGTTGAGTGCGTCGACGGTCCAGTGTAAGCACATTGTGGGTGTAGAGTCGAGTTGCTATGAGGGACAAACTCGATAGAAAGTCGGCCAAATCGGTCACAGGGTGGCGCAAAATTTGCAACTAAAAAGCCAGACAAGGTGATGACGTCACAAAGCACGCGCTGCTTGGCGTCACCTTACGTGCGGTGTTGGAACGTAACTTTTTCTTCATTAATAAAATACTTATGGGGCCATAACGCGTGTTTGCAAAGTGATACTGAATCCATGCATACGCATGGTTTTTCTTCGTAGTTTACATTGCATAACTGTGCCCGCCTCCCGCCCCTCCCTCTTTTTTCCCGACCTCCCGCACCCCTCCCCTTTTGTGGGGGGCCCCTAGCCGCCCTACTGCAGTGCAAGGCCCCCATCATGTTGGAGATCCAGGCGGCGCAAGTCGTGACGCCAGCTATGATCGTCACGGCACAGATCCACGTTTACCGCGTCATGGAGGAGACGTGGTGAGTGCAGAGGACCTGGGGTGTAGGGGACCTGGGGGGCATGGGACATGGAATCTGAGCAATAAGAGGCTTAGAAGGTCAGGGATACCCGAGACGAGTGATACAGGGGATCAAAGAGATTAGGAACCCGTGATCAGAGGGGTCTGGGAGCCCAGTGGTACTAGTGACGAGGGTACGGAGGACTTAGCAGGGTGGAGGGCCTGGATGATAACGGTCTCGTGGTTCATGGGTAGAAGTGGCCTGGGGAAAAAGGGGATCGTTGAGACCGTAGGTGCCGGAGAGGCAATTGGTACCAGGGACTAGAAGTCCTGGAGATTAGAGATCGTGTGTCATACAGGAGGAGCAACGACGTTGGCTCACATACAGATGGTGGGTGGATTGTTGCATTACGAGACCATGGCAAATAAAGAGGCTTTCATCACTTGAGGAGGCCTTCACGGAGCAACGGGCTGATCATGACCGATGATGACGATGATGCCGATGATGCACCTGTCTGTGGCTATTGCAGGTTCAAGATTTACCTCGACAGCTTCCCTGATAGGCCATCAACCGCTGTGCAGCCAGGAGCCATCCCCAAAAAGGCACGGAAAAATTGAATAACACACACAACTGCCAGTCTTTTTATTGTGTCCTGCCACCACAGTCATAGGTTTATCCAGTACAAATATCGAACTCATCAAATGGCCCCGTCTCTCGCCCTGGTAAAGTCCTCTATCGTGTATGGCTCAGACCAATAGTTTCTCCATGTTATGGGTTTCACTGCAGTGCCCGCATCATTAGAAGCAGATCAAAGTTCGCACGTTGACTTTTGACCTGCAAGCTCCCATTTGAAGCGAGTGTGTGGCCATGTGAGCGAGTCGGTGTGACCTGCCGGTTCCAATTCGACACATCACCACAGTGCTCGTGTCCTCCGTGCCCCCCTGTCTAATCCCCCCTCCCTCCCCCCCGCCGTGCAGAGCGCTGCCCGCGCTGCCCTGCGCCAGCTGGTGCGGAACGTGGCGGGCCTCCTGGCGGCGCTGAGAGAGCCCGGCACCCGGCGGGACCTCGCCGCGTTCCTGGGAGCGGAGTTGCGGCGAGAGGAGGCGTTGGAGAGGGCCGCCACGGGTACAGCGAGCTTCTAAGCTACACGAGGCCCCGTGTCTAATGCCCATTTTCCACTGGCATATCCGAGCCATGCTGGTGCCGTGCATTAAAAAAACGTAGAAACCACGATGTATTTATTGATCTTGATTTTTACCGTGACCCAGACATGACCTGCACACCGTACTTAGCCAACCGTGCTAATCGGAGGTGCGGGGGGAAGAACAACAAACTGAACACAAAGAGCAGTCCTTCTCTATGTGATGTTCAGTTATTCACGTGTGTGGGGCAGGAGGCACCACCGCTCGCAGCGCTCACCCCCGTGCTGGTGGCCGGCACCCCCCGCTGGCGGGAGGGGCCCCCCGTGAGACCACCTCTCGAACCGAGAGCCGCTCGGCCCCCGCCAGCCGGACCCCAACGACGCCAGCGTCGGAGCAGCTGCTCACGAGGAGGACGGTGAATGACCAGAAGATCGTCCTCAACTTTCTCATGGAAGACTTTGCGTTTTTCCAAGAGGTCGAGAGGTGTGTCCTGCGTGCACCTTCACGTCGTTATCAACATCATCATCATCTTTACCCGCGTGACCTTCAGCATCGTCGTCATCGTCGATCTTGAGATGTGGTTGCCTTCCCATGTTTGTCTGTCCACATACAATTTTTTTTTATTTTGACAGCGCGTCAGCTCAGCTCTGACCATTCTTCCTCAGTGGGCCGATTCTGCTATTCTCCACCGCGTAGGTTCAAGGCCTTGGTGGATAGCAGTGCCGAGGCGGCAGCGGCGGGGATGGGCACGGTCATGGACGCAGCACGGCTTCGAGAGAAGGCGGCCATCGTTAGCCGCCTCTTCCTCGACTCGGAGGACCTCCCTGCATGCAGGGTGAGGGGGAATGGGGGGCAGAGGGGGGGAGACGCAGTGACAGGAGGATTGGTGGACGTGGAAGCGCAGAACCATGAACGGAGGATTTGGAGATCTGCCACGTGGTTGGAACTGTGTAAAAGGTTCGCTCGCTTCATCATCACCATTGGAGTGATCTTCATTTTCAATTTAAATAACGTGGATTGTTTCATCATCTTCATCATCACGATTGTCGTAAATGTCAATGGATGTCTTCTCGTGGTAATAGATCGCCATCTCAATTGTCAGAAATATGAATACTTATTATCAACATCGTGAATATCTTCAGCAGTAACAGTTCCACCAGCAACATACACAATCTCCAACCCTCGCTGAAGGGAAGCACTCCAATTATATGAATGAAATTGTTCACGTGAGCACAATAACAAGATTAAATAAATATATATTATATATTTTATTATTTTGTTGTTTACGTTGAAGGGAAACAACAAAATAATAAATATATATTATATATTTTATTATTTTGTTGTTTCCCTTCAACGTGACTTTACCGAAAAAACTAAGAATATGAATTACTGCAGTCACGAAAGCTTTAAATCAAGATTAAATATTCCTACTTTTCTTAAATAATAATCGTTTTGTATCCCTGGACAAACATTTGTACCACCCCTCACTAAATGCGGCCCGGCTGCATGTCCACAAAAACAAAGACACCCCGTGTAGCCTTACCAGACTTTTGGAGCAAGTGCTGTTAGCGAGCACCTATGAAGACTGGCGCAGTACACAAGGGGGTATATGGCCAGCACCATGTCTGGCTGCCCTTGTCTCCCCCGTGGCGATGTTTATTACACATTGCACAATATTCATATTTGAGACTGAGTCGACCTAGCAGAGGCCTAGGACGGGTTCAGATAAGTCACTGGTGTTGGTCACTGTGGACGGGAATCAAACTCGGGTTGCCGGGTTCGAAGTGCGGTGCACACTAACCGCTGCGCCACTACTCCCCACTGAGTGTTTATACACACACAAAAATCCCCCGTATAGTCTTAACATATTTTTGGGGCAGGTGCTGTTAGTCAGCACCGATGAAGGCCGACACGATAAACGAGGGGGTGGGTGGCCAGCACCACGCCCGACCGCCTTTGTCTCCCCAGTGGCAATGTTTACACACCGCACCAGGTACTCATTTGAGGCTGAGTCGACCCAGGGGAGGCCCAGGACCGGTTCAAATAATCGCCACTGGTTTTTGGCCGTGAGCGGGAATCGAACTCGGGTCGTCGGGTTCGTAGCACAGCGCGCTAAACTCTGCACCATCGCTCCCCACTCACACACACGTACACACACACAGGTGAACGTGCCACAGCAGCCACGCGAGCAGGTGCTGGAGGCCGTGCGTTTAGGTCACGTGGAGCGTGGCCTCTTCTTCCCAGCTGTAGTGCACCTGCTGCCCAGCCTCATCTACTACTGGAGGAGGTAGGGGGCCCACCGCACAAGTACCCAGAGTAAACGCCGTGTCGATTCAGGAAATCGTAGAAAAGAATTCCGATGGACAGATTTAGTTTTGTATCCACATGGGGTGGTGCTCCGTTCCATTGGTGGCCGTGAGTTGGTGCTGGAAATTTCACATTCCTGTGGCGGTGGACGGCCTTCGTGTCATCTCATGTCAGTCCCATGAACTGTAGTCGCCAGGGCGTCACTGCTGCTGTCACGTTCCTCCAATCGTTCCTTTGCCAGAACTTCAGTTGGTTATTGCAGCATGGCCCAGTTAGTTCCACAATGTTGGGCAACTAGCCCTTTGGTAAAAACAAATTTAAGATACAGCCCAGCATATTGCATGCTCATGCGACTGCTGTTAGAAGGGCCTCCGCTACAGGGAGCTCGAGAAAGCCCCTGGACAGGGTATTTATGGTGAATCTGAACGTAATTTTGATACCAAGGAAAGCCTTACTGAGTCACAGGACCTTTTCAGGAAAATCCTGCATTGGAATATTTGACCAATTCGAGTGTCAGGGGTGGTTTACTTTGTGTGGGGAGAAATCGGAGCATCCAGAAATGTCTACGTATACAAAGGGACATTGCTCACTAGAGATCCGCGCAGGCGTGCTGTACTGCCACCTTCTGCTCACGTTGCAGACTGCGATGCCAGTCTATATGAACGGAAACCCTGGAATTGTCATTGAAATGAATGGAGTTTCTTTGACAGCCAAATAATCGTTCAAAGACATTCATTTAAACGGTGATTTTGTTTTATATCCCCTTTTAAATTAATGGGATTGTGGTGGCGATTCCAACACTCGCCAACATATATTATGAGGCAAACAAGGCTGCGCTGGGTAGGATGTGTGCAGGGTGCAGGAGTGCCCGGTTATCGAGAAGCCATCAGTATGGTCTCCACGAGCCCAATGACCAAGGGGACCTGAAGGCCTAAGACCAGATGGCGGGACACTGGCAGGGCAGATCTTGGAGGTCGCGTAACTGCTGAGCAGCTGCAGCAACTGGCAGAGGGCAGAGAACATTGGCGAAGTGAGGTGGCACCAATGGCTCTGGCGATTACGACGTCTTGAGCTTGATCTTAACAGTGAACAGAGATTTCTTAAAGTGGGAATCGCCCGTTGAAGAATCGTAAACGCGACAGGATTCGTCCAGCGGTCGTCAACTCTTAAGCCATCTCTCCAGGTTCTGCAGCGAGAGGGCCCTGCGCACCTACCTGGGATTGGCCCCCTGGGAGCGAAGAGGACGACCCGAGGGAGGCCACGAGGACGGGCTGCCTCACCCCGGCCGGTTGGTCATCTGCAGTGCAGGTGAACAGTGCTTGCCGGCTCCACAGTTGCGGCGGTGAACTCTTCGGCTTTACCAGTTGTTGCTATCATCGCACTTGCTTTACCGGTTTGGTGAAGGTGATGTCGGTGGTCTTGTTATGAGGTCGTCTTGTGTGGGTAGTCTAGTGAGGGGTGGTCTAGAAGAGGTGATCTATTAAAACAGATGTATCACAATCAACACATTCGCCAATAACCCTGCTTTATAACACGTGAACATAATTTGTACACGCAACATTTGTGCGCTATGAAGAAGGGCCCTTGCCCGAACATCGCCTTTTATATATTTTTCGTTTTAAAGCCACACACAATGTTATTGATGAATGAGTTGAGTGTTGTGCATTGTGTGCTTGTGCACCACTGGCAATGCTGCAGCAGCATCACCAAATCATTTATCTATCAAAATTAGTGACGTGTAGGTCGTAGGCATGAAACTATTAATGACCCGTGTGATTTGAAGCTTTCGTGACTGCAAGGATTCATACTTTTTGTTTTTGTTCGGTAAAGTCACGTAGGTAAAATAAAATAAAATAGAACAATTAAATCACGACGTTTCGGAGGCAACACAAGCTTCCGTCTTCAGGTGGAACAGTCACAGCAGAATATATGTGTCAAGTGCACAGTTCCGAGACGATTTGGATTATATATAAGTCGGGGGGTGGGAGGACTGGGAGGGATGAGTTGAGCCGTCTTTTGTTAAACTGCACAAAAGCGGGTAAATAACCCAGAACAACCCAGAAAACCAAAAGGGTTGTTTACCCGCTTTTGTGCAGTTTAACAAAAGGCGGCTCAACTCATCCCTCCCAGTCCTCCCACCCACCCACGTCCCTTTCTGGCTCCCCCCCCCCGACCTATATATAATCCAAGTCGTCTAGGAACTGTGCACTTGACACAGATATTCTGCTGTGACTGTTCCACCTGAAGACGGAAGCTTGTGTTGCCTCCGAAACGTCGTGATTTAATTGTTCTATTTTATTTTACCTACGTGACTTTACCTAAAAAAAACTAAAAGTATTAATAACCCGTGTGATTTCACAAATTGTCACACTTCGGTTTCGTGACTTGATTCAAATTTCGATTTTTTTTGCCATTTTCCCATTTTACTTCTGCCCAGTTTTGACAGCTCTCTCTCCTACATTAACAACAAGTTGCAAAACATTTGAGATATAGTTTATGTGAATTCTATAATGACTTATTCTCACACAATTCGATGCACGTACCGTAAGCACGAGAATCTATTTTAATCGACGTGTCATTGCACCGTCTAAAATCTGCTCTGTCGGTCCATCGCTAAACAAAGTCCTCTTCTGTGCCCTGAAGATTTCGAGTTTACGACGCTGAGATTCAGCCTCTCCAAAGGAATGCAGCTCCTCCAGCCTGTGAAGAGGGGCAAATCGAGAAGGGCACTCTCCCCACAACAGCAGGCGCCTGACCTCCATGTGACACACAAGCCACAAATCTACAGAGGTGCTCAACCATCCATGTGAATTACACTGGTCGCAAACGCTGGTCCCCATATGCTCGTGACTGACGACTGGCTGTGTTACAGTGGTGAGCCTGGAGCGGCTCGCTTGAGGCCTGTGGCTGTGAGCGGGGTTGAAGTCTCGTGGCTGAAGGTTTCTGATTTCTGTGGTTAGTGAGCGCCTCTCCCTATAAGAGGTGGTCAGATGAGAAAAGTCTCAAGAATAACTTATCCAGGTGGTGCTTTAAGGAGATAAACATGTTGAGACAAATGCTATCTCTGAGCAAGACCTCAATCAATAAATATGTCAATAAGTGCTATGTTTTGTTGGCGTGTTGTATTTCAAGCTCTTTTAAATTCTGCATGATTGGACGGTATGCAATGAAACGATGGTGGATGAAAGAGCCAAGATCACCATCAACGCCATTACTAAGACCCGGAGTCCGAGGCCCCGGGGTCAGAGGAGCGAGAGGGTTCAGGGTCCTGGGTCTGGGGTCCTGGGTCTGAGGTCCTGGGTCTGGGGTCCTGGGTCCCGGGGTCCTGGGTCTGGGGTCCTGGGTCTGGGGTCCTGGGTCTGGGTCCTGGGTCTGGGGTCCTGGGTCTGGGTCTGGGGTCCTGGGTCTGGGTCTGGGGTCCTGGGTCTGGGGTCCTGGGTCAGGGGACCTGGGTCTGGGGTCCTGGGTCTGGGGTCCTGGGTCTGGGGTCCTGGGTCCCGGGGTCCTGGGTGCCGGGGTCCTGGGTCTGGGGTCCTGGGTCTGGGTCTGGGGTCCTGGGTCTGGGGTCCTGGGTCTGGGGTCCTGGGTCTGGGGTCCTGGGTTATGAGTCAAATGGGCAAGAGGGTCTGGGTTCATGGGTTCCAGAGATTCAGTAGCCAGGGTCCACAACACCCACCACCACAACTAAAAGCACCACACCACAATCACCAAAACACCATCATTGCTAACCACAACAGCTACCACATCACCAAACACGATCTTAACCGCCATCACGGCCAAAACATCACCAAAATCACCACACGATCACATCATCACGACCACAACATCAGCACACAGCCGCAACTACCACATCGCCACCATCAATATCAATACCACGACACCAGGCACGTTCATCATCACCACCACCAATATTCATCATCACCATCATAACCACAAGAGTAAAACCACCACACCCCGTTAACCTCAACGTCGCCTCCGCCACAACACGATCAGCATCACCACCAACCTTGCCACAACCGCATTGCAGCACCAGACCGCGTGCCGCCACCACCAGCAGCTACCACTAGGGGTCAATGTTTACCATTGACGGACTGGGTGGTTTTGACTGAGGCCTTCATCGCCACCACAGCCTTCAACACGACTGTACGACTGTAGTCCTTCACTTTAAACGTAAGTCTTATTCTGTATGTTACCTTGGTTATGAGGACAGTGGCGGTAATAGTAAAACTCACGGAGGCGAAGGGGAGTTGAGGCCAGGAGCCGTCTGCATGCTTATAAAATGTTCATATCGCCCCCCTCAACTCGCCGCTTTAAATGTGAATGACACTTCAAGTACCAGATGCAACAACCCACTGAGTTATCGACGGCTGCTTAAAACAATAAGATTTCGTGAACATCTACGTTAACTCGAACTTTAGACTTTAATCCGCAAGGTAAAATCTTAGACTTGCGCGCGTGTTTCCCGTCCGTCCGAGCTCGGCGCGAGCCTCTGGTGCAGGCCGTAGCTCTTTAAAACAAAACGAACAGACTTTAAGGCGAACATCTGTGAGTGAAGCTCGCGTGAGATGGAGGAGGCTTGCTTCGGGCGCCGTAAGGAGCAGCGCCTCCTGGCACGGGACGGCAGCCGCAAGGGCGGCGTGGACGCGGCCATCGTGGCCCTGCTGCGCATCCTCAACGCCGCCCCGGGACTCTGCTCCACCAGCTCCTGTGCCGGGAGACTGGTGCTCAGGGACCAGGTGAGCGGGGTGCTCAGGGACCAGGTGAGCGGGGTGGTGAGGGACCAGGGACCAGGTGAGCAGGGTGCTCAGGGACCAGGTGAGCAGGGTGGTGAGGGACCAGGTGAGCGGGGTGGTGAGGGACCAGGTGAGCGGGGTGGTGAGGGACCAGGTGAGCGGGGTGCTCAGGGACCAGGTGAGCGGGGTGGTGAGGGACCAGGTGAGCGGGGTGCTCAGGGACCAGGTGAGCGGGGTGGTGAGGGACCAGGTGAGCGGGGTGGTGAGGGACCAGGTGAGCGGGGTGGTGAGGGACCAGGTGAGCGGGGTGGTGAGGGACCAGGTGAGCAGGGTGGTGAGGGACCAGGTGAGCGGGGTGCTCAGGGACCAGGTGAGCGGGGTGGTGAGGGACCAGGTGAGCGGGGTGGTGAGGGACCAGGTGAGCGGGGTGGTGAGGGACCAGGTGAGCGGGGTGGTGAGGGACCAGGTGAGCGGGGTGCTCAGGGACCAGGTGAGCGGGGTGCTCAGGGACCAGGTGAGCGGGGTGGTGAGGGACCAGGTGAGCGGGGTGGTGAGGGACCAGGTGAGCGGGGTGGTGAGGGACCAGGTGAGCGGGGTGGTGAGGGACCAGGTGAGCGGGGTGGTGAGGGACCAGGTGAGCGGGGTGGTGAGGGACCAGGTGAGCGGGGTGGTGAGGGACCAGGTGAGCGGGGTGGTGAGGGACCAGGTGAGCGGGGTGGTGAGGGACCAGGTGAGCGGGGTGGTGAGGGACCAGGTGAGCGGGGTGGTGAGGGACCAGGTGAGCGGGGTGGTGAGGGACCAGGTGAGCGGGGTGGTGAGGGACCAGGTGAGCAGGGTGGTGAGGGGAGAGGGCCCAGGTGAGGCGAGGGAGTGAGCTTGAGGTGGGGGTAGATAAAGCAAGTAGAGAAACCAGCTGGGGAGGGGTCGGGTTACCAGTGACTGTAGGTGAGGGGGTGAGCATGGTGGGGACAAGGTGAAGGAGGAGGGAGCCGTGGCGTGTGGTGAGGGCGCCTGGTGAGAGGGTGAAAGTGGATAGAGAGGGGGCACGTGAACGGGGGGAGGGTGAGGGGAGAGGGCAGGGGAGGGGTTGAGTGGGGTGAGAGAGTTAGGGTGGTGAGCAGAGGTGAGAGGCCAGGTCAGGGGGTGAGTGGGAGGAAGAGGGTAGGTGAGAGGGCAAGTAAGGGGAGGGCCCAGGTGAGGGAGGAGGGTGAGAGGATGGGTTTCAGGGGGTGTGTGTGGAAGGCGGTTGTGCAATGGTGAAATGGTCGAGTTGCCGTGTTTCATTGTTCCCACGAGTCGAGGACTAAGGCCAGTTTGAGTGGGAGACGGCCGAGTCGTGGACTCGAGGCCACGCGGCCCTCGCGGCCCTCGCCACTCATCCGCGTCATTTTGCTTTTGTGTGGGCCAGGAGACCGGGGGCCACGTGGTTCAGAAGCAGGGCTGCCGGTGGCTGCTGGTGACGCACGAGGAGCTGCAGCTGGGTGACTTGGTGCGTGGGGCTCCACAGACTGACACCTGGCTCGCGATGACGCCGAGGGGTTGCAGGCGCTAGGGGCGCAGAGATTTTTCACGTATGTGTGAGCTGGCCGGGTTGGTTGGAGTCCCATAGACTCACGTGGAGACCCATTGTCGTCATCGTTGTCGTCAGCTGGTTCTTCTCTTGCGAAGATCGGGGAGGAATACGAGGTCCGTGTTGTTGGCAGGCGCCGCTGGTGGCTGTACAGGCCGACCCTTGACTTGCACATTTCGTGGCAGGTGGTGCATTTGAACTCCTGACCAGTCGGGGCCAGAGTGGGGGGACGTGTCGGTGGTGGGAATCTTTCTGCGCCTCCGTTTTTCTGTTGAAGCTTTGTGCCTCGTTTGGTCTGCCATTTTAGCCGCTTCTGTGGCTGTGGAGCGCCCAGCGGTGTTTGTCCATGGCTCTGAGCTCCGAGGTTTGGGTGCCGATACCCGCAGCAGTCACTTGCTGTTTGAGCGGGTCCTTGACGCGTCTGCGAGGTCCACTCCTCTCTCGCTCCCATGACACAAGCTCGCTGTGGAGGACTGCTTAGGGCATCCTGTTGTCCCCGCGCGAGCCATGGCCAGCCCGGCGTAGCTGACGAAGCAGCAGGATGGATTCAATGCTGGGTGTCTTGAGCTCTCTCCAGGACTATGTTGTTCGTGATATAGTGCTGCCATCTGATGTTCATGAAGGAACGCAGGCAGCGCTGGTGGAAACGCTCCAACAGCCTAAGCTGTTTCCTGTCCAGGACCCAGGATTCTGAGCCATATAAAACAACACGGGAAAATTGGGCGGTTACTCCAATTTCCCTGTATACCTTTATCATGTGGAGACCTGAAGACTATCATAGAGACCCATGGACTCACATCGAGATCCATAGGCTCACATCGAGATCCATATACTCACATAGAGATCCATTTACTCACATAGAGATCCATATACTCACATAAAGACCCATATACTGACATAGAGATCCATATACTCACATAGAGATCCATAGACTCACATAGAGACCCATATACTCACATAGAGATCCATATACTGACATAGAGATCCATATACTCACATAGAGACCCATATACTCACATAGAGATCCATAGACTCACATAGAGATCCATAGACTCACATAGAGATCCATATACTCACATAGAGATCCATAGACTCACATAGAGACCCCTATACTCACATAGAGATCCATATACTCACATAGAGATCCATATACTCACATAGAGATCCATAGACTCACATAGAGATCCATATACTCACATAGAGATCCATATACTCACATAGAGATCTATAGACTCACATAGAGATCCATAGACTCACATGGAGATCCATAGACTCACATAGAGATCCATAGACTCACATAGACTCACATAGAGATCCATAGACTCACATAGAGATCCATAGACTCACATAGAGATCCATAGACTCACATAGAGATCCATAGACTCACATAGAGATCCATAGACTCACATAGAGACCCATTTACTCACATAGAGATCCATATACTCACATAGAGATCCATATACTCACATAGAGATCCATATACTCACATAGAGATCCATATACTCACATAGAGATCCATATACTCACATAGAGATCCATATACTCACATAGAGACCCATAGACTCACATAGAGATCCATAGACTCACATAGAGATCCATAGACTCACATAGAGATCCATTTACTCACATAGAGATCCATATACTCACATAGAGATCCATATACTCACATAGAGACCCATAGACTCACATAGAGACCCATTTACTCACATAGAGATCCATATACTCACATAGAGACCCATAGACTCACATAGAGATCCATTTACTCACATAGAGATCCATAGACTCACATAGAGATCCATATACTCACATAGAGATCCATTTACTCACATAGAGATCCATAGACTCACATAGAGATCCATATACTCACATAGAGATCCATTTACTCACATAGAGATCCATTTACTCACATAGAGACCCATTTACTCACATAGAGATCCATATACTCACGTAGAGACCCATAGACTCACATAGAGATCCATTTACTCACATAGAGATCCATAGACTCACATAGAGATCCATATACTCACATAGAGATCCATTTACTCACATAGAGATCCATAGACTCACATAGAGATCCACATACTCACATAGAGATCCATTTACTCACATAGAGATCCATTTACTCACATAGAGATCCATAGACTCACATAGAGATCCATAGACTCACATAGAGATCCATAGACTCACATAGAGATCCATAGACTCACATAGTGATCCATTTACTCACATAGAGATCCATAGACTCACATAGAGGTCCATATACTTACATAGAGATCCATATACTCACATAGAGATCCATATACTCACATAGAGATCCATATACTCACATAGAGCTCCATATACTCACATAGAGATCTATAGACTCACATAGAGATCCATTTACTCACATAGAGATCCATATACTCACATAGAGATCCATATACTCACATAGAGATCCATAGACTCACATAGAGACCCATAGACTCACATAGAGACCCATAGACTCACATAGAGACCCATAGACTCACATAGAGATCCATAGACTCACATAGAGATCCATATACTCACATAGAGATCCATATACTCACATAGAGATCCATAGACTCACATAGAGATCCATATACTCACATAGAGAACCCATAGACTCACATAGAGACCCATATACTGACATAGAGATCCATAGACTCACATAGAGATCCATAGACTCACATAGAGACCCATATACTCACATAGAGATCCATAGACTCACATAGAGATCCATAGACTCACATAGAGATCCATAGACTCACATAGAGATCCATATACTCACATAGAGACCCATAGACTCACATAGAGATCCATATACTCACATAGAGACCCATATACTCACATAGAGATCCATAGACTCACATAGAGACCCATATACTCACATAGAGATCCATATACTCACATAGAGATCCATAGACTCACATAGAGATCCATATATTCACATAGAGATCCATAGACTCACGTAGAGATCCATATACTCACATAGAGATCCATATACTCACATAGAGATCCATAGACTCACATAGAGATCCATATACTCACATAGAGACCCATAGACTCAGATAGAGACCCATATAGTGACATAGAGATCCATAGACTCACATAGAGATCCATAGACTCACATAGAGACCCATATACTGACATAGAGATCCATAGACTCACATAGAGATCCATAGACTCACATAGAGACCCATATACTCACATAGAGATCCATAGACTCACATAGAGATCCATAGACTCCCATAGAGATCCATAGACTCACATAGAGACCCATAGACTCACATAGAGACCCATAGACTCACGTAGAGACCCATAGACTCACATAGAGACCCATATACTCACATAGAGATCCATAGACTCACATAGAGACCCATATACTCACATAGTGATCCATTTACCCACATAGAGATCCATAGACTCACATAGAGGTCCATATACTTACATAGAGATCCATATACTCACATAGAGATCCATATACTCACATAGAGATCCATATACTCACATAGAGATCCATATACTCACATAGAGATCCATATACTCACATAGAGATCCATAGACTCACATAGAGATCCATTTACTCACATAGAGATCCATATACTCACATAGAGATCCATATACTCACATAGAGATCCATAGACTCACATAGAGACCCATAGACTCACATAGAGACCCATAGACTCACATAGAGACCCATAGACTCACATAGAGATCCATAGACTCACATAGAGATCCATATACTCACATAGAGATCCATATACTCACATAGAGATCCATAGACTCACATAGAGATCCATATACTCACATAGAGAACCCATAGACTCACATAGAGACCCATATACTGACATAGAGATCCATAGACTCACATAGAGATCCATAGACTCACATAGAGACCCATATACTCACATAGAGATCCATAGACTCACATAGAGATCCATAGACTCACATAGAGATCCATAGACTCACATAGAGATCCATATACTCACATAGAGACCCATAGACTCACATAGAGATCCATATACTCACATAGAGACCCATATACTCACATAGAGATCCATAGACTCACATAGAGACCCATATACTCACATAGAGATCCATATACTCACATAGAGATCCATAGACTCACATAGAGATCCATATATTCACATAGAGATCCATAGACTCACGTAGAGATCCATATACTCACATAGAGATCCATATACTCACATAGAGATCCATAGACTCACATAGAGATCCATATACTCACATAGAGACACATAGACTCACATAGAGACCCATATAGTGACATAGAGATCCATAGACTCACATAGAGATCTATAGACTCACATAGAGACCCATATACTCACATAGAGATCCATAGACTCACATAGAGATCCATAGACTCCCATAGAGATCCATAGACTCACATAGAGATCCATATACTCACATAGAGACCCATAGACTCACATAGAGATCCATATACTCGCATAGAGACCCATATACTCACATAGAGATCCATAGACTCACATAGAGACCCATATACTCACATAGTGATCCATTTACTCACATAGAGATCCATAGACTCACATAGAGGTCCATATACTTACATAGAGATCCATATACTCACATAGAGATCCATATACTCACATAGAGATCCATATACTCACATAGAGATCCATATACTCACATAGAGATCCATATACTCACATAGAGATCCATAGACTCACATAGAGATCCATTTACTCACATAGAGATCCATATACTCACAGAGATCCATATACTCACATAGAGATCCATAGACTCACATAGAGACCCATAGACTCACATAGAGACCCATAGACTCACATAGAGATCCATAGACTCACATAGAGATCCATATACTCACATAGAGATCCATATACTCACATAGAGATCCATAGACTCACATAGAGATCCATATACTCACATAGAGAACCCATAGACTCACATAGAGACCCATATACTGACATAGAGATCCATAGACTCACATAGAGATCCATAGACTCACATAGAGACCCATATACTCACATAGAGATCCATAGACTCACATAGAGATCCATAGACTCACATTGAGATCCATAGACTCACATAGAGATCCATATACTCACATAGAGACCCATAGACTCACATAGAGATCCATATACTCACATAGAGACCCATATACTCACATAGAGATCCATAGACTCACATAGAGACCCATATACTCACATAGAGATCCATATACTCACATAGAGATCCATATACTCACATAGAGATCCATAGACTCACATAGAGATCCATATACTCGCATAGAGATCCATATACTCACATAGAGATCCATAGACTCACATAGAGATCCATATACTCACATAGAGACCCATAGACTCGCATAGAGACCCATATAGTGACATAGAGATCCATAGACTCACATAGAGATCCATAGACTCACATAGAGACCCATTTACTCACATAGAGATCCATAGACTCACATAGAGATCCATAGACTCCCATAGAGATCCATAGACTCACATAGAGATCCATATACTCACATAGAGACCCATAGACTCACATAGAGATCCATATACTCACATAGAGACCCATATACTCACATAGAGATCCATAGACTCACATAGAGACCCATATACTCACATAGAGATCCATAGACTCACATAGAGACCCATATACTCACAAAGAGACCCATAGACTCACATAGAGACCCATATACTGACATAGAGACCCATATACTCACATAGAGATCCGTAGACTCACATAGAGACCCATATACTCACATAGAGATCAATTTACTGACATAGAGATCCATAGACTCACATAGAGATCCATAGACTCACATAGAGACCCATATACTGACATAGAGATCCATATACTCACATAGAGATCCACATACTCACATAGAGACCCATAGACTCACATAGAGACCCATAGACTCACATAGAGATCCATATACTCACATAGAGATCCATAGACTCACATAGAGACCCATATACTCACATAGAGATCCATAGACTCACATAGAGACCCATATACTCACATAGAGACCCATAGACTCACATAGAGACCCATAGACTCACATAGAGACCCATATACTCACATAGAGACCCATATACTCACATAGAGACCCATATACTCACATAGAGACCCATATACTCACATAGAGACCCATATACTCACATAGAGACCCATAGACTCACATAGAGACCCATAGACTCACATAGAGACCCATATACTCACATAGAGACCCATATACTCACATAGAGATCCATAGACTCACATAGAGACCCATATACTCACAGAGACCCATAGACTCACATAGAGACCCATAGACTCACATAGAGACCCATATACTCACATAGAGACCCATATACTCACATAGAGACCCATATACTCACATAGAGACCCATATACTCACATAGAGACCCATATACTCACATAGAGACCCATAGACTCACATAGAGACCCATAGACTCACATAGAGACCCATATACTCACATAGAGACCCATAGACTCACGTAGAGACCAGCCATCACACAGATCTTATGTCAGGAATACATTTGGGCAAAAGAACAAAAGCATTTCTGTTTTTCAGTATTCAGATTTTCTGTTTATTACACGAATCGTGAAAATTAAATTGTCAGAGGAGTGAATCAATGTTGTTGGTCTTGGTGGTATTTAAATTTTTTCCCGTGTTTTTGTATGTCTCGGTTTTGTTCGCTACATTACCGTAAATATAACACATCATTGCATGAGATGAATCAATGAATCGATTCTCACGCAATGCTATGTCGCAATGTAAGAGTAGATTCTGCACCCGCTTGCCCCCTTCACGCCACGATAGAGAATAATAAAACCGTGTCAATCATATACTTGCGTTGGACCGATGGGGAGGTCCATCTGGCAATGGGCTACCGTTGTATCTATTGAATAAGTTATCGCATTTCTGTTGATAAACACATTTAAGATAACATTGACCGAGCCCCATTACCCCATTTTTATTATCCCAGGCCTGATTGCATAGCTCGCTTTTGGCATTTGGCTTTAGGCCATAAACACCTGGGCCAGCTGTGCAGGTTCAGAGCTGTGCTGTGTTATATTTTCACAGAAACGATACAAAAGCGTCCCGTTCAGTCACACGGACCGTCACTAAGATACAAGTAGGCGGTGTGTGTGCCATTATCACGGTCAAAACGTTGCAAAATGACTTAATTGGGGAAAACCCACACGGCAAAGTCACCCCCTGCTGCCAAGCTCATGCCCGTTTAGCATGCCGGTGCTGTGTACACCAAGCGCCACACAGGGACAACTGCCACCGGGGGTTCACCTTGCCTGGGCTGCAGCAGGGCATTGGAATGGATGAGATGGGATGCGGTGGAAGGTGCGCCGAGTTGGTGACGTATTTAAGCGAACGTCCTATACAGTGTGTGCACATAATTAATCATAATTTATACAACAAAGATTCCCCATATAGGCTTTAACAGAGGCAGTTGATGCAGGTGCTGTGAGCGAGCGCATATTAAGGCCAGCACAGCATGCAAGGAGGTGGCTGGCCAGTGCCGTGCCTGGCCACCTTTGTCTCCCTAGTACTGATGCTTACATACCTGCACCATGTACTAATTCAAGGCCCGAGTTGACGTAGGGGAGGCCCAGGAGCAGTTCAGATATTTGTCACCGATGTTGGCTGTGAGCAGATATAGAACTCGTGCTGCCGCGTGCGTAGTGCAGTGCGCTAACCACTACACTACCGCTCCTCCTGTATTTTCGCTCGCTCGTTCCCTGTGCAGGTGGAGGGTCTGCGTGGAGCCACCGGAGATTCCGTCTTCAAGTTCGAGCCTTTTGTGCTGCACGTCCACTGCCTGCGGCTAGAGGAAGCGCAGCTCCTGGTACCAATTATTTCCTCTCATTCACACTGTGTTCAATAACAACGAATCACTCATTCACTCGCCATGCTGCAGGTCACAACAACACACTCGTCCGCTCACCCACTCACACGCACACACTCATTCACCCACTCACCAAAACATTGTCTGTTTATGTAAAGGGGCAAATATGGGAAGGAGGCATATTGTCTGATCCTCTAACGTATGTTCTCCACGCTCATTGGTTAATTTGGCAGCACTAGGGAGACGTATGCTGCCGGGCGTGGTGCTGCCGGTCACCCACGGCCTCTTGTGCCTTGCCAGCCTTCATAGGTGTTACTCGCTAACAGCACTTGCCCGAAACAGCCTGTTAAAGGCTACACGGGGGATTTTTGTCTTGTGCGTGTGACATACATTCTGTCTTCCAACAGCACATGGTGGCCGTGGAATCTGGGTTCCGAAATTCCGGAATCACTGTCGGAAAAAAGGGGAAGATCATCGTGGTAAGTGTGCTTTTGTTGGACATTAATAAATAACTAAATAGGTAATAATGATAGTAAAAAATCATAATTTGCAAACGAATTTGACATGTCTACATTGTGAAATTTGGTTGTGAGAATTGCTCTTCATCTCACCGGCGAGTGAGCTGAAGCACCGGGAATTGGCGCATCGTTAAAGCGCTTTGTGTGTCACGTGATTATTACATTATCGTAGTTTTCATTTCAGTTTCCAAAAAGTTGGCCTGTACTAGCTCCCGTGCAGCGCGCCATCGCTTCCTCCCAACCCCCCGGCAGCAAAACTAAAAAGGGGTTTTACCCGTTTTTTCCCCTGCACGGTACAACACCGCACCCCCGAAATCCTGCAGCATAATAAAAGGCGGCTTAACTCAGCCCTGCCCCCGACCCACGGCCCTTTCTGGCTCCTCCCCCCCCTTAACCTGTATTTAATAGTTTAGTTTAATAGTTTAGTTTAATAGCTTAGTTTAATAGTTTAGTTTAATAGTTAACAGTTTAGTTTAATAGTTGATTTTAATAGTTTAATTTAATAGTTTAGTTTAATAGTTTAGCTTTCATAGTTTAGTTTAATAGTTTAGTTTAATAGTTTAATTTAATAGTTTAGTTTAATAGTTTAGTTTAACAGTTTAGTTTAATAGTTTAGTTTAATAGTTTAGTTTAATAGTTTAGTTTAATAGCGTAGTTTAATAGTTTAATAGTCAATAGTTTAGTTTAATAGTTGAGTTTAATAGTTTAGTTTAATAGTTTAGTTTAACAGTTTAGTTTAATAGTTTAGTTTAATAGTTAAGTTTAATAGTTTAGTTTAATAGCTTAGTTTAATAGTTTAGTTTAATAGTTTAGTTTAATAGTTTAGTTTAATAGCTTAGTTTAATAGTTTAGTTTAATAGGTAATAGTTTAGTTTAATAGTTGAGTTTAATAGTTTAGTTTAATAGTTTAGCTTTCATAGTTTAGTTTAATAGTTTAGTTTAATAGTTTAGTTTAATAGTTTAGTTTAATAGTTTAATTTAACAGTTTAATTTAACAGTTTAGTTTAAAAGTTTAGTTTAATAGTTTTGTTTAATAGTTTTGTTTAATAGTTTAGTTTAATTGTTTAGTTTAATAGTTTAGTTTAATAGCTTAGTTTAATAGTTTAGGTTAATAGTTTAGTTTAATAGTTGAGTTTAATAGTTTAGTTTAATAGTTTAGTTTAATAGTTTAGTCTAATAGTTTAGTTTAATAGTTTAGTTTAATAGTTAATAGTTTAGTTTAATAGTTGAGTTTAATAGTTTAGTTTAATAGTCTAGTTTAATAGTTTAGTTTAATAATTTAGTTTAATAGCTTAGTTTAATAGTTTAGTTTAATAGTTAATAGTTGAGTTTAATAGTTTAGTTTAATGGTTTAGTTTAATAGTTTAGCTTTCATAGTTTAGTTTAATAGCTTAGTTTAATAGTTTAGTTTAATAGTTTAGTTTAATAGTTTAATTTAACAGTTTAATTTAACAGTTTAGTTTAATAGTTTAGTTTAAAAGTTTTGTTTAATAATTTTGTTTAATAGTTTAGTTTAATTGTTTAGTTTAATAGTTTAGTTTAATAGCTTAGTTTAATAGTTTAGTTTAATAGTTAATAGTTTAGTTTAATAGTTGAGTTTAATCGTTTAGTTGAATAGTCTAGTTTAATAGTTTAGTTTAATAGTTTAGTTTAATAGTTTAGTTTAATAGTTTAGTCTAATAGTTTAGTTTAATAGCTTATTTTAATACCTTATTTTAATAGTTTAGTTTAATAGTTTACTTTAATAGTTTAGTTTAATAGCTTAGTTTAATAGCTTAGTTTAATAGTTTACTTTAACAGTTTAGTTTAATAGTTTAGTTTAATATTTTCGTTTAACAGTTTAGTTTAATAGCTTAGTTTAATAGTTTAGTTTAGTAGTTTAGTTTAATAGCTTAGTTTAATAGTTTAGTTTAATAGTTTAGTTTAATATTTTAGTTTAACAGTCTAGTTTAATAGCTTAGTTTAATAGCTTAGTTTAATAGTTTACTTTAACAGTTTAGTTTAATAGTTTAGTTTAATATTTTAGTTTAACAGTCTAGTTTAATAGCTTAGTTTAATAGTTTAGTCTAATAGTTTAGTTTAATAGCTTAGTTTAATAGTTTAGTTTAGTAGTTTAACACTTTCTTGCCGATCTTTTCTATTTTTTCCTTTTCCATTGCCCCCGTGTAGTGACTCATCCCCCACACCCTCAACATAACTAAAGACGGATTAACTCAGCCCCGCACCCCACCAAGGTCCCCTACTTGACTCCTCCCCCCCCTTAACCTGTATTTAAGCTCGAGGCTATCAGAGCCTCCCCACTTGATGCAGCGATTTTGCTGTGACTGTTCCGCCTGAAGACGGAAGCTTGTGTTGACTCCGAAACGTCGTGATTTAAGTGTTTTCTTTTATTTTGTTTTATTTTACCTACGTGACTTTACCGAATAAAACCAAAGAGTATGAATCCTTGCAGTCACGAAAGCTTCAAATATAGAAACAATTACATTTGTTTGGCCGTGTCGGGTGGTGGACGGTCCAATGACATAATTTTGACCAAATCGTTACCTGGCCTCAGCCGAACATCATTTATTTAATATCTACATAATGAACAAACAAACCGTGTCCTTTGCATGGATTAGTCAGTGACAGGACTTTGTACGGTAAGGGCCTGTATTTCACTGGAAGCATTGATGGCGAACCGTGTAAGACCACTGACCTTTGAACTCGGTAAAGAAAATCCTGTTAACGTGGTTTTTCACTCTATTTGACGAAATTCCTTATTCGTAAAAAACTAAATTTTAATTGAATGCCATTTGGCGAACATTTCTGCACAGAAGGGAGTGTGGAGATTTGCGTTCCCTAGTGTGTGGCTATTAAAAACGGATCACTCAGAGGGGATCTCCAAAGTGGTTTCTTATCTCCTGATAGCTGTTTACCTAACACTGTGGGCAGGGGCACGCCCTGCATATAACGTGACATCGCACACCGCAGCGTTCATCTCCTCTACGCCCTCCAATTGCTCGCTCACGCCACTGCTGGCGGAAGGGCGCCCACTGGATGGAGCGCTACCGATGCCCTGTGGGGGATGTAAATTTGACCCGCAATTGCCAAACACGCAGCAACCTTCGCCCTCTATTGGCAAAACCCAGTGCAGAGACCAGCAGCTATCGAAGTTTCGCAGAAGACCCCTTCTGAACAAGAGTCTTGATTACTCGGTGAGGCTATTCTCTTCTGGGCGAACGAGTGGAATGATAAAAATATTTTTCCTTTGCCGCACCCCCCCCACCACCACCGCGACCATCGGCGCAGGCGGTGCGCAGCACGCACGCGCTGGAGGTGCCGCTGTGCCAGGCGGGGCGGCTGATGGTGCCGCACGACTACCTCGCCTTCCTCGTCGCCATCGCCAATGGGAAGATGGCCGAGAACCGCGAGCGGGTGGCCAGGTGCGTGGAAGGAGGGCACTGAACGGTGCCAAGTCGGTGACGCTTGGCGTCTGCGTACGGATTTGTCACCGTGGTCGTGTGGCCCGCGGTTGCTGAGCACAGAGGCCCAAAGGCCCCATAACGCCATTTGAGGCTGAGTCGACCTATGAGGCGGGGGTCAAAACTTCTTCAGATAATTTGTCACCGTGGGCGAGTATCGATCGCCGGATTCGTAGACCCGGCACGCTAACCACTGCACCACCGCTCCCCGTATCCCAAAGACACACAAACATCGGCAACCCTTAACACGTTCACAGTGGCATCATTAGCATTCTGTGCGCGCACCGCGGTGGATTAATATTCTGAATGTGCGCTCTGCAAAAAACATTTCCGAGTACACGTATTCAGGGACTGTAGCACCCTCGCAGCGCCTCAACTGACGTCTATTCAGTGCCCCTCTGCACTGAATCAGTGTTCTTCACGTGTCTCTCTACGTAGCCACGGCGGCATCGCTCCTCCGGACAGCACTGGTGGTTATTGTTTCCGCTGTCTGGAAATACGTGTTGTCAAAGTCCAGGACTGCAAGTGATGGATGGAGCGGTGTGGTCCAAACTAGCCCAACCAACCTTGTTGACCTGCCCATGTTGAACGACCACAATGCACCAGGTACTCGTTTATGGCTGAGTCAATGTAGGGCAGACCGAGTATCGGTGCCATGCACCGATGGGGTGCGTCGTTACAAGCAATCGATTCAAACCTTGATCGCTGGGATCATAGGCATGTTCAGCACCACGCCCAGCCATCTCTGTCTCCCCATTGTTGATGTTTTATACACCGCACCAGGTACTCATTTCAGGCTGAGTCTACCAGTTCAGATATTTGGCAGTGATATTTTGTCGTGAGTGGGAATCCAACTCGGGTCGCCGTTTTAATAGCGTAGTGCTCTAACCACTACACTGCTACGCATACTAACCACTACATATACTTTCCCACACTAACAAAGACAATTTCACACAATGCCCTCAGATATGCTTCCTTACATTCTCTCCATAATATGAATCCCAGTATTATTGTCATATTAATAGCATATTGTAGCACACGTGGATTGGCCCACACTCTGTCTGAACGCAGGTTCCAAGAGAAGCTGCGGCAAGCGCTGGAGAACGCGGCCGGCGCGGCGATGGCCGACGGTACCGAGCGACCCCGTGACCTCGCGGAGACGGGGGGGAGGAGGAGGAGGAGCAGGAGTCGCCCGCAGCGACCCCGGAGGCCGACGGGCGCCTCGAGGAGCACAGACTCGAGGAGCCGGGTCCACGAGCCAGATGGCGGGGTGGACGATGCCATTGTGCAGGACCTGCGCGTCCTCCTGTAGGGCGCCGACCCGATAGCCGCTCGTGACACAAAGACAAAGATCCCCCGTGCTGTCAGTCGGGGCAAGTGCTGCTAGTGAGCCCGCACCTACGAAGGCCGGCCCGGCACGCAAGGGGGGCGGGTGACCAGCACCACGCCCGGCCGCCTTTGTCACGTACTCATTTGATGCCGAGTCGACCGAGGGGAGGTCCTGGGCCGGTTCAGATAATGGTCGCTCGTGTTGGCCGTGGGCTGGAATTGATGGGGTCGCTGGGTTTGTATCGCAGCGCGCTAACCGCGGCGCCACGGCTGCACTACTGTGGCTCGAGTTCCACGCTAACGCACACGCACCGGATCGAAGGTGGCGACCGCACAGAAGGCTGCGTCCAATGTCCACGGCAGCGCTCTCACTGCTGGGTTCTATTTTTAGAGTTGCTGAGCACGGGCCCAAAACATGCAGCAGCCAGCAACAAGACAGCACTCTCAAGAGTTGTCATCGGTGAAGAGTCGACACTTGGAGACAGAGAAGACGGGAGGGAATTGCTGCTGAATTCCACCTCTGAGAATTGCAGTGTCGTTCTGACCATCGCACGATGCAGAGTGCTGCCCTCAACTGTGTGGTGACTAGAGGTCATTCATTGTTAACTAATCTCAGAGGGAGCTCTGTAATATCCGCTTCCGTGGGCCATTATCCAAACACGACGGGTCGATGCGGCGCCCTGCTAGATTCTTCGTCTCGAGTGATGATGTCGATAGCACGATCCAGATAAACTTAGGAGGAAAACCGATGGAAGACTTTTATCCGAGGATTGCCGGGTGGCGGGAGCGACCTCGGTCGCCGGTTCGACACGACGGATTTGGGGCCCCAGGAATTTGCACGAGGGCGGACGACGCGGCTCGAGAACAACGGGGGCTCTGTGGTCACCTGATTTTAGCGAAAATAACAAAACGAGGCCTGGACTCGGGAGGGTACGTCGGTGTTTATTTACTTTGAACGGAGATGGCGGTGGCACCACAAACATTTGAATCCTCAGCAGAGCAGCAGCGCCGAGATCTGTTTTGTATTATTAAACTCATTTTTGAAAAGATTGCGTAATTCTGTGCGGTTATTGTCGTTGGCGTCTTGGATAACATACACACGCGCGTGTAAAGGAATATTCCCAAATATATCGTGTGCGCTGTTGGGATCGCGCGCGCCCGAGGCCACACCGAGCGACGGAGGAGAGCGCGTGGATCGGAGAGGACGCGCGCTCGTTAAGGAGCTGGGAGTGCGGAGCGGTCGGGAGCCGGTGGGTCGGCTTGGGCCGGAATCGTTGCGCCGTAGCACGGGGGGGGCGGGTGGCTGCGGTGGGGGGTGGACGCCGGCCCAGAGGCGAGAATAATGGACGAGCCGGAGCCGAAGGGGACGGCGCGCGATGGCAGCGGCCCTCGTGCGGATTGTCTCGATTGCTGCTCCACGGCACTGGGACTGCTCGTGACGGCGGCGGTGGCGGCGGCTTGGCAGGGCCCTCGTCCAGCAGTGGATTGATCGTGGCTCACGGTGGTGGTAAGATCGAATTTTGCACGTAGCTCAGTGGTAGTTGATTTGAAGGTGGACTGGTTACCAGCCCCTCGCACCCGTCCAGAGCCCCCATTTGGCCATTGGTGGCTACAAGCGCCAAGAGGGGAATAGCCCATTTAGGAATTGGCCTTCTCTCCATGGCATTGCTCACCACGGCGTTACCATCCGGCACCACCGAGGAGGTAGGGGTTTTTTTTTTTACCGGACGGCACTTCACGTGGCCTTCAAGTGCACTTAGCCTGGCACAAGCGCCGTGGTGACGTCGCCGCCACTTAGTAGCGAATGGCGGTTGTTGGTAAGATCAATAATGATCATCCATGTCACCCTTTCAGTCGGCCGGGGCAAGGCGACATCGATAATGTGTAATCCTTTTGACGCTTTGTTGTTGTTTTTAATGGGAGGAAATGTTGGAACGTAAAGCCAAAGTAATTAGAGCGATTATGCGATGCTTCGGCAATTGGGAAGTAAACGACTGGAACACGATTCAAACAACTTGTGCCAAAAGAGCAAGAAAGCATGGACCTTGTTCTCTCGATTACAAGTCTGCGCGGAAAATAACAATCACCCCCACACGTGCACTTGGTGTCAGCAAGGTCACTCGAATATGATCACTCGGGAACAATGATAAAGGTCCACCGCAGAGCCTCATCAGACGTTTTGGGGCAAGTGCTGTTGGCGAACACCTATGAAGTCCGGCACGGCACACGAGGGGGTGGGTGGCCGATGTTTTACACACCACACCGGGTACTCGTTTGAGGCTGAGTCGACCTAGGGGAGGGCCAGAAACGGTTCAGGTATTCGTCACTGGCGTTGGTGGCCGTGAGCGGGATCGAACTCGTCAGTCGTTTACACACACACCGCGCATGATTATTATTCATCTTGTGGTTGTCACTGATGGGCCCTGCCGAGTGCGGAGCGGGGCTGCCTGCTGGCTGGGCTCCTGGGGCCGGGCGTGGCGAGGCTGCCGGGCCACGCGCCGCGCCCCCAACGGAGCTGCTGTGCGCTCGCTCGCCCCGCACTCGCCACGACCGCGCGCACAGAGATCACACGGGTGATCTTTGCCTGTTGTACGCAACGCGCTTATACCACCACCACCCCCAACCCCCTCGGGAGTAAAATTTATTTGACTTTGTTTTAAATCGCTGAGTTCACGCAAAGTGTGGAATTTGCCCTCCCTGCACTGACCCCTCCCGACGCCCCTTTAACCGCCTCCCCGCTCGCGTTCACGGGGTCCGCAGATGACAGACGACAGCCCGCGGGCTACGAGATGCATCCACAACGGGTGTGGCCATGGTCCCAGCATAGTAAAGCGCGATGAGTGCTCGCAGACAGACAGGGCACTCACCTTGCCACGTGTCAGCTGCAGAGACGCTGCAATTAAGTCCCCGTGTACATCGGTTCCCCTGCTAAAGCCTCGCCTCTTCTCCATTGCCCGTTCCCTTCCCTCCCCTCGCCACTCCACTCCTTGCCCTGACCCTCCCCTGCTGCCCTTCCGCGATCAACCTGTAACCCTCTATCGCAATGAGATGAGACGTCCAGCTTACAGCACCTTGCGTTGACAGGTGGGTTGCGGGGCCGTTCTCTCACGCGGTGTGATACGCGGCCCGCTACGAGACTTCGCCACGTTGCAGGGCCCTGCTGAGTCGCCTCGTGCCACGTAGGGGCAGCTGCCACATGGGGGGTTGCCCGTCGAACGTGTGAGATTTCATTTCATTTATTAGGTATAACCCTGTGAGCCATGCGGCTCTTTGACTCGGGTGCAACCGCAACAAAACAAAAACATGAACAAGAAACATCTTAAAGTGACTACACGCAACAGAATAATCCTGGAAAAAACAGCAAAGTCTTCCAGAAAAAAACACCGTATTTCAACGCTGTGTGCAAAAAATCCCAGTGGAATGCAAGTCAAACAATATGAGATGTGATGCAACGTGCTTTGGCTTTGCCGAGGCAATTGAACGATGTCGTCAAATTCAACTCCACTTAAAGCGATGAGAATGTCTTCTACAGGGGAAACTGAATTTAGTGCAGTCCCTGAAGAAGCTTCCGCAGCGCGTGGTTCGAAACGTCAGACATCGTTGCCCAGCCCGGAGAGCTAGGCAGCAGCAACAACCGCGAAAGCCGCACACGGGAGGAGAGAGCCACGTCGGGTCTCGAGACATGTTTTCATGAGGGTCCTGCTACACTCAGATGTTTGTCCAACTCCACGTTTTTGGTCTGCATCGTCTGCACGAGGAGACGCGAGTGTCCGGTGATACGATAACACCACGTGCCCCGTGATGCTATCGAGCTAAGTCAACTTTGGATACAAGGCGGTAGGGCCACCTACTTGCTGCCCTGCCTCTCTTACAGACGCAGCAGACGCGTGCCGGGTTCGAGGACTGACGCAGCTTAGAGATATTATGTTGATCGTCATCCAGCAGTGGATTGCCCATGATGGTAATGGCGATAGAAGCAGGGTAGAAGTGCGCGCTGGGAAATGACACTGAGAGACAGGACGGGGGACACGTGGGGTAGAGGACTGGCGCAGCTGATAGACGCCACGTTGGCTTGTGAAGGACATTGAGTGGGGCCTGGGGAGTAGTCGCCACGCCTGGGAGGGGCGATGGTGGCCATGTGGTCGAGACGGACGCCGGAGCGGCAGCCCAGTACGAGAAACGCGCTCGACGAATCGTCCGCTGTGGAGATGGAGCACTTGGGAGGAGGCCTTCTACCAGCAGTGGATAGATCATGGCTGATGATGGCGATGGTTCCACACACCACTCTGCCCTATTTCTAAATGCGCTGAATAAGGGTTGTTGCCCCAAACGTCAACCCCTGTTGACTGTATGTGTATCTGTCGTTCGCCCAGTGTTCGTGACAGAAGTGGTGAGGCTGTGGTTGTTTTTGTGTTTCTTCCGTGAAGTTATTGTGCCTAAACAACGCTGCTTAATCCAGGGCGGGCGGGGTGGGGCGGGATGGACAGCCGCCCCAGGCTCCCTTATAAGGGGGGGGGAGGGGGCGGTTGGCCGACCGTGTCGCCGAATTGTCGGAAACCAAAGTAACAGTCAGAGGCAATTTTTTTAGAAATCGGTCAAACAAAACAAAAAGACCTCAACATTTTTTAAGTGCCGCGATGCCATGCGAATAACGCGATGCCACGAAGCAGCAGAAGCCGCGTGCGGATCCGGAGCCGGAGGTCGCCGAGGCTGCTGGGAATGAAGCGAGCAGTGGCGACCGGTGGCTCGGACATTTGGTGGGGCGGTGCCGGCGCCTCAAACACAGAGAGAGAGGGATCTAGTGGGGGGGAAGAGAGACGAAGAGAGAGAGAGAGAGAAAGGCAGGGAGAGGGTGCGGGAACAAGAGGCAAGAGAGAGAGAGGTGGAGAGTGAGAGAGTGACGTGATCTGCCTAGAAACAAACTCACAAATAACTCCGCTGTGCGGGAGGTGGTGGGGTGGGGGAATGGATGGGAGAGGAGGGAGAGGAGAGGGAGGTGGTGGGGTGGAGGAAGGAATGGGAGAGGAGGGAGAGGAGAGGGAGGTGGTGGGGTGGAGGAAGGAATGGGAGAGGAGGGAGAGGAGAGGGAGGTGGTGGGTGGTGGAATGAATGGGAGAGGAGGGAGAGGAGAGGGAGGTGGTGGGTGGGGGAAGGAATGGCAGAGGAGGGAGAGGAGAGGGATGTGGTGGGGTGGGGGAAGGAATGGGAGAGGAGGGAGAGGAGGAGGTGGTGGGGTGGGGGAAGGGATGGGAGAGGAGGGAGAGGAGAGGGAGGTGGCGGGGTGGGGGAAGGAATGGGAGAGGAGGAGGAGGAGGTGGGTGGGGGAAGGGATGGGAGAGGAGGGAGAGGAGGAGGAGGAGAGGAGGAGGTGGGGAGGCGAGGGTCGCAAAGGAGACAGGGACATGATTACTACAGATTCATGTCGATGATTACTACAGATTCATGTCGATGAATACAGAGATCACTGTGAGGAGAGGATGGACGATGGTGTAGAAGAGGAGGGGGGTGGAAGGAGAAGGTGGAGGGAAGTTGCGAGGGAGGAATGAGTTGACACGAGGTATGGGGGGGATTGAATGAAATGAGGGAGGGAGGGCGGAAAGGAATGAGATGCTCCGGAGGGTGGAGGAAGATGAAGGAGAGAAATTATGTAGAGGTCGGGAGGGAGATGATGGAAAGGAGACAAGGAGATGGCTGAGAGCAGGTTGTCGGGAGATGAGGCAGGGTGGGATGGATGGAGGGGGGGGGGAGATGCTGGAGAAGGGCTGGGGAGGGAGGGGGGAGAGTGAATCTGGCTACCGCACAGCTCCTCCTCGCACTGGGTAGCGGAGTGCGGGGGAGGCGCGTGGTGAACATTCACCACGCGGCTCCCCTCGAGTACTCAGCAAGGCGCAGTCGCAGTCCAAACCGCGCGGAGTTGTTCATCGTTAATGGTTAAACTGGGCAGCGACAGCGCCCCCCCCCCCCCCTGACACCCCCTGACACCCCCTGGGGGAGACATCGAGTCCATGGGGGGCGGAACCAAGAGTCGAACCTCGACATAAAGCCTCCGCGACCCCGAGGAGACGGGGGAGTTCACGCGCACGTGCCCGCACCTCCACACGTACCCTGTCCGAACACGTGTAAGCACACCTGCACGCACCGACACACACACGTGCACACACAGGTGTACGCTCACACACGCGTGCACGTGGTTGTTCACCCGAATACGCACACCAACGCACGCATCTGTGAACACATACCGTTACGCACTTACACACACACACCTGTGAACGTACCTGTGCACGCACGGGCGCTTACACCTGCACGTGCGCCTGTGTCCACGCCTGTCAGCGTACCTTCACACTCACCTCTGTACATGGCTGTGCACACGTAAAAACACTCCTGCCCACCGATTTTCACACACATCGACGCAAGCACCCACACACACTCGCATGCCCGCAAACCTGCACCTAAACCTGTGTGTATGCGACTGCTCATTCATCTGCACGCTCAGCTGCACCCAAACTATTCTTCCCATGTACACACACACACACACGTGTCCTTCCATGTACACACACCACAGTACACTCACCTGTCCACCCATCTACCTCTGTCACGACTCGGTTCCCATTCTCCCAAGGAACTTTCTCAACACCACCCAACCCCCTGCTCCAGTAGGAGCCATTTAGCCTGGCACGGCCGCGACGCACACACACGCGCGCACACACACACGCACACACACGCACGCACACCACTGACGAGGTGATCTGTTGACAGTAGGAGGAACAGCAGCAGGAGGAAGAAGCGTGGAGCAAACAGACGCAGACTCGCACGGGAAGATGGAGGCTGGAAAATCTTATGATTGTAAGATGGAGGCTGTGAAGTTCCTCAAGACCTACAAGAAGCTTCTCATCGTCGTGCTGGTGCCCTTGCTGGCGCTGCCGCTCCCCATCGTGCTGCCCTACTCGGTGAGAGTCGATCCCTCGTGCTCCTCCCCTCGACGCCTCCGCCATCCATCATCCTCGCACCTCCGCTCTGCCCCCCCCGCACCTCCGATGAACTCTTTTCTTTAAAGCTCCTTTTTGTGCTTTAGTTGTCCTTCCCCCCGCGCCTACGATTAGCTACGTACGGTGCGAAAGAAGTTCAACGTGCTGTACATACTGTGCATACATACGTGTGGCAAGAAGTGATGTGGAGATGTGTGTGCGTGGTGTTGGCCACCCACCCCTCGTGTGCCGTCCCGGACTTCATTTGGTGCTCGCTAACAACACTTGCCCCAACAGTCTGTTCAGACTATACGGGTGATCTTTGTCTTTGGTGTGTGTGATGAGCGGTAGTGTAGTAGTTAGCCCTGCTGCACTATGAACTCGGCAACCCAAGTTCGATTCCCGCTCATGGCCAACACCAGTGAGGATTACTTGAACCCGCCGTGGGCCTACCCTAGGTCGACTCAACCTCAACTGAGTACCTGGAGCGGTGTGTAAACATCATCACTGGGAAGACAAAGGCGGTCGGGCGTGGTTGTTGGCCACCCACCCCCTCGTTCACCGAGCCGGGTTTCAAAGGTGCTCGCTAACGTCACTTGCGTCAAAAGTCTGTTAAGACTAAACAGTGATCTGTCTTGTGCTCGTGTGCGCGGGGAGCGTGGGGAACGGTGGCACAGTGGGTAGGCCACTGTGCTACTAAAACCGACGATCCCGAGTTCGATTCCCGCTCACGGCCAAAGAACAATGGGCGAATAATTGAGGCCATTGACCGCGGAGATGGAGCAAACGAAGTGAGCTCGAGTGCAGGATCGAGAGGGAGTGTTGCATTGTGGCTTATATCTTCATGACGATGATGTCATGTATATTTGATGGCGATGATGGTTATCACGATGGTGGTAATTATGGTGATTTTATTTATATTTGATGATGGTGGTGGTGGTGATGATGATGATGATGATGATTCATATTATTTTTAGCTGTATACATGATGATTTTATTTACATTCGATGGTGATGGTGGTGTGTAGGAGGCGCACTGCGGCTATGTGCTCATCATCACCGCCGTCTTCTGGATCACCGAGGCGCTCCCTCTGCCCGTCACGGGCTTCGTGCCGCTCTTCCTCTTCCCGCTGCTCGGGGTCGCAAAGTCCGGAGACGTGGCCATGCAGTACTTCAAGGACGCCACCTTCCTCTACCTGGGCGTCATGTTCATCGCGGCCGCGATCGAGTACTGGGACCTCCATCGTCGCATCGCTCTCCGCATGATCATGCTCGTGGGACTCAAGCCCATCTGGTGAGAGACGCACAGAGTTACCCAATCATCTGGTGATTGAAGCCTAGAGTGGCTCAATCATCTGGTGATTGAATCACAGAGTGGTCCAATCATCTGGCGATTGAATCACAGAGTGGCTCAATCATCTGGTGATTGAATCACAGAGTGGCTCAATCATCTGGTGATTGAATCACAGAGTGGCCCAATCTCCTGGCGATTGAATCACAGAGTGGCTCAATCATCTGGTGATTGAATCACAAGTTGCCCAATCATCTGGCGATTGAATCACAGAGTGGCCCAATCATCTGGTGATTGAATCACAGAGTGGCTCAATCATCTGGTGATTGAATCACAAAGTGGCTCAATCATCTGGTGATTGAATCACAGAGTGGCCCAATCATCTGGCGATTGAATCACAGAGTGGCTCAATCATCTGGTGAGTGAATCACAGAGTGGCCCAATCATCTGGTGATTGAATCACAAAGTGGCTCAATCATCTGGTGATTGAATCACAAAGTGGCCCAATCATCTGGTGATTGAATCACAGAGTGGCCCAATCAGCTGGTGATTGAATCACAGAGTGGCTCAATCATCTGGTGATTGAATCACAGAGTGGCCCAATCATCTGGCGATTGAATCACAGAGTGGCCCAATCATCTGGTGATTGAATCACAGAGTGGCTGAATCATCTGGCGATTTAATCACAGAGTGGCTCAATCATCTGGTGATTGAGGAACAGAGTACCCCAATCATCTGGCGAGAGACGCGCAGTGTCTAACATATCAGAATCAGAACCAGAAGTGCATTTCCCGAGTAGAGCCCATTCAGCGAAGAAGTTATGTTTCAAGGGCGACTCCACTCTGCGTCACCACGTATCAATTTCAACAACAACAACAACAACCTGTTGGAATCCACAACCTATCGGCTATACAGATCAATGTTATCCAGCAGCATTCAAGCAAGCACGCAAACTGTGGACCGGTTTCGACATTCTGGGTCTCAGCGGTAGAGTCAGGTTTCTTAAACGAATGCTGACGGGTTACCAGATATTATTGACATCTAAACATTGGGGCCCCATTTCTAACATATACACTTTAATTATCATTATGAGTCTTAAATAATACCAATAATACAAGCATAACTCCATTTTAATAAAATGATCAATTATTTTAGCCCACGGCCTGTATTCTATCCGGAGTGGCAGCTCCATCTGGAGAGAGAGAGAGAAAAACAGAGAGAGAGTTAGAGCCCAACCCCCTCCCTCTCCCTACAATACCAAGATCACGCTGAGGGTGTCACGCGCGTCTTGGAAGGTTGAGACACGCAGCTCGGCTGCGTGAGAGTCCAAGGTGCTGCTAAATAAACAAATTAACTCTTCAATCGGCACCGTCATCCTGATTGTAGCTATCGTGCACCCCTGCGTCCTTGACTCGAGTTCATAAGATTATTCGGGTGGAACTTCGTCGTAATGGCCAGGGGCATGGAACAGATGGAGCGCTTGGCCAGGGGCTGGTCGCGTGCCGCGCATGGACAGCTGCCACTGGGGGTGCCTTTTCAAATGTTCTGAGATGATGAGGATGTCCGAGTGTAGAATAGGTCAGCTCTGTAAAAAAATAAAAGCATCGCGACCATTAAACAAGCGAAAGGGGCAACACGAACGAAACGGACAAATAAATAAACGAGTGAGGCAATGTACCTTTGCATATGAAACATGGTGGGGGGGGCACTGACAAAAATCGAAAGAGAGGAGCTTGTAGGGAGACGAGAGAAGGAGGGAAATGATGGAGAGAGGAGGAGGAGGTGATGCAGAAGATGAGGTAGAAAGGGGAGGGAGTGGAGGGCGAGTGGAGGTGGCTACCCCACAGCTCGCACTGGGGAGAGGGGGAGTCTGGTGGAGCGGTAGACGGATGGACTCTGGCTGCTGCTGCTGGCTGCTTCACCCGGCACGTGACGTGTCAATCACGTGACCTATCAATAAATCACGCGCGCACGGTGTTCCTGCCTCGTGCATTTCTCCGTCCTCATTCATTGACGCGTGCGGCGAGGCGTGACCTCGGCCGCTGGTTGGCGGCTCGAGAAGGGCAGTGTCAGCGCCGTGTGAGCGATCATTGACCCCCGGTTATCGTTTTAACCTCCAGAATGTTTAATTCGTCCAAACATCTCCTCTCTCTCCCTCCCACTCAGATTTGTGCAATCAGTGTCGAGACGACGCCACTGATAGCAGTCTCAGCAGCTGACAGTGCATCACCCTGTGTTTCACAGACGAGACGTTCGGCTCTTTTGCCAATCCACTGATGGATAAGGGCCTCGCTGCGCCGTGCGGGTTGTGGGAGCGGGGGACGTTATTTGACCATACTTCACCACGCTGGTCAATGCAAGTTTGTGAAGTATGTCAGAGGTCAAGTACTGGTGACGAGTTAGCGGTAGAGCGAGTGGCTGGTTGGGTTAGTGGCTGGTTGGCGAATTAGTTGGGGTTAGAGTCAGTTGGATGCGTAGTCTGGGTAACTAGATGGCTATCATATACTTAGTTTTTTCGGTAAAGTCACGTTGAAGGGAAACAACAAAATAATAAAATATATATATTTATATATTTTTTATTATTTTGTTGTTTCCCTTCAACGTGACTTTACCGAAAAAACTAAGAATATGAATTACTGCAGTCACGAAAGCTTTAAATCAAAATTTAGATGGCTATCGTTGGTTATGGTCAATTGGATGGATAGCAACGGTATGTGGTTGGCTAGAGTTAGGGTTGCATGGAAAGGCTAGTACGAGTAGGTTGTTTGGTTAGGATCAGTGATAGGGCTCGCGTATTATTGACTAGTTGGTTCGTGTCAGGGTCAGTGGAATAACATTTTATACAGCTTCATTCATTCTAATTGCATCCCTTAACGCAGTACATTAATTATATATGAAGACCAAATCCTATATACGGCTACTACTAAGCAAATGGAAACCTTACTATCAAGCAAACTTAGAAATGAACAAACAAATTAAGAAATGGCACCAAGACAAAAAGCACAAACAACACGCGCTGGGTAGGCCGAGCGTGTGATGGGCTCCTGTGGCCCACCGGCCAAATCCGATCGCCCCTCCACCTCCACCTCCTCGTCCACCTCCTCCACCTCTTCCTCCACCTCCTTGTCCACCTTCTCCACCTCTTCCTGCACCTTCTCTACCCCCTCCTCCACCTCCTCCTTCTCTACCCCTCCTCCACCTCCTCCACCTCCTCTTCCACATCCTCCTCCACTTCTTCCTCTACCTGCTCCTCCAACTCTTCCTCCACCTCCTCCTCCACCCCCTCTTCCACCTCCTCCTGCACCTCTTCCTCCACCTCTTCTACACTGCACCTGATCCCTCGTCCCCATGCGGGTGTGTTCTCTGCTCCCGCCGTGACTCGCGGTGCCGAGGCCACCACGGGCGAGCCGCGCGATCGCCGCTCTCCAGGGTGCTGAACCGGGCCCAGGGTCGCACCGGCACCGTTCACAGCGACGGCGACGCTCAGCCCGGAGTCGCTCCGACGCTTTCGACCTGCGGCAGTGTTCGTCATTGCAAGGCCCGCGGGCCACTGGTGGCCCCTGGTGGCCTTCAATGCGGCCCCTGATCGTGCGGCCCCAGACAATACACAACGCGTGAACACCCCCCACCACCATCATCACCGTGCTGCTCTAAAACCCCCAATGGTTTCAAATGTGGGGCGGCCCTCACACTGACGATGTCTTATCGGCGAAAGTGGCCCCGCCTCTGAACATTAATGAAGAACACTCACCTACGGCATCGTCATCATCATCATATAATGGTGCCCTTTATTGACGCAGGGGGGTGGGGGTGGCAGATGTGGTGCAGCGACATTAGTCCGGCCGCGGAGGCAAACGACGAGTGGCGAAGTGATTTCAGTCAGTACGTAAAACACGAAAGCATCAACAAGAGGGAGAGACAAAGGTGGCCGGGTGCCGGTCACTCACCACGTGGCTATGACCCCATTGGCTTTTCAAAACCACCCCAATCTGCTCTCGTCCACCTCTTTTACGAAGGTTAATGACGCCACCCGAACCATGCCCAGCAGGGAGCGGCCGTGGGCAGACCGCGTCGCGGCCAGACGGGACGGTGAGCCGTGGCCAAGAGTAGTAACGGAGTGGCAGCCAAGGAGTGGAACGCGTCCGAGCGGCCGTCCACCGTGTGTATGTTGAACTTCTTTCGCACGGGACGTAGCCAACCGTGCTTATTGGAGATTAGGAGGCGACGGAGAGGTGAAATCAGTTGGCGTGCAGGTGGTGGATGGATTGTTGGCGTCGCAGGATCGCGAGAAGCGTTGGTTGGCGGCGGCTCGGGGAGGTCTTCATCCAGCAGTGGATTGACCCCCTCGCTCGGCGTGTGATCCCAGGTTGATGCTGGGGTTCATGGGGACCTCGGCTTTCCTCTCCATGTGGATCAACAACAGCTCGACCACGGCGATGATGATTCCCATTGTGGAGGCGGTGCTCACCACGCTCTTGGGCGCCAAGGAGAGCGTCGCCAAGGGGTGCGGGGATGGCGCCACGCACGGTGAGGAGAAGGCGGCGACCCTCTGCCGGGATGGCACCAGCGGGTGCCACGGTGGTGGCGAGATCTTCACGAAGTGCGCGTGTGTGTGTGCGTCTTGAACTTCTTTTCGCACCGTACGTAGCCAAGCTTGCTTATTTGGAAGCGCGGTGGACGGACACACTATAACGCGGAAAGCAGTTTTAAAGAAATTCGTTTTCAATCTCGATGATTTAACCGCGCATAGTTCCCAGTGGCTTACTCATATCGGAAGGAAGAGCGTTCCAGACGACCGCAGAAGCGCATCCGAAAGCGCGCGATGCGGTGACCGCCTTTGTACGGCGGCGAGCCACAAGCCGCTGCTGCTGCTGCTGCATGGGTTGGTGGTGGATCATCGCACAACCACCTCGCTTGGTGGGTGCGGTCCCGACCCTGACGACGCCTGTTGTATATTTGGGGTTTGCGTGTTGTCGCTCTCTCTCTCTCCCCCCGTGGTCGAGCGGATTTTTCTCCCAGTCCCTCCGGTTTTCCTCTCCACATTTAGAGTCAACATCACCCGTTTAGAGTACAGTATTTGGCTCCTGCTATAAATGTCCACGTGATGATGATCAGCCACTTCGCTGAGCTATCATTTGTGGCCGGGTCACGTCTGAAAAATATCTGCATAGCTCAATGTGCCTTACCTGGTAAAAAAAATAGTAGAATCGCAGTCGTAGTAATTGTTATATTTGGGCCGATTACCTATCCCGGCACGGCAACGTAGTGGTGGTGGTGGCTACGCTGCTGCACGTGGCTGCTGCACGTGATCCAGCGACGTGGAAGCAGCAGCGAGGGGTTGGTGTATCATCGCATAGCAATGTGGACTCCATCTGTGTGGGATGACAGGACTTGGGTTACATATGTTTTTACCAGGTGCGAGACTCACTTAGAAAACTTTTGGTTGATCATCATCGTCATCATCATCGTAATCGTCGTCATCCCCATCGTCGTGAGCCAAGTTGTTTTCGTCTTGGTGATGTCCGTGATGTCATTCGTTCCAGAACCAAGCGGCGACGACAATAAGGACGCGGAGCCCTTGCCCGCAAAGGAAGACATCGCTACGCACGGGTGAGGAGGAGATCTCGGCGCGGATGTCCTGCACTTGCCTCGGCATTCGCTTCCCACGCCCTGCCATGCCCACGCTCGCGCAGGGACGCGTGCAGCCCTCGTGTCAATCCGCGGCTGGATGGATGAGGGCCGCTTGGTGAAGTGTGGCCAAACCCACCCCCGCCACGAGCCACACGGTGCGGGGAGGTCCACATCCAGCAGCGGGTGGCACGTGTTCGCAGTTGTGCTGAAGGTGGTGCGCAGTGCTTAGCGCGCTGCTATGGAACTCGACGACCCGAGTTCGATTCCCGCTCACGGCCACTTACCCCGTGAGTGATGATTGTCTAAACCAGTTTCGGGCATTCCCTAGGTCAGCTCAGCCTCAAATGAGTAGCTGGTGCGGTGTGTAAACATCGTCACTCGGGAGACAAAGGCGGCCGGGCGTGGTGCCGGCTACTCACCCACTCGTGTGCCGTCCCGGCCTTCATAGGTGCCGCTCGCTAACTGCACTTGCCCCAACAGTCTGTTCGTCATCAGCATGAGAGATGATGGCAGTGGTGGTGTTGAATTAGATCAAGGCGCAGTCCTGCCATGCCCTGCTCACGCACTGCTGGCAGAAGAGGCCTCCACTCAAAGGAGCTCTGGACAGCCCCTTTTAGACGGTATTTGGCCTACTCTTCTACACTGGTGAGAGGTATTAGAAGAGGTGGGAGTACCCACACTGTACCCCACCACACGCAGCTTGCGGTGAGCCCAAATACGCCTCTGCTGGGTGGACAGAGGCAGTGCGGGAGACAGGATCACCACCACCATCACCACCATCACCACCACCATCACCACCACCATCACCACCACCATCACCACCACCATCATCACCACCACCACCATCACCACCACCATAATCACCACCACCATCACCATCACCACCACCATCACCACCATCATCACCACCATCATCATCACCACCATCACCACCACCATCACCACCACCATCATCACCATCATCACCGCCACCACCACCACCACCATTATCACCATCATCACCACCATCACCACCACCATCATCACCATCATCACCATCATCACCACCACCATCATCACCACCATCACCACTACCATCATCACCACCATCATCACCACCATCACCACCACCATCACCACCACCACCATCACCACCACCACCATCATCACCACCACCATCATCACCATCACCACCACCACCATCACCACCACCATCACCACCACCATCATCACCATCATCCTGAGTGTAGGTTTATTTAAATGATTCTATTGAACACACCAGTTCACACGAGATATGAAACTGGTATATAGCCTGCGTGTCTTAACGATTCCGTTTATTGGTGTGCTCCTAACTTTGACTGTACGAACGGATCGATCAAAGTTCAGCGATAAAATCGCGTGGAACGGAATGCCACGCGGTGCCCGTGAAAGCGCGGAGGTAGGGGCCGGCTGATGCTCACCTCTATCGCCGGCCCTGAGATAGTCGTGGAAATTCCACGTTTTTATGACAGGACCGGGTCCACTAAGGCAACAAACAAAAAAACACTCGTGGCTTCTCATCCTATCCCACCAATTAGCTCAACGTAGTGGTTGGTGGTAGTTGTGTTGGTGGTGATGGTGTTGATGGTGTTAGTGGTGATGGGTGTTGATGATCTTGACGATGGCGGTGATGGCTGTGTTTATGATGATGATGTTGACAACTCAGGACTATCTGCGCCTTCACAATCCGCAGAAGAGTACAGCACATGTTTGTGCAAGATAGCTCTATTTGAAGGTTGTTTATCGTGATTATTATCGTGCACTTGAGACCCTATCTGCATTCTATTCTGCCGAACCAACAAACAAGTGCAGCGCCTCGTCTTGGCTGCCACGACTCCCCTAGCGAGTGTGAGGTTGTCTGGCTGCACGAGGAGCTCTCGGACTTCGCACCGCAAACTTCACCCTTTACATAAGCGGGATGCCGTCTCCGCACTCTCCTACACGCACAACGCCCGATGTCAAATCCTGCTGCTGGACGAGGGCTATTTGGCCATACTTCACCACGCCGGTCATTGTGGATTAGTGAAGGTGGGGGTGGTGGGGAGTTGAGGAGAAGTTCGCTGCACTGGCCTCTGCTGCCCAGGATGCTCACTACATCTGCACTTTCCGAATGGTGGTGGCGGTGGTGATGTCGGTGGTGGTGGTAGTAGTGATGTCGGTGGTGGTGATGTCGGTGGTGGTGATGTCGGTGGTGGTGGTGTCGATGGTGATGTCGGTGGTGGTGGGGAGCGGTAGTGTAGCGGTTAGCGCGCTGCGCTATAAACCCGGCGACCCGAGTTCGATTCCCGCTCACGGCCAACACCAATGACGATTATCTGAACCGGTAATGGGCCTCCCATAGGTTGACTCAGCCTAAAATGAGCACCTGGTGCGGTGTGTAAACATCGCCACTGGGGAGACAAAGGCGGTCGGGCGTGGTGCTATTCACCGACCCCCTCATGCGCCGTTCCGGTCTTCATAGGTGCTCGCTAACAGCACTTGCCCCTACAGTCTGTTAAGGCTATACGGGGGATCTTCATCTTCGTCGGTGGTGGTGATAGTGGCGGTGGTGATAGTGGCGGTGGTGATAGTGGCGGTGGTGATAGTGGCGGTGGTGATAGTGGCGGTGGTGATAGTGGCGGTGGTGATAGTGGCGGTGGTGGCGGTGGTGATGGCGGTGGTGATGTCGGTGGCGGTGGTGATGGCGGTGGTGATGTCGGTGATGGCGGTGGCGGTGGTGGTGGTGACGGTGGTGATGGTGGTGATGGTGGTGATGGTGGTGATGGTGGTGGTGATGGTGGTGGTGGTGGTGATGGTGGTGACGGTGGTGATGGTGGTGGTGATGGCGGTGGTGATGGTGGTGGTGATGGCGGTGGTGATGGTGGTAAGGGTGATGATGGTGGTGATGGCGGTGGTGATGGTGGTAAGGGTGATGATGGTGGTGATGGTGGTGGTGGTGGTGATGGCGGTGGTGATGGCGGTGGTGATGGTGGTAAGGGTGATGATGGTGGTGATGGTGGTGATGGTGATGGCGGTGGTGATGGTGATGGCGGTGGTGATGGTGGTAAGGGTGGTGATGGTGGTGATGGTGGTGATGGTGGTGGTGATGGTGGTGGTTTTGACTGAGTGAGGCTCTCCTGGGTGCCATCAACAACCGGTCCGTCTCCTGCAACCCCACCCCGCAGCGGCTTCAACGTCGACGAAGTCTCCACCAGCGCCGTCGACGACGACGACGACGACGGCGGCGCCTCCGTCAGCGCCGCGGTGGACAAAGACCTCGAGGCGGCCACGAGCGCCGCCTCCAAGGAGAGTCGGAGGGACGACCTCATGGCCCGCGGCCTGTCGCTGAGCATCGCGTACGCGGCCAACATCGGCGGCGTGGCCACGCTCACGGGGACCTCCACCAACCTGGTGTTCGTGGAGCAGATGGAGCAGTGCGTGGCGCGGCGGTGACACGCGCGCACACACAGACGAAGATCGCCCGGGTTCGCCTTGAACTCGCTGTTGGGGTCGAGTGCTCTTAGCGAGCCGATGGAGGCCGGCACCGGGGGCGCACGAGGGGGTGAGGGGGTGGCTGGGTGGCCGGTAGCGCGCACAACTGGCGGTGTTTTTACGCATGGCTCGAGGTCGACTCATTTGAGGCTGATACCGCGTTGGAAGTTGAGGCTGAGTCAACTTAGGGGAGGCCCGGGACTGGTACAGATAACCATCACTGGTGTTGAACCGTGAGCGGGGAATCCAACTCGGGTCCGTCAGATTAGTAGCGCAGCGCGCCAACCACTGCACCACCGCTCCCCCACTCGCACGCAGCCACTCACGCACACACACGTGGTGTGGCCGGGTGGTAGCGCGTGTTAGAGGTTGGCGGTAGGAGCCCAGCGGTCGCCCTGGTTAATACTACGGGGTCTCGACAAAAAAACACCACTCCGCGCCGTCCGCTTCACGACGGGCGGTAAATATCCCCATGGCAACGTCACCATGCTCCAAATGTTTCCTATGTTTTGTTTTAGTCCACAACCGATCACTCGTTCGCAAGAATCCCACGGAGTCGCGCGTCTCTCTCCCCCCCTCCCGCCTCCAGGAAATACCCCGAGTGCAACTGCATCAACTTCGGGTCGTGGATGGCGTTCGCGCTCCCCTGCGCCATCATCTTCGTCTTCATTGCGTGGTTCTGGATCGCGTGGATGTTCGTAGGTTTCCAGTGAGTGGCCGCCTCTCCAACCCCCAACCTTCCCACGCGACCTGCAAAAGCCGATGATTCGAAATCGACGGGGTCATTTGGGCATCATTCGCTCTCAAAATACTCACCACCACCTCCTCCACCCCGCGACAAATGGGCCCATGGCCTCCGTGACTGCAGTCCTCGTCACGCCGCATGAGCAGCTCCCAACCCGCCCCTCTCGGCCCCTTCCTGGACGCCGCCGCCGCCGCCGCTGTTCGAGATGTGACCAGGGCGAGAGCTCCTCTCGCCGTCCCTCGCCTTTAGTGACCGAGCCTCGCTCGCATCGCGGCCTCGGCTTCACCCCCCCCCCCCCCCCCCCCACGCTTCCCTTTCCCCGGCCCTTTTTAAATGAATTCCTTGATTTTGAGATTCCCACCGCGACCACGCGAACCCCCCCCCCACGCGAGCCCACGCGTTGTGCTGCTGCGCTTCCTGCTGCCAGCGGCACTTGAGTCGTGGATGAGTCCGTCTGCCAGCCAGCACGTGCAACGTTTTCATTGATTTGCTGTAACTTCACCAAGGGTCCTCCGTGGGTGATTCTGTGGTCAACGGCTGGGATGCTTCTAACCCGCAACAACAAACTCCATCGACCAATTATGAACGATCATTAACCATCATTAACGATCATTAACCATCTCCTTCCCCTCCCCCCCCCCCCCCCACAGGGATCTGTTTGCATGCAAGAAGAAGAAGACGGCGAACGAGAAGAGGGCGGAGAAGCTCATCCGCCGCGAGTACGAGAAGCTGGGCAACACCAGGTGAGGTCTCGGCATGGTGCGCCCGTGAGGGTGGCCAGCAGCACGCCTTCATCTCCGTTCGTCTCCCCGAGCGTCGATGCTTTTACACGCTACGCCAGGTGCTCGTGGTCAAGGCCGAGTTCACCTAAATCGTCTCCGGTGTTGGTATGCCGCGAGCGGGAATCGAACTCGGGCCGCCGGGGGTGTCGTGGTCCGCACGGCCACGCCGCTGAGCACCGCGCAAACTCCCCCGCCCCCCACGTCTCTCACCCCCAGTGGGGGGGGGGGGGGGGGGGGGGCACGCGCCACGTGCTTCGGCTCGTGAGATCTCCTCGCCGGGTTCGATTCCCGGGCGCCTCTCTCTGTGTGGAGTCTGTGTAGGTTCTACCACGGTTCCGTATGGGTGTCCTCCGGGTTCTGCCGTTTCCTCTCCGTAACTGAGAACACGCGCACAACGTATTGGTCAATCCACATCCCAATGTTGAACTTTACCTGCGTAGGGGTTTTCCCCTTTTTTCTGGCAATAAAACAGGTGTTAAGATGTTAATATACAAAACTGAAACCTTTTGGTGTTTAAACATCTTAACACCTGTTTTGTTGCCAGAAAAGAGGGGGAAAAAACCTATTATCATATTTTGTTACTGGCAATGGAGATCCCATGACGTATTACCTGCATAATCACTCTAAACTATTAAACCATGTTTTTACCAGGTAAGGCCCACTCAGTTATAGCGTTCTTTTTCGCTATATTTTTCCACAAATGATAGCCCAACAAAGTGGCTTATCATGCTGCCATGTATAACAGCCAAATACTCTAGACGCGTGTCACTAAATGTGGAGGGAAAAACCGCAGAACCCGGAGAAAAATCCACGCGACCACGGCGAGAACAAGCAAACTCCAAATACACAGCAGGCGTCAGTGTCGGGATCGAACCCACGACCTCCTGCATAGCAGGCGAGGTAGTTAACATCTCGCCACTGTGGGGCCACTCAATTGTAATCACACAGCAACAGCAGCAGCGACATCGCTGCCCGATAACTTGGCAGGACCCTCGTAAAAAGAAGAGTCACGACTCAGTGAGGCTCTCCTGGGTAACACCACCACAACTGGTAAATGCATGACATTATTCATAAATAAATACATGGATTAATACATTTCTTGCAAATGACACCGAGCCCCCTGGACTTGTAACCCCCCACCCCCCCCCGTCCGGGTCGGTTCGCCGCGTCACGTGACCTGTGCCTCCCACACCCTCACCCCGGCGCGAACCGTGGCACAGCTACCCCGAGGCGTGCGTCCTCTTCATCTTCGTGCTCATGGCTCTGCTGTGGCTCACCAAGGATCCTGGATTCATGCCCGGGTGGGCCATCATCTTCGGGCACTAGTGAGGCTCGCGCGCCCAGCAGCACCCAGCAGCAGCACCCACAATCATGCAGAGCACCCAGTAACATCTACTACGCATTATTGGGATGCAGCGCCCTGCAATGCCGATTATGCTGCCAATACACTTGTAGCATCCTGTAATACCCTGTCATACCCAGCAAGCTGCAGTAGCCAGCACCCTGCAGTAGCCCGCACCCTGCAGCAGCCTGCAGTACCTATCACCCTGCAGGACCCTGCAGTAACCAGCACCCTGCAGCACCTTGCAGTAGCCAGCAGTACCCAGCAGTAGCCAGCACCCTGCAGCACTCTGCAGCACCCTGCAGTACCCAGCACCCTGCAGCACCCTGCAGCACCCTGCAGCACCCTGCAGTACCCAGCACCCTGCAGCACCCTGCAGTAGCCAGCACCCTGCAGCACCCTGCAGTAGCCAGCAGTAGCCAGCAGTAGCCAGCACCCTGCAGCACCCTGCAGTAGCCAGCACCCTGCAGCACCCTGCAGCACCCTGCAGTACCCAGCACCCTGCAGCACCCTGCAGCACCCGGCAGTAGCCAGCACCCTGCAGCACCCTGCAGCACCCTGCAGTACCCAGCACCCTGAAGCACCCTGCAGTACTCAGCACCCTGCAGTACGCAGTACCCAGCACCCTGCAGCACCCTGCAGCACCCTGCAGTACCCAGCACCCTGCAGCACCCTGCAGTACTCAGCACCCTGCAGCACCCTGCAGCACCCTGCAGTAGCCAGCACCCTGCAGCACCCTGCAGTAGCCACCACCCTGCAGCACCCTGCAGCACCCTGCAGTAGCCAGCACCCTGTAGCACCCTGCAGCACTCTGCAGCACCCTGCAGCACCCTGCAGCACCCTGCAGTAGCCAGCACCCTGCAGCACCCTGCAGTAACCAGCAGTAGCCAGCAGTAGCCACCACCCTGCAGCACCCTGCAGCACCCTGCAGTACCCAGCACCCTGCAGCACCCTGCAGCACTCTGCAGCACCCTGCAGTACCCAGCACCCTGCAGTACCCAGCACCCTGCAGTAGCCAGCAGTACCCTGCAGTAGCCAGCACCCTGCAGCACCCTGCAGTAGCCAGCAGTAGCCAGCACCCTGCAGCACCCTGCAGTAGCCAGCATTAGCCAGCACCCCGCGCCGAGCGGCCGGCGTCACTCCGCGTGCCCTGCGCTCTCTCCGCAGCAAGTCGTACGTGTCGGACACCACGGTGGCCGTGACCGTGGGATTCCTACTCTTCGTGTGGCCGTCCCACACCCCCTCCTTCATCCAGCAATACTTCCCCGGTGAGAGCGGCGGCGGTGGCGGTGCCATCAACAGCGGCAGCAGCAGCAGCACCGTAGCCACTATCGTCATTACCGTTACCTGATATCATCAGCATCATCATCATCTACAATCACAAGTAGCACCATCATTATATATATTTTTTCCTATCATAATGATCTCACTATTACTACCACCATCATCGGTAATAGCACCATTTAAATCTGAAATAATCATCACGATCATCATCATGATCATCATCACCATCATCGACACAATCACCAGGGCCACCCAGAGCTTCTTGGAAGCCCGGGGCAGGATGCCACTTGCGGGCCCACGTCACTCACGAGCACGATGGAGCTGGGCCCCATCGTGAGGCCCCCTTCTGTGTGAGGCCCGGGACAGATTGCCCCTTGTACCCCCCCCACCCCACCCCACCCCCTGCCCTCCCCCGTGCCGCCCCCCGCAGGCCCCCCGATTGATCCCAACAAGCCCCCCGTGATTCACCCCGCCACGCTCATGGACTGGAAGACGTTCAACCGCGGAATGTCGTGGGGGGTCTGCTTCCTCATCGGGGGGGGCTTCGCCCTCGCAGAGGGGGCCGAGGTGAGCGCCCTGCACGGGACACGGGGCGTGGGACACCATGCACGCGCACGGGACTCCCTGCACGGGACACAGAACACCCTGCACCGGGCACAGGACACGGGGGACACAGAACACCCTGCACCGGGCACAGGACACGGGACTCCCTGCACGGAGCACCCTGCCCAGGGAATGAGACACTGGGTATGGGACACCCTGCACGGGACACGAGACAAGTGACGCCCTGCACACGGCACCCTGCACGACCTCCCCTGTGCCGCAGGTGTCTGGGCTGTCCACGTGGATGGCGGCCCAGCTGGAGCCGCTCAAGGTACTACCCGGCTGGGCCATCTCCATCATCTGCTCCATGTTGATCTGCGCCTTCACGCAGTGCGCCAGCAACCTGGCCACGGTGACGCTCTTCCTGCCCATCCTCTCCTCCCTGGTGAGACGGGGGAGGGAGGCACGGGGGGGGGAGTCACGTGAGAATCTTTGCAACGCCGCTGGAGCGGGCTCAGAGTAGTAGGGGGCATATCGGCATAAGGCACTACCACTACGGTTCAATGGAGGTACACATATCCGTTATTAAATGCAAAGTCAGCACGAGCAGCCGTTGTTGTGGAGCGATATCAATGACAAAGTTGATGTGCAGATAATACGTAATGCCTTAAACCTCCGTGTCTCTGCGTAAACAAATATATAGAAGTAGATTTTAAATACGCGATCCATTTGCCGCGCGGCCTTCTGGGAGTGCATCAATTCAGCCGCGTTGATTCAGTGCGAGACTGCGGACCGGTTTCGCCATGCATTGTCTCATCAGCATGGTCAGGCTCGCTTGAATCAATGCTGGTAAAACTGTCAGGTGTCAGAGGCAAGGAGTCTCCCTCGAAGACGTGGGTCCGATAGTTCGACGCAAAATAACGTAACGCATATCACTTACATTCGCTGTATCCGTTAGGTAGAGGTATGACCTCCAATTAGCACGGTTGGCTACGTACGGTGCGAAAGAAGTTCAACGTACGTGCCTCGTATTAAGGAACTGAGGCGGCTCATTTCATTCCCAGCACGGTTCGCTATAACGAGGGGGGTCGTGCTAGCACGGTTCGCTATAACGAGGGGGGTCGTGCTAGCACGGTTCGCTATAACGAGGGGGGTCGTGCTAGCACGGTTCGCTATAACGAGGGGGGTCGTGCTAGCACGGTTCGCTATAACGAGGGGGGTCGTGCTAGCACGGTTCGCTATAACGAGGTGATTCACGTTGAACCCCGGGCTTCGTTTCTCACCGCAGGCGGAGGCGATCTCCGTGAACCCCATTTACCTGATGCTCCCCGCCACCATGTGCGCCACCTTCGCCTTCGTGCTGCCCGTCGCCACCCCTCCCAACGCCATCGTCTTCTCGTACGGACGCATCAAGGTCATGGACATGGTGGGTGCACGAAGCCGAGTATCCTCACCGTCGTCGTCGCTATGGCATTCCCATCATCATTATCATCATCCCTATGATGTAGACCATCATCATGACTCATCATCCCTATGATGTAGACCATCATCATTATCATTATCTCTATGATGTAGACCATCATCATTATCATCATCCCTATGATGTAGACCATCATCATGACTCATCATCCCTATGATGTAAACCATCATCATGACTCATCATCCCTATGATGTAGACCATCATCATGACTCATCATCCCTATGATGTAGACCATCATCATTATCATCATCTCTATGATGTAGACCATCATCATTATCATCATCCCTATGATGTAGACCATCATCATGACTCATCATCACCATCGTGCTGTGCCATCGTCATCTGGATCTTTTTGATTCTCTGCACCACCACCACCATCATCATCATCATCCTCTACATCATTATCATCGTCATCATCATCATCCCATACCAAAGTGCTTTTCCTTCGCCTAGGTGAAGTGTGGCGTCGTGATGAGATCTCTAGTCGTGGTTATCATCACCATAAATCATCATCCTATGCAACATCATCATCACCACCATCACCTCAATCCCATGTACATCTCGACGTAGCTGAAATGTTACATGGTGCTGAACCACTTGCTCATCGTTATCACCACCAACCACGCTGAGCCCACGTGCTTCTCGTCCACGCAGGTCAAATGTGGCGTGGTGCTCAGCTTCCTTGGCGTCGCTCTCGTGGCGATGGCCGTGAACACGTGGGGTATCCCCCTCTTCGACGTCCTCGTCTACCCCGAGTGGGCACCCAACCGCACACAGCCCTCCCTGTCGCTCACCACGATGGTCCCGACCTCGCCGTTCCAACTCTGAGCCCCGGCCTAGAGCCGAGCGGGTCGAGGGGGGGCTGGAGGAGGAGGTGTGGACACTCTGCACACTTGGTCTCCTCCTCTTCCCCCAAGAAGAGGAGTAGTTGTAGCAGGAGGAGTACACTTCCTTATTGAGCCCCTCCTCCTCTGGCTTGAACACGCACTTCTTTAGAACTGCTTGCTGTGTTTAGTTTGTTGTCCTTCCACCGCACCGTTTAACACGGTTGGCTGCGTACGGTGCGAAAGAAGTTCAACATACGTACGTACAAGCAGAGAAGGTGTAGGAGGAGCAGGAGGAGGACACTTCCTTACTGAGCCTCTTCCACTCTCTCGGTGGACACTATCATGGCTTCATGTCGAACCGGTCAGCGGCACAAAAAATGCAGTTCAGGACCCAGCACACCACATCGAGTAGACATCTCGCTACGGCTGCTTGCCACACACGTACTCCGTGTCTCCCAGCAATCTGGACAATAGTCCTTGAGAAATTACGCCCTGGTCACGAACCATGACGCCTCGAACTGGGCAATTCCCGGCCACCAGGCAATTACAGATTGCAGATGATTGAGCAGCTTTGGACAACTGGGTGATTGTTTTCCCCCAGGTTGTGCAAATACATCCTGATGAAGGGAAAACTTAAAAACACATGGAAATTATTGGCAATGTCACGTGATTGGGAAATTCTAGGCAACTTGCCAGCTTTCAAGGACTAGGCAACTCCAGATGGTGACTAGGCAGCTTCAGATGATGGGGAATCTACAGGTGACTGGACAGTTAAAGGCAACCGAGCAACCCCAGAGAATAACGAAGCAACTCTTTGGACGATTTATCAACTCTAGTTGACTGGGCCATGCAAGGTGCCCGACCAGGCTCAGAAAACTGTAAAACTCTAGTTGACTGGGAAACTTTAGATGGCTGGGCAACTTCACCATTAGACAACTCAAGATAAGGAAACCTCAGACATGTTGGGCAACTCCAAATGACAGCAACTTTCCACCAGGCAAATAATTTCCCAGAATACCTGGTCTGTTGTAGTCCGGCACTCACCATACCACGTTTTATTTTTCTCTCAGTGAGATTCTATTTTTTATATCACCGTCAAGATACGAAGAAATGTACTCGAAAGCAGTGCGCCTTGCTGTGTTCGGGAACGACCTCGAAGCGGACATCACAGAACTACTTCTGAGATGCCTTCATTAGCCTCTCAACCGCACCGGGTGGCGATGCGCTGCCTCGCACGCCCTGCTAGGGCGCGTGCAATCCGCATCCCAACCAAACGTTTGCGTTTCATTCAGACCTCGGGATCAGAGCCCGACTAAAGCGAATAACCAAATTAACACCATGGGCTTGTTACTGCTCAATCATTTGTGACCGGGCTGAGCCTGTCACCTCGCTAGACTTGGGGACCCAGTATTGCTGAAATTGACCCCAAGACCGCTTCCACGTTATGTATATACAGAATATAATATATACTATTATATAAATACTATTGTCTAAACAATATCTAACGTTGTCATAAAGTGGCCCTCTCAAGGGGGCGAAGGCTGCCACACCGCCGGTGCAATGGTCCCCACACTGGACTCACAACCCAGAGGTCAGCGGTTCGATTCCTTCTCGGCGCGGCAATAAAAGCACCGTGCACGCAGCCCAGCAATGTGCGCCACGCCAGTCAGGAGACAGGCAGGTCGCGTGTGGTGGGGTCGCGTGTGGTGGGGTCGCGTGTGGTGGGGTCGAGTGTGGTGGGGTCGCGTGTGGTGGGGTCACGTGTGGTGGGGTCACGTGTGGTGGGGTCGCGTGTGGTGGGGTCACGTGTGGTGGGGTCACGTGTGGTGGGGTCGCGTGTGGTGGGGTCACGTGTGGTGGGGTCGCGTGTGGTGGGGTCGAGTGTGGTGGGGTCGCGTGTGGTGGGGTCACGTGTGGTGGGGTCACGTGTGGTGGGGTCACGTGTGGTGGGGTCACGTGTGGTGGGGTCACGTGTGGTGGGGTCGAGTGTGGGGACACCCGCCTCGGCCACGACCTCTGGCTCCAGCGTGGAAGAAGCAGCAGGTCGCCAAGACCCTGCCGATGGGCGCTCCAGAGCTCCCATTAGCGGAGACGCTTCTGGTGCAGAGGCTCGTGCAGGACATTGCCAGCGCTGCGCCTTTACCCTTCGAGAACCCGCGCGTTATTTTGTAGTTTTGTTATAGCGGGGCCTCGACCGGCAGTGTTTTGAAGGAGCGATGCGAGCCCGGACAGCCATCGGCTCTCGTCTCGTGTCCAAGCGCCTCGCCTCTGCGTCCCAAACTCGGTAACACCATGAAGGGTGTTACCGAGTTTGTAGTAGCTACTACATATGTATCTACTTTTGCTATGATAATCCGGCACTGGGTTAGGGCTCGTGTGGTAACGGTCAGGGCTAGTGTGGCCATAGCTTGTGTCAGGATGGCCAGTGTGGTAATGTAGAGTGTCTGGATGGCCAGTGTGGTTCGGGATGGGAGAGACAGGATTTGATTGGCTTGTTGACTCTTAACCTGAACGATCAGCAGAATGAAAAAAAATCTTCAAGCCGTGGCCAGCGATGTCAGTCACTCCGCCAGGGACGGCTGCTCTCGATTGAAAATATAAATCCCATTTTTTTTTACTAGGTAAGGCCCACTGAGCTATGTAGCTCTCAGAAGCGATCTGGCCATAAATAATAGCGAAACGAAATGGCTTATGATGTGGGAATGTATAGCAGCCAAATAATCTAAAGGCGTGATGCCGGTTCTAAATGTGGAGGGGAAAACTGGAGGACCCGGAGAGAAATCCACGCGACCACAGGGAGAGAGGCACACAAACTCCAAATACACAGCAACAGGTGACAGGATCGGGACGAACCCACAACCTCCTGCATACCAGGCGAGGTAGTTAACATCTCGCCACCGTGACGCCCGTGTGCAGGCGGTGCAACTGCACCAGGGCCCCTCGGCACCGGGTGGGGGGGTCGGCGGGGGGAGAAGTTGGTGGTGGAGGTGGGGATGGCAGTGGAGGGATTTGGAGAGGGGCCCACGGCAACCAGGACTCGCCACTGCCCGAGAGTGCAGTGGCGAGGCGGACTGTTACCGTTGTTTGTTTTTGTCCTTGACGGAGCGCGGGCGTCCGAGTCGTTGTTGGGGCACGCGGCTCAGAAGAGCCGCCTCAAGCGGTTGGAGGGAGAGGCGGTGCTCGCTCTCGCGTTTCCAATAAAACGAAGCACTTTTATTTTTTTATACCTCGGGGCCGTTGCTCTATGACGCTGCGAAGAAGATGGACAGAGGTTAAGAGGAGATGTAGAACCGGGTGCCTTGATGACTTCCACTCGCGTATCAAAAAAGAGGGGAGATCGATTAAAGCTTACAACAGATTATTTAGCGGTGTTGCTGCTGCGATGGCAGCGGTGTACAAGCAAAACAAACACACCCCGGCATATACCATATACATAATACATATATAAAAAACAATATATAGTAGGCGACGTGTCAGGAAATGTCCCCTCTTCATAGCGCCTAATGGGCTATGATGCACGTGCTATGAAGAAGGGCCATTGCCCAAAACGTCGCCTATAATTAGTTTTGTTCCAAGGCCGCGCAGTGGTTACTGACGAACGTGTCGAATGTGGAGTTTCTTTTGTTCGATGAAAGCTCAAATCTGGAGGGCTGACAACCACCGGCGAGTTAAGGCGATCCACCTCCTCGTCCTCATCCTCCTCCCGCGCCGCAGGCCCCACTCGACGGCAGGGCCCGGCACGGACCCCGCGGGGCACGTGACGCGACCCGCTCGGCATGGCGGGCCACGCGTGGAGCTGCGCTGAGAGCCGGGCTGTGCCGGGGGGCGAGAGCGTGGGGGTCCGCTCGTCTGCCTGCGTTTGAGGGAGTAAAAGATGGACCGAGGTTGGCTTGTGTGGTGAGGTGGGAGTTAACTCGCTCGTGTCTGCTTGGCGTGTGTGGTCATGGTTAGGGCTGGTGTCTGGCTGGCTCGTGTGGTAAGGGTTAGGACGTGTGTGGTCATGGTTAGGGCTGGTGTGGTAATGGTTAAGACGAGTTTGCTAATGGTTAGGGCTGGTGTGGTAATGACCAGTGTCTAGCTGGCTAGCATGGTAATGGATACGATCTTGCTGGCTAGTGTGATATGGGTTAGGGCAGTGCCGGATGAAGCTGGTACGGGGCCTGTAGCATATGTTATAATGGGGCTCTAAATAAAAAAAAAACACAAAGTTTTAGCTTACATAGAAAGTAATTGTATTTTTTAATTTGCTATACAGCCAGATAATACAAATCGCTAACCTTAAACACCCAGTCGTTCATAAAAGGTGAAGGCAGCATTGTACTATAGTAATTGAGCAAGTGGAGAATCACTGAACCGGAATTGATAGCTTTGAAAGCATTTAGCACGGGGCCCTTGAAAGTGCGGGGCCGGTAGCTACTACATATGTAGAAGCTACTACATATGTAGCTACTACATATACTACATATGTATCTACTTTTGCTATAATCCGGCACTGGGTTAGGGCTCGTGTGGTAACGGTCAGGGCTAGTGTGGTCATAGATTGTGTCTGGATGGCCAGTGTGGTAATGTAGAGTGTCTGGATGGCCAGTGTGGTTCGGGATGGGGAGAGACAGGATTTGATTGGCTTGTTGACTCTTAACCTGGACGATCTGCTAAACCACCCTTTAATGAACTTGAATAGCCACATCCACGTTGTAAATTTATCGTTTCTTGTTCGTCATTTTACAGCTCCTTATTTGTATATACAATAATGTATTAAAACAGAGCGGAGGTCTATTTTTCACAATGTTAATCTACAACCAATAAACATAGAACGGCAAAACCTACAGGTGCTTTTCAGACTCGATATATTAAACTCCATTTACGCGTCAGGACACACGCGGGCTGTACTTACACCTGCCTCAAATAATGGCGGTGTGAGATTACAAAAGTACCGAGTTGACGGCCATTTGTTCATTCACGCTTGGACGAACGTCTCATGTCAGCAGTGCGAGTTCGATTGATAACTTCACCACACTGCTCAGTACGGACAGTTGAACCGGTGGGTAGCCCAGCTCAGGTTAATGCCACTCTAAAAGAAAACTATCTTTTTTATTTTACCACGTAAGGCCCGACTGAGCTGTATAGCTCTTTTTCAGGAGCGAGCTGGCTATCACAAATGAAGGCCCAACGAAATGGCTTATAACGTAGACATTTAGAGCAGCCAAATACCCTAAACGCGTGATATTGATTCTAATGGGGAGGGAAACCCGTGAGGACCTGAAGAAAAATCCACGCGACCACGGGGAGAGAGAGGCACGGAAACTCAAAATATACAGCAGGCTTCAGCGTCGGGATGAAACCCACGGACCTCCTGTATTTAAAATCAACATGCGTTTATTGACGTATTTGGCTGCTATACATTTCCACGTGATAAGCCACTTCGTTGAGCTATCATTTATGATCAGGTCGCTTCACGAAAAAAAGAGCTATATAGCTCAGTGGGCCTTACCTAGTAAAATTAAAACGAGTTTCGTTTTAACTGGAGAGGGAGCAGGGAGACGTGGAGACGTCACAGCCACCAGGGGGCAGGCGACACACGGGGCGAAGGCCCCACACACAGACTCCAACGCTTCACAGCACCACAACAACCTCTACACTTTGTTGGGAAGTGGCCCTCGACGGAGGCAACGACTGCCGTCGAAGCAACGGATTTGTGCGCCAAGCTTGCAGCGCAGAGGTCGCCGGTTTCACTCGATCTCCATCGTCGACGGAGGGAGAGTTGCACTCGCAGCCTTCGGCCGGCGGACCCATGCCGTGGCCTTCCACGGCCATTCTCCAAGGCAGCGCGATCCCGCTGTTCGCGGCGAAGGGTTCACAACTCAACAGCAATTGAGGGGAAAACAAAACCAGTGGGCCGACGTCATTGCACACTGCAGGTCACACCAAGACACCGCGGCACTCTCTCCGATGATTTGTGGTGGGTTATTTTAAAAGAATCAGCAACACTGCATTAATACGAACATCTCCACCATGTCTTACCGGAAATGTTCTCACTCGGACCCAAAGATAACTTCTTAAAAAGGCGAATTAAGATTTGTTCTTACATCAGTGTTAGCGACTTATTGCGGCGAGATTGGATTTCAGTCTACCTCTTACGTTGGCGTCAGGTGACCCAATGACCCGAATGCTAGCCTGCTGGCAACGAAGGGGACATGTGGGACTACGCTACCAACGGAGGGCCGTGCAGAAAAATCCGGTTGTACCTACTCAGTCTGTGCTCCTCCCTCCATTTAAAAACCGCACTGACCATAAGGCGCAAGTATGGTCAAACAATCCCCACAACCTGCACTGCATGGGGAAGCTTTCATTCAGCAGTGATTTGAAAAAGTTTGTCTGTACAAGTAACCGCGTATGGATTATCCAGGCCTTAAGTTATCTGATCTGCAAGGCCACTGCCGACGTTGATATACTTTTCTGTTCTAAGGCAGCGCTGTGGTTGGCATAATGCACAATGAACCCGCTCGATTCCTGGCCACGTCTAACATCAGTGGCCGATATCGAACCGTTTCTGGGCCACTACCACCCTTCCATAAACCCGTACTGACCAGCATATTGAAGTGTGGTTAAATAAAATCCCATGACTCACTCTGCATGGACAGGC